CCATTCAGTGCTTCTAGGTTTCTAGGTGGTAGTCTTATATATTGATCAATTCATGATTTCAAAAACTGAGTCGATAAATAACTGATTTCCTTTATGACTCGGTAAAAATTTGTCAGTCAGAAAGAATCAACCTCTGGATGGCGGCGACCTACTTATGAGCTCCTTTAGAGATAGATGATAAACGTAAATAGGTGAACTTGATTTCATAACTGAAAACTAGGTAAAATTTACCTTATCATGCTTATTATTATCATCAAATGTTTTCAAATACACTAGCTATTCAGCTTTTTTTTTCACTTAATTTCTCTTCACTTATTATTATTTTTTTTTCAAAATTCTTGTTATTTTTTGAAACTGCTCTGATTTATAAACAGATTACTTATTTCAGCATGAAATCTTATCGATTTACTCATCAGGGAAAAAATTTTCAGACTACATTGTACTTTAATGTTTTTTTTTTCAAAATAATCTATCACATTACTTACTTTTATATTAGTTAGTAGTATATTAAAAGCATGATATAATTTTTATTTTTATTTTTTGAATTTACGCGTAAACCGTTTATCCATTCACTTCTTTTTTGTGACAATCTTATTCTATGAGGCATTATACTACTACTTAAACTTACTTTATCAGTAGTTAGTGCATGTCTAACATAAAAAATTTTTGATAGTCTATTTTCTCAACCATAAAAAAAACGCATGTTAACTGAATATTTACAATCAATTTGGATATTGCGTAATGAATTCTATAAATAATAATAATAATATCTATTTCTATTTTTCTTAATCCAACAAGTGAGCAAAAAATTTTTGATGAAGATTATTACTGTTCTTCATTTCCATGAAGAACCTAGTAATTAGTAGTTGAATAAAAATTATGCGATTACACACATCATATGAAATGTTCAATGTACAAGTTATTTTTTGAATGAAAAGAATTAGTTGTTAAAAAAAAATATTTGAACAATTAGATTTAATCGCTTTTTTGTCGTAAATTGCAAAAAAATCAATCAATCTATACAGCAAACCTATTCCAGTTTAGGGGTCAACTTCAGTGTTTGAATATTTCTAAATCTTGTAAGGTATACAGAAGACGTGACCAGTGGAGCTAAAATCTGTAGGATGTAGGCAGTAACTACCGAGGACAATAGGTGAGAGGTTGCATAACAAAACCTTGAATTGATCACATTTAGACATTCTACCATCCCTGGGATGTACGTTCAGTGTTTTAGAGAGGTTAGGCGTTCGCACGAGACCGAAAGTCCGGGGTCATGGATATGAACTGCTAGTTAGTCCCATACCAGAGAGAAACTGCTTTCTTTCAGTGTTTTCAGGTTTTTCTAATGATAGTCTAACAACGATTCATTTATGACTTCAATAATTAGACGTTAATTTAATTACTTACTTACTTACTTACTTACGTACTTACTTATGCACTTACTTACTTACTTAATTACCTACTTATGCACTTACTTACTTACTTACTTATGCACTTACTTACTTACTTACGCTTATTGACCCTAATGGAGCATAGGCCTCCAACCAGTATTCTCCAACCAACTCTGTACTGGGCTTCGCTTTCCAATGCTGTCCAGTGTTTGTTCATTCTTTTCATATCTTTCTCTATTTCTCGGCGTAATGTGTTCCCTGGCCTACCTCTTTTCCTTTTACTTTAATGGTTCCAAGAGAGGGCTTGTCTTGTGATGCACTTAGGTGCTTTTCGTAGTGTGTGTCCTATCCACTTCCTTCTGATTTTCTCCTCCATCGGGATCTAGTTTGTTCTCTACCACAGTAGGCGGTTGTTGCTGATCATGTCTGGCCAACGAATCCTCAGTATTCTAGCTAGACAACTGTTAATTAAAAAAACTTGTATCTTGTTTATTGAATTACACATTCAATAATAGTCCATGAGACAGAACATTAACCTAAATCATTAAAAAGAGAATTTTTCTTCAATATCCACTCTTTTTTCATAGTTGCACGTCAATTTCATTTTCCAATTTAAACTTAAAAGTCAAAAATAATTGAAAAAGAATGTACAATAAAATATATAAATAATTATATATATATATATATATATTTATATATATTTCATAATATTACTTATAAGTAGTACTTTAGAAATTATTAAAAAAAATTGTTTTTTTATGAATACTGCATGAATTAAATAGTCTTTCATTTTTTTTTGCATAGATTAATTAATTTGATAATAATAATCATGAATTTTGTTATTTTTTCGGGCTATTTTTTAATTTTATTTTATATTTTGTAGTTAGATATCAGTAGATTTACTCATATTCATTTATCGATACAGATATATATATGTATTTATATATATAACTCTCCACTTTACATGTTTTTAGTTGTATAATACACTAGTTGTAGTAGTAGCAGCAGTAGTAGTAGTCATCCATGTACGCTCCGTTGTTTTTTTTCATGTTTTTCCTCAATTCTACACTATAAATGAATGAATATGTTAGTGGGACATATACTTGATTCTTGCCATGATGGCGAAACACCGAAAGATAATGAATGACACAACCAAGGCGGGAACTGGAGACCACCCACCATGGGCTGACTTGGTTTTCGCGAAACTTAGCGCGAAACTTTCCAACTTTACCACATCCACTCATTGTCAGTTAGAGCATAGAAATATGGCGCATAAATTGAATTAAAGCATGATTGTGTTGCTGCACGCGCAATGACACCTTCATATCCAATCCAATCTCTATGTCCCACTAACAGAATGAATGAATTTTATAGTGTGTAGATTTTTAGTGACTTGTTAAAATAAATCAATCCGATTAATTGTTATTCAGTGAATAAGGTTTTTTATTTTTTTTGAAAAAAAAGCAAACTGTGAATAGAATGAGCACAAAATGTGTAATTTTTTTAAATTATTTTGCTGATGATAGAGTGTATGTTGTTCCTTTTTATTTCGTTGTATAGAGTAGTGTTATCTTATTCAAGTAAATGTACATCTCTTTATATTGACTATATATATATATATTGCTTTAAAGTATTATGCAGATGACAGTTCTACCTTGAAATTTTTATTAATGTATCATTGTTAGATCACCATCAGAGACGTAGAAGCACTAGATGGGGCTGTTTTGTCCTGGTATGGGACTTATCAGTAGTGAACAGTAAAGTAGAACTTTTTCGAGTGTAGGCAGTAACACTAGTACCGGAGACAATCGGTGGGGTGCTAGTTCAGTGATCCAGATGTTAGGCATTTGTGCGTGAGAGATTGAAGGTCTTCGGTTGAAATCCCGCATACTGTTAAAGAGTCCTATACTAGGATGAAATGGTGGACATCCAGTGCCTTGATGTCTCTAAAGATAGTCTAACAATGGTTAGACTGATCACAGTTAAACAATAAAACCGTCGGATGCCAGCTAGCTGGTCCAGAGTTTAGGCGTTCGCGGTCAAGACCGAAGGTCTAGGGTTTGAATCCCGCAAGTATCTGAAGTCATGAATGCACACTGTTGAAGAGTCCTATACTAGGATGAAATGGTGGACATCCAGTGCCTTGATGTTTCTAAAGATAGTGTAACAATGATTCATTCAGGATTTCAAGGTTATATATAAATATATATATACCATCAGTTTGTTTTTCCCACATTTTATTTACAAAATAAATCACAAAACGGATTCATCCATCGTAATTTATTGATTGAATCAATGAATGAAAATCTTGGGTTTGAAATATCGAAAGGACAATACGTTATTGAGTAGAATAGTTTGAATGTATAGTTTAGGCAATAGAATATACTGTTTTTTCACCAAACATTGAGTACAATACATATTGAATGATAGGGTAATAATAATTGCTCTATATTCAAGTAACTAACTTGCTCTTCAACGGCTCTAATTAGTCAGCGACGTTTTAGTTGGGTCAATTTTTCCAGACACTAATTTGGCGTAACTAATTCCTGCATGACTGCCTGAAGAAGACTTTTTTCCTATCCTATAAACTGGAATGATCAGTGATTGAAACCAGTCAGATGAGATTATGTCTAATTTACTGCTAAAACGGGACCATCATCTTAAAAAAAATCCCAGGGGTTAATCCATCAAAACTTTGTACTTTAGATTGTAGAAAGGCTCTTCAAACTCACTAAGAGTAAGAGGACTTACATCGATTCTTGGAGATGAAGGATAGCTGAGGTATGGCTGAAGCCAAGTTAAACTGTTCCATAAAGCTTCTTTTCTCATCACCTGGATTGGAAGTAAATAATCGTCTTGTCTTTGCCAGAGATAGTTTTTTTTAACAGACGACTTGATGCTACAGTGTGTTTTCGTTCTCGTTAGCAAAGTTTGTAAGTAGTTGCTTTGGCGTGTCTTCTTGGGTTGAGAACTTGATCTGTATGGGTTTGCAGTTCATCTTCACCCTTTAATCTTTAAGCGGTTTCACGCACAATTTACTCTCTCTTTAAGCTACTTCTCAGCGTTAGGTATGAAGTTCTCGGAGTTCCAGTGAGAAAACTTGACTAGTGGAATTCAACCCTATCGGGGGTGTAGACAGTGTCTACTGAAGATAATCTTTAGACTGATCAGAGTTAGATATATTAAGACCTTTGGATGCCAGTGGCTCAGTGGTTCAGAGGTTAGGCATTCGTGTGCAAGACTGAATCGAATCCGATGAGAAGTGGCAGGAGTCGTGGATGCACACTATTGATGAGTCCTATAACAGGATGAAGCAACCATCCAGTGCTTCCATATTTCCATAATTTCAAGGTAGAACTACCATTTCTCTGATACTCTCATGGAAAATACACTCTCTATATATATATATGAAATCAATACACACACAAGACTAGTCCAAAAATATTAATCATACCATAATGGTATAGTTATTCTTTCCATTGACCACTGACCACACTGACGATTGTATTTCGTTTAGTTCATTGTTGTATTTATGCTTTCCATTGATACAATGAATTTCTTTTCTTTTTTTATTTTACTGTTAATTTTTCTCATCCAAAATCATTATAGGAAATAATGATGTAACAGTTGGTAAATTCTATGCTACATTTTTAATACAAGAATGGTTTCGACGTTGGAAACAAAAGAAAGCTGAAGAACAAAAAGCTTTAATGCATGGACAAGTAAGAATTCGGATTAAAAAGGCGCATAGTTCACCTTTATTTTTCTTCATTTTGTGTTGTTACTTTACTTTGAAGGTCAAATTTATCCGGCAGTGATTTCTACTATTTTGTTAAAAATTGATCAATGTTAGACGGCTTATTAGAAATCTGGAATAGCTGAAAGATGACCATTTTGTACTATAGTACTTTATAGTTGTGAAACATGGTTAGTGAGAGTAGAAGGTATTCATAGGTTATTGGTTTTCGATCATTGGTGTCTTTGAAGCATTGCTCGTATATCGTGGGACATGCGAGTGAGCAACGCTGTTATTAGGAATCGGGCGCTAGGTAAGAATGACAGATCAATAGATGAAGTATTGAAACTTCATCAGTTGAGGTGATTGGGACATGTGCTGCGTATGCCTAACCAACGACTGACTCGAAGAGCTTTGTTTTGTTGTGTAGGAATAGGTTGGAGGAAAGTTAGAAGCGGCCAGATCAAAACATGGCAGAAATCTATGAAGTCATTGACAAGTGGACTGAGTCATGTCGGTAGTTGTCGACTACCTGGTTGGGGTCCGCGAGATGATAATAATCGATTGTTAGAGACCTTGAATGACATGGCTCAAAATCGTTCGCAATGGCGCCGGTGCATTTATTCTTTGTGTTCTGTCAAATCCTAATCTTCTGGATTCTTCAATCTCCTCTAGTTTTGACTTTCTAAACTTTTCTCACTGAATCATACTTCATGAATAATATCTTCTAATCCTAACCTCTTCGATTACTTCTAATACCTTTACTACCTTAACTACTATTGGATTTGAATAGACAATTACATCTCTGTGCTGATGTGGTATGGCAACATGAAGTGATGTACTTACGTACAAAGTTCTACGTCGCATCTGACTGACTGACGGGACTCATCAGCGGTGCGCATCCATGACCTGCACACAAGGGAATTGAACCTAGGCCTTTCAGTATAGCGTGCAGATGCCTAACATCTAGACCACTGGGTCGATGTTCAACAGTATTAAACAGAGTAGCTCCAGTCAGTCCACGGTATTGTCTTTGGTGTCTCACACTTGGCAGGGTAAAACTTCACTAGCTACAGCTTTTCACTAAAATTTCAAGATTGACCTCACGAATCTAGTCATTAGTTAGCCTGTGAGGATTACGAATGTGCAACGCTATACAAGGAAGAAACAACAGTCCAGTTCTTGCAGGTTTTGTAATAGTTGTCTAACATTGATCAGCTCCAGTGGTTTCAATGAAATCAACTTAGATTAGTTAATATTACCCAATGCAGAAATACTATTTTCTATTGGGCATTATAACTTGTTTATACTTCGATTGAGTATACTGAAGAGAGATTTAGGTTTTAAACTCTCCGGTACAACTGAACAGCAGGCAATGCTGTCGTTAGGAAATAGATGCTAGGTAAGTATGGCAGGTCAATAATAGATGAAGTAGTGGAAGTTCATCAATTGACGTGGTTGGGAAATGTGTCACGTATGGCTAACCACTGACTTCCTCGATAAGCAATGTTTTGCGATGTAGGAATAGTTTGGAAGAAAGCTAGGGGCGGCCATACCAAAACATGGCACAAATCTATGAAGTCACTAACAACTGAACTGAGCCATGTTGGTGTGTTTCGACTACCTGGTTGGGGCCCACGAGATGATAGTAATCGATGGTTAGAGACCTTGAATGACATGGCTCAAAATTGTTTGTAATGGTGCAGGTGCATTCATGCTTTGTGTTGTGGTGCTGTTTTGTTCTCTGAGCTGGTTGTTTTGGTTGTGGACTTTCATTGTTCTTCTACTGAACAACATTATCAGCACAAACTTCAGATAGAAAAAGTGAAGCATTCGAATTTCTCCACGTTTGACCTGTAGCTTGTTCTGCTAACCTCAATCTTGATTGGTTGCTGTTGACTTTTGATCTGTTGTTGTTTGCAACTTTGGTTTGATTGTATCCCCCTTTTGATCTGTTTCTTGATCCTGTGTCACCTATGATTTTTTTCTGATTGGTTGATAAATTGAGTCAATGTCGATGTGTTTGTTGACTGCTGATTGGACCTGGGTGCCAAGCTTCTAAAAATTCTCTAGTGTTCTTTGTCCTCCCCCTACCCAGTATTTCCACATTGTTCCACTCGAATGTGTGTCCATAATTGTCGGTGTGTATTGATATAAGCGAAGCGTTGTCGTGGCGTTTGACTGCTAATTGATGTTCACGTAAACGGAGCTAAAGAGGCCGTCCACTTTGTTCTATGTAGTGTTTTTCACAGTCTGAGCAATTTATTTTGTAGATGATATTTGGTTTTTCTTCCTTTGTCATTTTGTCCTTTGGTCTACTTAGGATTGATTGAAGTGATTCTGTTGGTTTGTGTGCAACACCTATTCCAAATGGTTTCAGTAGTCGTGCTGTATGCTCTGAGAACGAAACACCACCACAATCATCCACCTGAGCTACAAGTTTTCTCCACCAACTCTTTGTGTTCTCTGAAATTATAATTCCTCAACAGCTCTATCTTTTTAAATTTTTATCTCACTAAATTATACCTCTTGCATAATATCTTCGTACTCCATCATTGCTAAAACTTTTACTATCTTTACCACAATGGGACTGGAAATGACATTCGTTTCTCTGCTAAGGTGGTACGGCAACCTGAGCAGCTGATGTACTTATGTACGAAGTTCTATGTTGGAAATTGACAGACTGACAATGGAACAGTCATAATGAACTGAGAAATAATTGTTATTCATTAGGTTGGCCGTTCTTGTCATACTCCAAGTCATTATCGGTTTTGTAATCATGAAAATAATCAATTCGGTTAATTCTTGTCATCAAAACATTTGAGGTATATGAATTGACATTAATATGCATAGTTATATTGAAAAAAAGAAAGATATTTTGAGCAATTCTAACTTAACAAGATAAGAAAAATCCTAGAAACAAATATCTTATTTTTTAATTACTTTGAAGTATACTTACTTACTTACTTACTTACTTACTTGCTTACTTACTTACTTACTTACTTACTTACTTACTTACTTACTTACTTACTTACCTACCCACTGACCAGTATTCCTCAACTAACTCTATCCTATGCCTCTCTTTTCAGTTCTGTCCAACTTTTATTCATTCTTATGATAATCTGCTTTCAGTTCTCATGGGAAGGTGTTCCTTGACTTAACTGTTTTCCTTTGATCTTGAGGGTTCCAAGTAAGGGCTTTTGCCTATATAACTTAATTGGATGATTTCAGCAATCTGTGCCCTATCCACCTCTGGCACTTTCTCCTAATTTCTTCCTCAGCTGGAATCTGGTTTGTTTACTCCCACAGTAGGTTGTTACTGATAGTGTGTCTGGCTAATGGATTTGCAGGATCCTGCATACATATTTTGTGTATGATGACTTTTGTAGTTTCCAAATTCAAACATATTTACTCACCTAAGAAAAAATATTATGATTTAATATTTCTAATTGATTAGTCAGATGTTAAGTGTGTAAACTATTCAATGTAATCTATTTCCTTTTTTCTCCTTACAGGGTAAAAGACACTCAATTATGCCATTTAAAGTAAGTTTCATTTGGATTCATGAATCAAAATAACTGTTTTATTTATAAGTTAGTTTACAACAACAGGGTTCACAATTTCCTAGTTAGCTTATTTCCCTAATTAATTTTCATAAATTATATCAATGCGTTAAATTATTCACTATTTTTTAATTGTCAGATTATCTAAACGTTTTAAGTAGCCCATGAAATCAGTGATATATTCGTATTTAAAGTTGTTTGCATATATATATATATATATATATATATATATATATATATATATACTTTTGGTTAACCAACAAGCCAGCTGCACATGCGCGCCGCTGCATTTAAGGCAACACAAGGGTTCTCACAAGAGTCAATATCGCGATCACCCCTGCACACGATGCCTAGATTGGTCTGCAGACAAGTGGACGTCCAAAAAGCATGCGTACGAGCAGTGGCCCACGTTTGGGCACTTATGAATCAACAAGATCCATCCAACCAATCCACTACCCACAATCCCCAATCGGCAAGGCGGGCTTATCCAGCTAGACCTGGAATCCCGAACGAACTATCGAGCCACGCTGCAGTGCACTAACCAGCAGCCGTTCCAACCGTCTGACTTTCGACTGCCGTGCGCTGATACAATCGACCGGAGCCCCCAAACCCCACACGAAGCTAAAGATCGAGTTTGTCCCACAAGGTCAGCCAGAACGTACACCCTCCCATGAGGTAGATGTCATGGACTCAACCAAGTGCAAGCGCTCAGCTAAGCAGGGTTAATTCCCCTACATAAGTGGGCAGATATCATTGGCGTCCAGTACCCTTTCAGCACTGAATCACATAGCCCAACTTGAGACCCTTGTTTAAGGCGCCTTGAAGCCAGTTTACACAATACACCGGGATGCAGAGTGTTTGGGACAACCACATAAGGTCGGCGTCAATAGTCCAGGATTTTTACGGCTGCTTCCCCAAACAAATGCATGTGCACGACTGAATGGAATAGTGATGAACATTTCATTGATTCGTCATCATCATCATTGAATCCGAAATTATCTTAACGACATTTATTAGATATAGAAATGATGATGATTGAATGTTCTAGGTTCGATTCTCTCAAGCTCCAGGAGTTATGGAAGTGCAATGCTGATGAGTCTCAAGTGAGAATCAAACCATAGACAAACCTTGAAGTACTGGAATATCGTTTCATCCTATAGTATAGAAAGCATCAACAGTGCGCATCCATAACACTGAAGTTTTTCTAATAATTAATATGTAAATCAACTAGAATGTAAATATCCATCAAAACTCATTAATCATATTTGACTGTCATTTCAATCAATAGGATATAAATTATTTTCTGTAATATTCTAAACAAGGTCTTTTTTTAATCACTAATCACAAAACTACTAATATGTTTATTAGTAGTTTATGTGAAAAATACAAAACAAAAGAGTAAAACAATCAAACGTTATATAAAACGGCTGTAAAGATTGTCAAGTTACTTTGTGAAATCGTGTATTGAACAATGCTAGACCGCAACATTACAAATCTGGAAGCGATAGGAAATGGCCATTTTGTCTCATACTATGGGACTAATCAGCTGTGAACATCCACAACTCCTACTATTCGTACAGGTTTAGAACCTAGGAACTTTGGTCTAATGCGCAAACACTTAACCTCTAGTCCACTGAGCCGGCATCTAACGGTGAAAATGTCTAACCTCAATCGAAGTTCTGAGGTTCGAATCATGTACAAGTAGCAGGAGTCATGGATGCACACTGCCACTGATGAGTTCCATACTAAGGTAGGTGAAACGGCTGTCTTTCAATGCTTCCAGGTTTCAAATAGTAGTCTCACACTGATCGATTCATAACTTAAAAAAATATAAAATAATAATTATTATCATTATAATATTTGTAGAATTTCGGCAAACCAACCACCGGTCTACTTGATGCACAAACTGCTTCTATGAATATTCTACTACCACCTCCATCGGAAGAAACCAGTAAACGTGGCAGTTCAGGCAGTATAGGTGATGGTGGGGGCGGAGGTGATACAGTGAGTAGTTGTGTTGTATTGATTTTTGATTGATTTCACATTAGTTAATTAATTAATTTATTTATTTTAAACTGTTGAGGATGTTAGATCCCCAGAACCTGCTTGATAAAAACGTCTTATTTTGGTCTTCACGTTTGCGAGCATAGGCGGATCAATTGACCTTGAGATTTCATTTCCCACCAGGAAAATACATGGTTGTGATTGGCTGCTGTGTCAGTTTAGTGTGACTGTATTTTGTGACTGTCCCAAGGATGTTTCTATGATGTATAAATAAACGAGAGTTGTGTGCTGCTTGATTATATTGTGTGATTGTTGGGTGTCTGTAGATTATACATTCTACGCTTATCAAGACTTCCGGTTTACAATTTGGGATTCAAGGTAGCCTACCTGAACGCTGGTCAACTTGTAATAGCTTCAAGTGTACCTATGAAATATTAGAACAACACAGATCACATAGATCTGTAAGCGAACAGTATTGGTTGTTTTCAACTATCTCGTTATCATCATCAGGTTTTATACTCTGTAATACACATGAATATTTATATGAAAATGTTAAACCAATCAGTGTTTATGATAAGTCAATAATTACACTAAACTAGAGATTACATAACGAATAGTTTAGTATGAGCAAATGTAATCAGTCGGATATTCCACGTAGCCAATTTGGCGTTGACTTTCTAAAGGCGACTAATGATGTCTATTCAAACAAACGATAAGTTACTTGAATTGGCCTTCTCAATGTACATTGACGAATTAAGCTGATCCCAGGAAACTTAATCAACGAATGACTGATTGACAGCAGTTATAATATAGATAACGCTGAATTATTTCGAGTGACCCAACGTATACCTCGATCATTTGTCGATGAAGTTCGATGCCGTCTCCTACAAATAACAGAAGCTTTAGGAATTTGAACATTCAACCGCAATTCACGTGTTCAGAAGAAATTCATGACACCCCTGTCCCTCCCTTGACCGGATATAACCTAATCAATGAACGATTTTAAAAATTTTTATTTTTCGTTATCATTTTTTGATGATTATTACTATTATAAGTGAGTACATTCTGTATTTGTTTGTAGGTTTTTTCTTCGCCACTTTTAAGTTTATATTCTTTACCATCTCATCATTTTATACAGTTTTCTTATTGATGTGATGATGATTATTTTTAAGTGTATTTATCCAAGTTTAACCTACTACTACTGTAGTGAACGAGAACACAGGTGAGGGCAACCGAATTGTATTTAACGAAAATTACACAGTTACTCAGTAAAATAGGAAAACCATATCGTAAATTGTTCATTTGCAAAATATCAGTTCATCATATCGAACTGGACTGTTCCTGTTGCAAACAACATCAATCCATTGTCACTCACTATTCATGCGTTTCATACAAATTCCATTGTTTTCTAACTCTTCCTTTCTTGATCTTCCCTCATCTTCTGCTGCCAGACATTACATTGACACTCACGTCATATACTACTTATAAGTAGCTCGTACCACACTACTACTACTACTTCCAGTATTGAACTGTTGGTAAAACCGTTTGTTATTGTATTGTATTGCTCTTAACACTGACTGCATATGTGTCTTTCTACTATTAACTTGTACCACATAGAGGTACATGACACCCTAGTGGACTATTTACAGCATTTTTATACACTAGTACATTGACAGTGATTATTTCAAATCCATGGTTTTGTCACAGTCAATATACACAGCATGAACAGATAGATTTGACTAATCCCTCTCATATCCCTCTTACACTCATTATTATTATTATTAGCAATGGTGATATACAATACAGCTACCCATTGACAATGAACCTCGGGAATGTTACAAAACAACCACCAGAGTGGTATCAATGAAATCGGTTACTATCGGAACTAAATTTGTATATGGACTGTAGGAAAAACCTGTAAAACAAATGCTAAATCATCCACAATGTTCACAACAAACCTTTGCTCTCTTAATAAACCTTCAACTCTATATAGCAATATAGCTTATGGTTTATACATCGTATAGCATAAGGTAGTGTAGTAGGAGGTGCAGACCAGCTTGATGCAAATATGTTCAAAAATACATTTATTACCCTTTCTCTTATGTCAGGTGTCATAATAATGAAATTTCCATTTTTTTCGTTCTAACATGAGACTCATCAGTAGCGTGCATACATGACTCTTGCTCCTCGCAGGATTTGGACACAGGACCTTTGATCCTTCGCTCATAACAGGATGTAACGGCCATCTAGGTTTATAATGGTGATTTAATAATGATTCTATTCATGATTTCAATGTGTTTGTTTGCATTAATTCCAATGTTCATTTTTTTATTTTCACAATATCTTTTAGCATCATAGTTTATTAGATTCAGTGAAAAATGTTATACATCGTGTTGGTAGTTCACGGCGTCATTCAGAAGTATCACAAACTAATGATCGTGAAAAATCTTTCTATGAATCAGGTGATAAAAAATTACCATTAACTTCTAATCATTTACAACCGACATCAACATTAACAACATCAAATGAAGCTTTGAAATTATTAAAAACAGCATCAAAAACATTTATACCGGATTATTTAAATGCAGCTACTACCACAACTATCACGTCAACAACAACACAAAGAAGTATATTACCAACTATTAATCAAGGAAGTCATGATGATGATGATGATGAAGATGATGATCAAGATGAACTAGTTGACAATGATGAATTTCGTGGTGGTATGCATAAAATTATAGATGGAAAAGTATGTATTTCTGGGTTTATGTTGTTAAATATTGTTTTATTTAATATTGCATGAACTTGACACTTCAACGACTAAATAAAATGATAGACCTAGTGGTTTTGGGGGTTATTAAACATTTGTGCACATGACCTAAGGTCCCGGGTTCGAATCCTGTGCGATTAACATGTATGTCGTGTATGCGTACTGCTGATGAGTACCATATCAGGACGAAATGGCTGTCCATTTCTTTTTCAAGTTTCTTATATGGTGGTTTAACAATGATTTATTCATAGTTTTAGTAATAAACAACAATCTCCTGAACTCTATAATAAAAAAATGATATATTTTTCTGTTGGGGATGTTAGATCCCCCAAAACTCGCTTGATAAATGCCTTAACACATGTTAAGTCCTGCCCCACTCAGTAATTATTTATTTGTTTCCATTTGACATGAAATTCACTTTTCTGATGTTCTCTGTGTTCTTCACGACACCAATTGTGTACTCGTAATTGTAGACCACCGGAATCCTCTTAATCATAGAAACCAGTAACATGGTGATTTCCGCCCACACTTGTTCAGTGGTGAGGTTGTCGTACAAGGCATTCGCTCTTATGGCACTCGCTACATTGTACCAGTTGGGCATTGTGACTGTGACTGAAATTCAACTATGCTATTTGCAATGTCGTCAACCGATGGAGCTGTGGTTGCATTAGATGAGCTGGGCTGTGTGGAATGGGAAATATTCAAGTCTGTCAACATTTGCATTAGTTTCAGCTGCTTCTCAAGTAATAATTCAAGTTTGCCAGGATCCATATTCCCAAATATACCGTCCCCACTGATATGTTCGTCACTAGGTACGCTTGAAGCTAATACGATGAGTTCACCTTAGTCAATAAACGCGAACGAGACAATTACCAGAGTCCAGATTGGCTACCTTGAATCCCCAGCTGAAGACAAAAAGCTTTGTAAGCGTAGAAAGTATATTCTACAAGGGGATAAATTAGGTCGCTGCACGATGTCATTGACCTCAATGTTGACTATAAAATTATGGTTGAATTATAATTACTCTCACTATCTTCATCATAGCCATTAAATCTCCTGATAATCTATGATTGTGCGTATTATATTATGAATAACACTTTAAATCATTTTGAATATACCAACAAAACATTCTTCTTCTTCTTACGCCTGTTACCCCCAATGGAGCATAGGCCGCCCACCAGTTTTCTCCAACCAACTCTGTCTGTCCTCGGCTTTCCTCTCCAATTCTGTCCAATGTTTGTTCATTCCTATGATATCTTTCTCTATTTCTCGGCGTAATGTGTTCCTTAGCCTTCCTCTTTTCCTTTTGCCTTGAGGGTTCCATATAAGGGCTTGTCTCGTGACGCAGTTCGGTGCTTTCCGCAATGTGTGTCCTATCCACATCCACCGCTTCTTCCTGATTTCCTTCTCCACTGAAGGAATCTGGTTTGTTCTCTACCACAGTTCGTTGTTGCTGATGGTGTCTGGCGAACGAATACGAAGTGTTTTGTGTAGACAGCTGTTAATAAACACTTGTATCTTCTCGATGATGACTTTCGTAGTTCTCCATGTTTCCGCTCCATACAGTAGAACTGTCTTGACATTTGTATTGAAAATCCTGATTTTGGTTTCGGTTGAAAGTTGTTTGGAGTTCCGGATATTTTTCAACTGTAGAAATGCAGCCCTTGCTTTGCCAATCCGCACCCTCACATCTGCATCTGATCCACCTTTCTCGACGATGATGCTGCCCAGATATGTAAAGTTGTTAACGTACTCGAAAGCATCTCCATCAAGAGTGATTTGGTTGGTGCATGTTGTGTTGCATCGGAGAATTTCGCTTTTTCCTTTATGTATGTTGAGACCTACTGCTGCAGAGGCTGCTGCTACACTGGTCGTATTCTCTTGCATTTGTTGTTGTGTATGTGCGATAGAAGAGCCAGGTCATCTGCGAAGTCCAGATCGTCTAGCTGCGTCCTAACTGTCCAGACCAACAAAAAATAGAATAGAGTAAATAAAAATTGACAGGAATTATAGCATTATAAAGTATATCTGAAGTTAATACAACATTGGAGTGTGTTTAGCTGATTAAAAAATATCAATCAATGAACAACTCACTCATTCACTTAATCCCGACACAAGCTATGACAATTTTCACTATGTTCTAACGTATTCCTACTAAGTACTACTACACAACCCCCTAGTATTTGAGTTTTATACTTACTCTATGAAGTAAGAAAAAACAAACGGAGTAAATCAACTTGTTTTATTACTGAAATCATGAATTAATAATCATTGTTAAACCATCAATGAAAAATTGTACAATGCGTCAAATAGTGACTAACTTCTTGACGGAATTCTCTCAGAGTTATAGAAGGAAAGATGTGACCGATGAAGGAGAGTTCAAATCTGTTGCTTAAAAGCACAACAACTACCAAAAACAGCGAGTGGGTAAGCGGCGTCAAAAATCCTTCAACTGATCAGAGTTAAACAATAATACCTTTAGTTGCTGACTTAGCGGTTCAGAGGTTAAAGCGTTCGTGCGTACAAGGCCCAAAATTCCGTGGGTTCGAATCCTGCGCACTGATGATGGGTCCGAAATCATCTTGGCGAGATAGCTGTCTTTCAGAGCTTCCAGATTTCTCTTTCTAATGGTAGTCTAACAATGACTCATTCATAATTTCAGTAATAACCAACAATTTACATTACTTACTCTTCTACACTAAAAAACTTCATATTATTATAAATATTGATCGTTTCTATTTTTAATGCACACACAGATAATGATGAATACAGAAAGGCATAATAATTATTCTATGCAGCCAAATCAATATCATTTATTAAATGAAAATCTATCACAAAAACAATATTTATCAATGAATCCAACGTTGTATACAGATAGAAGAAATATGAATCGGTAAGTTATTATCAATTCATATTGATCATTTATATTTTATCTTTCATTTATATATGAAAGCAGAATAATTATTAAAGTTAGATCCCCAAAACTCGTTTGATAAAAACGCCTTCACTTGGATTTCACGTTTGCGCGAGCATTGGCTGATCAGTTGACCTGGAGATTATTTCATTTCCCCTTCAAGAAAATCCATAGCTGTGGTTGGCTGCTGTGTTATTTTAGTGTGATTGTATATTGTGACTGTCCCAAGGATGTTTCTATGATGTATAAATAAACGAGAGTTGTGTGCTGCTTGATTGTAATGTGTGATTGTTGGGTGTTTTGTAGAATATACTTTCTACACGCTTATAAAGCCTTTTGTCTTGAGCTTGGGATTCAAGGTAGCCTATCTGGACGCTGGTTCATTGTCTCGTTCGCGTTTATTGACTAAGGTGAACTCGTCGTAATAGCTTCAAGCGTACCTAGTGACAAACTTAACAGATACACAATACAATATGCGTTAGTCAGTGACAACGTAAAACATGGTACGTACGTTCATCATCATTGTTAAAGGTTGTAGCAATATTAGCGGTAATCGAAAAGGTTACGGATCGAAGATATCATTCGAGTAGTATATCCCTGAGGAGTCAATCTAAAATCAAAAAAAGGAGAGAGAGAAGAAAAATATAGGTCATAAGGAATTCGTAAGACTAACAATCAATGTATCTACCACATCGCAAACGATTTTCAACCATGTTATTCATAGTATCTAACCACTAGTTACATTGTCTTCTGGATCTCAATGAACTAGTCTACATCTCTTAATATATGGCTCAGTTCAGTTGTCAGAGACTTCATTAATTTGTGCCATGTTTTGGTCTGTCAGCCCTTTAACTCTCTTCCAACCTACCCTTACACCATAAAACATTGCTGAGCAACCTCAACAGATGAAGATTCACTACTTCATCCATTGATCTACTATTGTAGTGAACGAGAACACAGGTGAGGGCAACCGAACTGTATTTAGCGAAAATTACAGAGTTATTCAGTAAAACTGGAAAACCATATCGTAAATCGTTAATTTATTTGCAAAATATCAGTCCATCATATCGAACTGGACTGTTCCTGTTGCAAAACATCAATCGATTGTCACTACTATTCATGCGTTTCATAAAAATTCCATTGTGTTCTTCTAACTCTTCCTCCTTTCTTGATCTTCCCCCGCATCTTCTGCTGCCAGACATTACGTTGACACTCACGTCATATACTACTTATAAGTAGCTCTCACCACACTATCCTTACCTGGTATCTGTTTCCTATACACCAGCATTGCTTCCTCCATAGTCGCAAGATATACAGCCAATGCTTTGAAGACATCTACAATTGAATAACTAGTAACCTACTAATATCCTCTATTCTTATTGACCAAATTCTATATCCCCGTTTTAGTAGAACGGATTGTATATTGCGATGAACATGTCGGAGCGATTTACTCCATATATTTTTAACTACTTATAAGTAGTTAAAATAGGAATAAAAATTATTTTTTCAGATTTTCGTTACTTTATCAAAAACTGAAAAAGTATAATCTTTATTTATTGAATTCTGAATTTAAATTAACCACAACCTTTGTTGTTGTTGTATTTTCAACCGATTATCAGCCCATTATCAAGTCATCAATCCAACTCTGGATTAGATGATTTAATCAATCATTATCCAGTATCATCTATTCCTAATACACATCATCGACCGAAATCTATGCATCGACCGGATCAATTTCAACCATCATTCCATACTGGTGAAGGTAATGATTTAACAACAACTCATTTGATTACATTAAATGATGATCATATAAGGCATAGAGAAAATATTCGATTGAATGATGATGAAGACCAAGGCGACGAAGACAATGAAGATGTTGAAGGAGATGGTGAAGACGGCGAAGACGAAGATGGAGGAGATTTGTTTTCAACAATACGAAGTGAAACACCTAGTCCAGCACCATCTATTGCTGCAGCTATTCTAAGACCAAATTATTATCAAGTTTTTGATGAACAGAAATCAATGAAACATAGAAAGCTGTTATTAAATCCATCTGATTTTACAGTGTATACTAGTATACCAAGAAATTTAATGATGAATAGATTAATGAATAAAACCGGTGGTAATCCTAGTGGATATTCGAATGGAACAGTAGTGAATAAAGATTTAGAAGAATTATTGGATTTACCAAAGGTATTGGTGATTAATTATGTTATTTGTGCATTTTTATATATTGATATAGTGTTTGAGCCCGTTACCCGCAGTGGAACATAGACCGGAGACCGAGATTCTCTAACCTATTCTATCCTGGGCCTCCGTGGCCACAGTTCCGTCAAATTTCTGTTCATTCTTCTCATATCTGTCTCGATTTCTTGGCATAATGCGTTCTTTGCCGTTTCTCTTTTCTTTCGTCCTTGAGGGTTCCAAGTGAGGGTTAACCCTGTGGCGTAGTTAAATGCTTTCCTTTAGTGTATATCCTATCTAGCTTCAGCAGTTCTTCTTGATTTACTCCTACACTAGAATCTTTACTTCACATTCGAATTAATCAGGGAAAGCAATAATGAGCTTGTTGTGTTTAACTTGAAATCATGAATGAATCATTGTTAGACGTGAGAAGTGAAGTTTAATACTGTCGGCTGAAGGTAATCAGTACAGAAGACAAATGGATGAGGATTGAGCAAAACCGTTAGATTGAGCAGAGTTAGACATTAACCTAGTTCAATGCCGGCTCAGTAATCCAGAGCTTAGGAGTTCACGCGAAAGACCGAAGGTGCTGGGTTGGAATCCTTCAAAAAGCAGGATCTTGAATACGCACTGCTGATGAGTCCCATACGAGGACGAAATGGCTGCCTCTCAGTGCTTTCAGGTTTCTAATGGTGGTCTAACAATGATTCACTCAAGATCTGAAGGTAAATGCCATTGTAATCAACCGAATTAAATTTCTAAACTACACAGGTTGGACTAATATTCTATGGATCTCTCATCGCAAGTCTTATCAAGATATATGATAAGATTTATTTTTTGTAAATTTGTAGTGAAGGAGAACACAGGTGGGGCAACCGAAAACGATATCGTAAATCGTTAATTCATTTGCAAAATATCAGTCCATCATATCGAACTGGACTGTTCCTGTTGCAAACAACATCAATCCATTGTCACTCCCTATTCATGCGTTTCATACAAATTCCATTGTGTTCACCCCACTCTTCCTTTCTCTTGATCTTCCCCTGCATCTTCTTTGCTGCCAGACATTACGTTGACACTCACGTCATATACTACTTATAAGTAGCTCGCACCACAAATTGTAATTTCAATATTTGTCACATGATTTCTATCATTTAAACGAATAAGTACATTTTTTGAAAAACTTTATTTTATAATTTCAAAGTCTTATAGAAAGAAGTATATATACTAAAATTTTAGAATCTTGTTACAACAGTTCAATATTCATACAACACATATTAAACATAATTAGCGAAAACAAGACTTAATTCTAAGGTAACCTTAATTATTTCAAATATCAACTTCAAAATGGACTGATCTAAACAAACACTTTCGAAGATTAGATACAAACGGCTGTGTGAGGAAGTTTCTCCGAGCTCCAGTAAGAAATCGTAACAAGTAGTAGTGTTCAAATTTGTTCAGTTGTGAAGCAGTGCTCACCGAAAACAGTGGATGAGATTGCGCAAGACCGCGAATTGATTAAAGTTAAACATCAACACCGTTTGATAACAGCTCAATAGTTCAGAGGTTGGGCGTTTGCGAGCATGACCGTAGGTGACGACGAGTCCCAAACTCGGACGAAACGGCCATTTTTCTGTGCTTCTAGGTTTCAAATGGTGATCTAACACTGATTGATTCATGATTTCAAAACAAAAAAACATATCATCTCGTTCAATATTTCACTTCAGGAAATTTTTAATCAGATAATTTATTTCAAAACGGGTTGTTATTTACCTTTTTCCGTTTACAACTACCAGTCTATATACACCGAAAATTTCTATTTGTATAATAGAGAATATTTGTAGATTTGAAATCATCAATCAATCATTGGTTAGACCACCATTAGAAACCTGGAAGCACTGGACGGCCGTCTCATACTGGTATGGGACTACTCATCAGCACTGTGCATCCACGACTCCTATACCTCGCAGAACCCTAACCCGGGACCTCCGGTATTGTGCACGAACGCCTAACCCCTGTAACACTGGGCCGACATCCAACGATGTTAATTTAAAAACACAAATCTCCAAAACTCTAACCGAAAATATCGTAACATGTGCTCACTAGTGACTAGCTTCGTGAGGAAATTCTTGGAGTTCTAGTTGGGCAGACGTGACCGATGGAGTTCAACCCTGTCGGGTGTAGGCAGTAACTACCAAAGACAAATAGGTGAGGTGGCGCAAAATCCCTAGATCAATCAGAGTTAGACATTAACACCGTTCGATACCGGCCCAGTGGTCGGATGGTGGATGCGCACTGTCACTGATGAGTCCCATACCAGGACGAAACGGCCGTCTTTCAGTGCTTCCAGGTTTCCAATGGTAGTCTAACAATGATTGATTGATGATTTCAATTGTGTAAAAACACAAATCTCCAAAACTCTAACCAAAAATATTAATTACAGTTTACCCTACGATTATTATGATTTATTCATTTGCTGTTGAATTTTCTAAATATCCATGAAATTAAATCAGTCCATAAGCAAATTATCATAGGCAAACTATTATTATCCAACTTCATTTTTTACTGATACTTACTTGTGATACAACATTGTTATATATATATATATATATATATATATATATATATATTACGGGGTTGTGAAGATTGTTAAGTTGCACATTTTTTGAAACCATGAATCGATCAATGTTAGACCACCATTAGGAGAAACCTGGAAGCACTGGACGGCCGTTTCGTCCTGGTATAAGTTTGCGCAAATCCGTGAATTGATCAAGGTGAATGTTAACACCGTCAGACGCCGGCTCAGTGGTCTGATGGTAAGACGTTCGCCTACATTATCGAAGGTCCTGGTTTCGAATCCTGCGAGGTGTAGGAGTCGTGGATGCGCACTGCTGAGGAGTCCCATACTAGCACGAAACGGCTGTCCAGTGCTTCCAGGTTCCTAATGGTGGTCTAACATTGATCGATTCATGGTTTCAAAGAACATTTATATATTTTAAAAACATGCATCTTTTTTCTCTTCTATCAAGACTATGTGGACTGCTTGTTTACCAGACACCCAACCAATACATGAAAGCTCTCATGTCAATCGACAACAACATAAGCATTACAAACGTCAACTACCTCAAATACCGTCAGAAGTGAATAAAATAGATGTTCGAGATACTACTACTAATAATAATAATAATAACTATTGTCAAATATCTAACAACTCTGTAGGAGGAATGAAGGTAAGAAGAGATTGTTTTTTTAGTTGACTTGAAAGTAACTTGAAATGTAAGCATGATAATCAAAGTTTTTTTATACAGTATGAGTATATATAGTTGTGAAGTTTGTTGAGTTACCTCTGACGTGATGAAACGACCCATGTTAGATCATTATTAGAAATAGAAAAGCATTGGACAACGGTTTTTTAGTCCTAGGGGTTGTGTGGTGCTGTGGTGCGAACTACTTATAAGTAGTATATGACGTGAGTGTCAACGTAAAGTCTGGTAGCAGAATACGGGGGGAAGATCAAGAAAGGAAGAGTTAGAAAACAATGGAATTTGTATGAAACGCATGAATAGTGACAATGGATTGATGTTTTGCAACAGGAACAGTCCAGTTCGATATGATGAACTGATATTTTGCAAAGAAATTAACGATTTACGATATGGTTTTCCGATTTTACTGAGTAACTCTGTAATTTTCGTTAAATACAATTTGGTTGCCCTCACCTGTGTTCTCATTCACTACAGTTGAACTCATCGACAATTCACACACACACACACATAGACTCGCAAGCGAGAATCGAACGGAAGATTTTCCGCCTTGCACGCGAAAGCCTAAGCAAAGATGTTGGATTCGATTCCCACTTGCAGAGTCAGAGATGTGCACTGCTAAGGAGTCCAATACTAGAACCAAACAGTAATTCAGGGATGTCAGAATTTTTTTTAAAAAGGTAGTTTAGTCTAATATTTAACTATATTTTATCACACACTGATAATCGATGAATGTCAGACCACCAGTGAATACCTAGCTACATCGAACAGCACTTTTGTCTTAATATGGAACTCATAAACAATGCTCACCTACGTCCCGATAGGCAGCATTCAAACCATAAGACGTTCGGTCTCCCGTGCAAAAGCTTGATATCTTTATTACTTCAATCAATCCTAAAATGTATTATATATACACTAAAATTGAATAAAAATAAAAACTGTTAGACTACCATTAGAAACCTGGGAGAAGCACTGAAAGATGGCCGTCTCATACTGGTATGGGACTGGCTCATCATTAGCAGTGCGCATCCACGACTCCTACACCTCGCGGGATTCGAACCCGGGACCTTCGGTATTGTACGCGAACGCCTAACGATCGGATCACTGGGCCGGCATCCAACGATGATAATGTCTAACTCTGATTGATCTACGGACTTTGTTGATGAGTCCCATACCAGGACGAAACGGCCGTCCAGTGCTTCTCCTCGATTTTTTAATGGTGCTCTAACCAATGATTGATTGGATGATTCCAAATGTGTTTAATAACTTGAGTCGAAAAGTTTCCATGATTAATAATATTTATAAGTATTCATTTATTTGTAATAAATTTACTAATCAGCTTGTAAATGCATTTTCCATTTAAAATTAAAACGTTAAAATACTTTTAACTCGAAATATTGTACTTCATAAAAAATGAAAATTTTTTTTGTTTAACATAAGTGTCACGAGAGATTGTTAAATCAAAGTACTTTCTAATAAAAAATTGAAAGTATAATTTATTTATAAAAGTAGTTGTTATTTCTAGAAGTTCGTTTGTTTTTTTTAATTTTGAAAATACAAACAAATAATTTCCAATGTGATGCGTTTTTATTTTTATTTTTCTACTTTTAAAGATTACTTTAATTTGATAATTTGTATTAGAATTTTTTTCGACTAATCTTTTATGAAATGACTTACTTACTTACTTGCTTACTTACGCCTGTTACCCCCAATCGAGCATAGGCCAACCACCAGTTTTCCCCAACCAACTCTGTCCTGGGCTTCCCTCTCCAGTTCTGTCCAATGTTTGTTCATTCCTCTCATATCTTTCTCTATTTCTCGGCGTAATGTGTTCCTTGGCCTTCCTCTTTTCCTTTTTATGCCTTGAGGGTTCCATGTGATGGCCTTTCTTTTGACGCAGTTAGGTGCTTTCCGCAATGTGTGTCCTATACACTTCCACCACTTCTTCCTGATTTCCTCCTCCACTGAAGGAATCTGGTTTGTTTTCTCCCACAATACGTTGTTGCTGATGGTGTCTGACCAACGAATCCGAAGTCGCCGACATTTTGCGTAGACAACTGTTAATAAACACTTGTATCTTCTGGATGATGGCTTCGGTAGTTCTCCATGTTTCCGCTCCATACAGTAGAACTGTCTTCACATTTGTATTGAAAATCCTGATTTTGGTTTTGGTTGAAAGTTGTTTGGAGTTCCAGATATTTTTCAACTGTAGAAATGCAGCCCTTGCTTTGCCAATCCGCGCCCTCACATCTGCATCCGATCCACGTTGGTTGTCGATGATGCTTCCCAGATATGTAAAGGTGTTAATGACCTCCAAGGCATCTCCATCGAGAGTGATTTGTTTGGTGCATGTTGTGTTGCATCGGAGAATTTCCCTTTTTCCTTTATTTATGTTGAGACCTACTGCTGCATAGGCTGCCGCTTTATTGGTCGTCTTCTCTTGCATTTGTTGTTGCGTGTGAGATAGGAGAGCGAGGTCATCTGCGAAGTCCAGATCGTCCAGCTGCGTCCTAACTGTCCAGTTGATACCGTGCTTCCCTCAAGATGTCGACGTTTTCATAATCCAGTCGATCACCAGGCGAAAGAGAAAGGGTGAGAGTAAGCAACCTTGCCTGACACCGGTCTTCACTTCGAAAGAGTCTGTTAGCTGTCCATCGTGTACGATTTTGCAGTTGAATCCATCATAAGAATTCTGTATGATGTTAACTATTTTCTCAGGCACACTGTAGTGTCGAAGAAGCCTCCACAGTGTGTTCCAATCCACGCTATCAAATGTTTTCTCGTAGTCAATGAAGTTGATGTAGAGTGGTGAGTTCCATTCAATTGATTGTTCCACAATGATCCGTAATATTGCAATTTGGTCAGTACACGATCGATCCTTACGAAATCCGGCCTGTTGATCTGGAAGTTGGGTGTCTACGAAGTCCTTCATTCTGTTTAACAATACTCTGTTGAACAAAACGTTTAATATTCCAAAGAATTATTAGCAGAAGAGTTAAGTTTTTATATTGTAAACAATCAGAGAATCTCCTGAATATTTTTTATCCTTTCATATGAATACATTTGATGTCACGGACGAATGATTAAGTGAGGTGAATAGGTAATTCTAGGAGCACACTATTCCGGAGTCGGGTTTTAGGGAGTGGCGTTAGTTAGATGGAGTGTTCTCTGTCGACGAGAAAGAGGCTTCGGACGTCTTGGTTGCTGATAGTGTATGTAGTTCGTTGGCCTAGCTGATCAACAGAACTATGGAGGTCTGTGTGCCTAGAGTACCAGACAGTTTAGTCGGGGTGTAAGTGTGACTTATAAGTAGTATACATTGGAATGTCACCTTGAAGTTACTACTGAAGAGATGAGTTTCGAATTCGGATATATGGCGTACTTGTAGTGTTTTGAAGACTAGAAGATTTGTGAAAGGAGGTAGTCAAGAATTGGCTTTTATTGTAAATGAACGTCTAAAGATATGCTAGTAACCTATACCTTCTTACGAAAAAAAATTGCTTATTCTTTCTGATCCTAATGTCCCTGTTCATTATTTCATAGGATATATCACGAACGTTTAAGTTAACTAAAGGTTTAAGTGTAAATGATCTTTGTTCAACGTATTACCATTCATAGTCAGTCTGTCAGTCAGTCATTCAGTTGCAACGTAGAACTTCGTACGTAAGTACATCAGTTCATGTTGCCATACCACACCAGCACAGAAATGTAATTTTCAATTCAAATCCAATAGTAGAAGAGGTAGTAAAGGTATTAGAAGTAATCGGAGAGGTTAGGATTAGAAGATATTATTCACGAAGTATGATTAAATGAGAAAAGTTTAGAAAGTCAAAACTAGAGGTGTTGAAGAATCCAGAAGATTAGGATTTGAGAGAACACAAAGAATGGATGCACTGGCGCCATTGTGAACGATTTTGAGCCATGTCATTCAAGGTCTCTAACCATCGATTATTATCATCTCGCGGACCCCAACCAGATAGTCGACAATTACCGACATGGCTAACTCCACTCGTCAATGATTTGATGCATTTCTGCCATGTTTTGGTTTGGCCGCCCCTAGCTTTCTTCCAACCTATTCCTACACTACAAAACAAAGCTCGATGAGGCAGTCGGTGTGGTTGGGCATTCGCAACACATGTCCCAACCACCTCAACTGATGAAGTTTCACCACTTCATCTATTGATCTGCCATTCTTACCTAACACCCGTTTCCTAATAACAGCGTTGCTCACTCGGTTGTCCCACGATATACAAGCAATGCTTCGAAGACACCTATGATCAAAAACCAATAACCTATGAATATCTTCTACTCTCACTGGCCATGTTTCACAGCCATAAAGTAAGATGGATCGGACTACTGCACAGTACACTCGTCCTTTAGTCAGCGAACGGATATCTCGCCTACGCCATAAGTGACTCAGGTTGGCAAAAGCAAATCGAGCTTTCTGTATCCAAGCTAAGATTACCATTCATAACCTATAATTATATTTTTTTTTCTCATAAAGGGTCTGAAATTATCGTGATTCATCCATCATCTATACTTTTCAAAAACTATTATTGTTATTATTATGTTATTTAGATGAATACAACACAATCTAATCTTATGCATGAATCACAATCACAACGTAATAATCAATCTCAGTTAGTAGAAGATAATTCTGTTATTGTATATCAACCTCCAACAATTGATCCACATGGACCAGCACCAAATCCTCCTGTTAACTGTTCTACATTAATTGAATCTATTTTTTTATCATCTTCACCAAAGCATAATCATCATCATCAACATCATCAAGACGCGAGTGTAGTAGCAATGAATAGAGAATTATCACAAATGTATGCGAGACAACCAACAACTGCTAGACAAAATTGGTTAAATCAAGTTGGTGATTTGAATTTTTTTTATTGGATTTTTTAACCTAAATTTATAAACTAATAATTTTCCTGTAACATCAAGTATTGTCTTTTATTGTTTGTGAAATTAATAACATCAGGAATAGTTTGCATTCTTAGTTCCCGGATATTTCTCAGATATTTTCATGATTTTATCTTTTAACCACTCCTGCACCCCGTAGGATTCGAACCCGGGTGCTTTGGTCTTGCGCGTGAACGCCTAACCTAATTTGTAGACCAATCAGAGTTAGATATTAACACCGTTGGATACCGACTCAGTGGTCCAGGTTTTAATCGTCTGCGCGCAAGACCGAAGGCCCCCGGGTCCGAGTCCTGCGAGGTTCAGGAGTGGTGGATGCGCACTGCTAATGAGTCCCATAACAGGACGAAACGGCGGAGTCGAAAATCAACACTCTGAACAACCTTATACTAAAACTTATCATGTGCTCACTGATGAACAGCGTCGTAGGGAAATTCTTGGACATCTAATGAGAAGCGGTGACCAGTGGAGTTCAGCTCACTCAAGTGTAGGCAGCTGCTTAACAAAGACAATTGGTTAGGTCACGCAATATCTCGGACTGATTGAAGTTACATCGTAGAACTTAGAAAGTGCGTACGTAAGTTCAGGTTGCTTTACCACATTAGCACCGAGGCGCAATCGTCATTTCAAAGCCCATAGTGATAGAGATAGTGGAAGAATTAGAGGTAATGGAGAAGATTAGGGTCTGAAGATATTATTCAAAAAGTATGATTTAGTGAAATAAATTCAAAAGGGATGGGCAGAATTTTCGAATTTGAGAGAAAACAGAGAGGGGATTCATCAGCGCCATTGCAAACCATTTTGAACCATGTTATCCAAAGTCTTTAACAACTGGTTTCTATTGTCTCGTGGATCCCAACCAGGTAGTCTACACTTACCAACATGACTCAGTCCACTTGTCAGTGACTTCATGGATTTGTGCGATGTTTCGGTTTGGCCGCCCCCTTAGCTTTCTTTCAACCTACTTTAACACCACAAAACACAGCTCGACGAGGCAATCAGTTGTTAGGCATGCGTAACACATGTCCCAACCATCTCAACTGATAGAATTTCACTACTTTATTTATTGATCTAACATTCCCACGTATTGATTGCTTCCTAACGACAGCATTGCTTACTGCGTTGTCCCATGATACACGATCAACGCTTCAAAGATAGCTATAATAGATTAATACTAGCAATACTAATGACACTGTTGAACTAAAAGACTTGCCGGTGATGGGACTAAGCGTTCTTGCGTGAAGATTCAATTTTCTTACAGAGGTCGTGGATACGTTTCACTGATAGGTCTCATACTGGTGTGGTGCGAGCTACTTATAAGTAGTATATGATGTGAGTGTCAACGTAATGTCTGGCAGCAGAAGATGGGGGAAGATCAAGATAGGAAGAGTTAGAAGAACACAATGGAATTTGTATGAAACGCATGAATAGTGAGTGACAATGGATTGATGTTTTGCAACAGGAATAGTCCAGTTCAATATGATGAACTGATATTTCGCAAATGAACGATTTACGATATGGTTTTCCAATTTTACTTAGTAACTCTGTAATTTTCGTTAAATACAATTCGGTTGCCCCACCTGTGTTCTCGTTCACTACATTTGGTGTCGCTGCCTGCTCGGAGGAAGGAGCTCCCGTGGTCGAAGGAGTTGGAGGACGGAGATTTGCGGAGCTTCCTGGAGGAGTTCGAGGCCGCGGTGAAGATGCCCAGGGCGGAGTTGGCGGTGCTGGAGGCGCTGCGGGGAGGTAAGGCGAAGGCTGTATACGACAGGTTGGACGGTGCCGCCGGGATGACGGCGTGGGAGACGGTCACGGAGCGAATAGTGACAGAGTTCGCCGGCCCAGTGGACAGGGGGGAGGTGCCGCAGAGGTTCCGGTTGGCGAGGCTGTCGGCTGGTGGTGGTCTGTTGGTGCTGGCTGTGGAGCTCACGATGTTGCTGCGCCGTACGCTGCTGAGTATGGATGGGGAATCGGGGGCACAGTTGGTGGCGTCGCGATTTATCGAGAGTGTGCCTGTCGCCGTGTCCCAGCAGCGGGAACTAGTAAACGCTACACGTTGGATAGATGCCGTACCCATTCCAGACCAGCGGGCAAGATAAACGACAGAAGTGGCAATCCGGCATATTGTAGCGTGTCACGGAATACGGAAAGTGATATTAACTGACCGGGGTCCCTGTTTTGAAAGTGACGACAGCTTATTAAAAGGGGGACGAGTGTGGTGCGCGCTACTTATAAGTAGTATAGGACGTGAGTGTCAACGTAATGTCTGGCGCAGCAGAAGATGGGGCAAGATCAAGAAAGGAGGAAGAGTTAGAAGAACACAATGGAATTTGTATGAAACGCATGAATAGTGAGTGACAATGGATTGATGTTTTGCAACAGGAACAGTCCAGTTCGATATGATGGACTGATATTTTGCAAATGAACGATTTACGATATGGTTTTCCAATTTTACTGAGTAACTCTGTAATTTTCGCTAAATACAATTCGGTTGCCGTCACCTGTGTTCTTGTTCACTACACTGGGACAAAACAGCCAACCACAACTTCTTCATTTGTTTATAATGGTAGTCTTAACATTTACAGTACACATTCTTATTAAACACTCATTTTTAATTCTGTATCTCATTGTCTCAAATGTATTACATTTCCTTTCAAATATCATTCATTATGCCACTGTGATTGTGAATACACTTTTTTTTTCTCCTACGAATCCAATAATAATAGTAATAGTAATAATAATAAACTGTTCTCCTTTTGTTGCCTTTTTTTTTTACTTTCTTCACATTTCTAGTTAGTTGTTAACGATTTGCCTAGTAGATCCGATCATTCTCATCATCAACATCAGCAACAATCAATCCAACCAACACAAGACTGGTCTTATCTTAATCATGTCACTCCATTATTACCAACACATCAACATCATCAGTTATCATCAAAACAACATTCACCTCCACCGCCACCAGCACCGAAACCTACGCTATTCTTTTAAAGAATAGATCAAATGATCATTGATCAATCATTTAAACAAACAAATTCAATTGTTCAATTTTCATTCCATTCAATTCAATTCAATGTTGAAGCAAAAACAATGAAAAATTCTACATAAAATAAAAAACACATATCACTTTATTTTCTTTGTTGTTTTTTTTTGTAGAATAGAAATGAAACAGCTCAATAAATAATAATAATATTTTTTATTATGATTATTATTATGATGATGAATACAAATTATCAATCGGTAAATTGCAGTTTTTAAATTTTTGTCAATTTGTAAAACAAAACAGTTGTGTTGTCATTTTTTTTAACATTACGGAGTTGTTGTGAAGATTGTTGTTAAGTTTTATTTGAAATCACGAGTCGATCATTGGTTAGACCACCATTAGAAACCTGGGAGAAGCACTGAAAGACGGCCGTTTCGTCCTGGTACGGGACTCATCAGTGGCAGTGCGTATCCACGACTCCTGCACCCCGGAGGATTCGAACCCAGGACCTTTGGAATTGTAGGCGAACGCCTAACCATCATCGGACCACTGAGCCGGCAGCATCTAACGGTGTTGTTAATGTCTAACTTCGATCAATTCACGGAGTTGCGCAACCTCATACACACTGTCTTCGGTAGTAGTTACTGTCTACACCCGAACAGGTTGAACTCCTTCACTGGTCACACAACTTCCCACCACACTAGAACTCGGATAAGATATGTGCTCACGAAACTAGTCACTAGTGTAAGCACAAGCAATTAATTGCATTACGGGGGGTTGTTGTGAAGATTGTTGTGAAGTTTTATTTGAAACCATGAATCGATCAATGTTGGTTAAATTATAAATGAATTATTGTTAGACCACTCACCAGTATATTAGAAAGAAATTTCGAATCATTGGAAGACGGCTTGCCGTTTCGTCCAAGTGTATGGGACTTGTTAGTGCAGTGCAGTGCAGTGCACATCCATGACTCCTGTTACCCCCACACAAAATTCGAAATCAGTACATTTTAGTCTTGCGCTCGAAAACCTAACCCCTGAACCAATGAGCCGCTAACTTACTCTATATTAATGTTTGATAACCTCGATCAACAAACACACAATCTTGATATTTAGTTCAAAAAATAATTTATAATAAGTATGTTTTTTGAATAATTAGTTATTTAATCAACTAATTGTTTAATGAATAAAAATCATAATTTCATTTATTTGTGAGTAGTTTAACAAGTTGACTTTTTATCAATTTCATTTCGGATGTTGTCTTGGCACTGACCAAAAGATTCAGCATTCATGCATAAGACTGAAGGTCTTGTGATGCGACTCACCTATGGTGCAGGTGAGAAATCCATAAGCTAAACAAAGGTCGAGCGTACGCTGTAGCAGTTCGCTTTGTTCTCCTATATGGATGCGAAATATGGCCGGTAAGAGTAGAAGATATTGGTAGGTTAATAGTCTTCCGTCATTGGTGTCTCCGAAGCATTGCTCGTTTTTCGTGAGACAATCGAGTAAGCAATGCAGCCATTGGGAAACGAGTACTAGGTAAGGATGACAGATCAATAGATGAAGTATTGAAACTTCATCGGTTGAGGTGGTTGGGACATGTGTTACGTATGGCTAACCACCGACTACTGCCTCGATGAGCTATGTTTTGTGGTGTAGGAGTAGGTTGGAAGAAAGTTAGGGGTGGCCAAACCAAAACATGGCAGAAATCCATGAAGTCACTGACAAGTGGACTGAGTCATGTTGGTAGATGTAGGCTACTTGGTTGGGGTCCTCGAGACGAAAGTCACCGATGGTTAGAGACCTTGAACGACATGGCTCCAAATCGTTTGCGATGGCGCAAGTGCATCCATTCGTTGAGATCTTTCACATCCTAATCTTCTGGAATCGTCAACGCCTCTACCTTTGTCTTTCTAACCTTATCTCATTGAATAATACTTCTTGAATAATATCTTCAAACCCTAATCTTCTCCATTACCAATAGTACTCCTACTATCTCTACCAGTATGGGATTTGAATTGACAATCGCCTTTCTGTGCTAATGTGGTATGGCAACCTGAACTGATATACTTAGGTATGTTGCAAATGACTGACTGACTGACTGACTGACTTGTGATGTGAAGTCGTAGACGCACATTGCTGATGAGTCCTATACTAGGAAGTAACAGTCGTCCAGTACTTTCAGGTTTCTAACAGTGGTCCGACCGTAATCGATCATTGATTGCAGTAATAAAAGGCTTAGTAAAGTAATTAATTACTTGTTTACCTCTGCCCACAATAATTTCTGTTAACTTACACAATTGGCTGTGCATATAAAATATTACAAGAACTAATCAGATTTTATATTAAGTGGATTGTTGAATACCAATCAGTTTATTTCATTTCTATTGATTGTACGCATCATACCACTGATATGTGGGTCGTAGAACTGTCATCGATGACATATGTACGTACATCCGTCCAGTGTAGTTTGCCTTGAAATTATTATAATCTTTAGGTTATAAGCAGTTGTGAATAGTGGCTGGAGATATGGTGTAAAAACTACATTATTACTGTAATAATTACCATGGAGAAAGAAACGTGTATATTTATGACTGGGACAGCTTTGAAAACGAATTCCCCGCCCCCCCCCCCCCACCAAACAGAACTCCTTGTATATATCATTCCATTTACTTAATTCGTCCTTAGTTTTAAGTTTTAGGTATCAACCTCCTGTGTGTGATGCACAGATGACATAGTACTGCTTTGTATGATAACGTTGAGAAAATCCAGAACTTTCTAAATATCTTGTATTCGACCATGAAAAAATGCTTGCGATGTATTTTAGTAATATTTAAATTGCAGAAGTTGATTAAGGATTGACTAGTCTATTTTAATGGTAGAAAGGATACTAAGTAGTCATTTGGCTTGTCTCAATTGTGACGCAGATATTATTACTTATCAATCTGAAACATAGTCTACAAGATTAGAAAATCTTATTCAATGAGAAGTGCCTTCATCCTAAAGCATTTCTGATGAATGGTTCTAAATAATGTGAGGATACTAATTACACTGACTGACTTATCATAAAAGTTCGAAGGATCATGGGAAGCAACCGAAAAATACATACTGTCAAAGCTTGAAGTGATCAAGCGTCGTTGTCATTTATTTTTAGATCCGTCCCTTTGAAACGGTTGTCATATTATTGAAAACTTACGGTAGTGAGGATTACAATTCATTTCATTAGTATATTTGCTATGTTGACTGACTGTTTATTCCTTTTGCGCAAAAACACATACTACTACTACAACAAAGTATCATCATACGGATATGTTAGTTTGTAAGCTTTTATCTATTATTTATTATCAATTGACCGAGTGTGTTGATAATCTGATGAAAATCATTCATTAAAAAACACTGGTGTTTTTCTTTCTTATTTAAGCACAAGTTATTTCATATTTGCATGTTAAACTCAAAGGTTTTCTCTTTTTTTTCGACTATAACTGTAAATAATTTCACTACTACTACTACTACTAATACTACTCTGATTACTACTACTACTACTACTACTACCATTCCGACTACTACTCACACTACTACTACGACTATTACTACTGAGAAGACTGAGGCAGTCGCGGAAGAGTGTTTTAAGCAAATTTACATTCTGAGTCAGTTAAGAACGAAAACATTACATTGAATACACTCTATTTGCACACCATCTTTAAGTCCTGACTTCCAACGCTCCAGCCTTCTTTCATTCCTGCTGTTGCTTGCTTTACTTCCTGTTGGTACTCCATTTACTTCTTGCTTTTGCTCCATTTGCTTTCCGTTTTCCTCTTCTGACCGTGAGACTTCTTCTTTCACGTCCCTTCTCATACTACTTATATCGTTCGTATAAGTAGCACACACCACATTACTACTACTCACACTATTACTAATCACACTAATATTACTACTACTACTACTCACACTACTACTAATCACACTAATACTACTACTACTACTCACACCAATACTACTACAACTACCATAGCAGTAATAGTAATAATAACGATAAAAACCCTAAAATAACATTATTTATTTTCTACTTTTTATTTTTTAGACAAATTTTTGTTAAACATTGTTTTGAATTTGATGTTGAAACAAACAAACCGATAGCGAACGAAGATATATCATCAACAGTTAACTCTCTCCGCCTCCTTCACGATTATATAACTATTTTGGAAAACATACTTCGTTTTCTGTAGAACAAATGTACATGATTTCGAACCAATCAGTTATAGTCAACATCAAAACCGATTTATTTTTTACGATATTACGCTCAGTGATAGACTAGTAAATAAACAGTCAACAACTATTTCAGATAAACATTACACATTTGCTCATATATATATATATTCCTTTTTTTAGAAAAAAAAAATCACTTTCCCATTTTCTCAACTTAGGGTGTTATTTTCTTCTCGGCTTAATTTTCTTTTTTTTTAGAAAAAATAACCGAAAAACTGTAGTCAATAATGATTTTCTAGCTCCCTTTCTCTCTCTGACTCTCAGCTTTTTTGATCAACTCTTATTTCTTCTGTTAATTTTGTAAAATTGTACACCTATTCTCTTCCCTTATCAATAAACAACTTAATTGTTAGCGCAGATTAAAAAGTATTATGAAAATAGTAAACCAGAAAAAACAAAACAATATATACATAAGAGAAAATGTATGTATTTTATATTTAGAAATAATAATAAGTCAACGAATAAAAATACTATTATCATTATTATTATTATTGTTATTATTGTTATTGACCATAACATATTATGTAACAAAATATGTAGATAACTAATATTCAGAATTGAAATATAAATATATATAAATATATATATGTATAACAATTGTGCAGTCATTCTTCACTCTACTATAGAAAAATAAGTTTCACTTTTTTTTTCTACACTCTTGATTGTAAAAATAATTTTTAAAAAAAAAATCTATCAAGATAAAAATAATATCGATTGATATGTTTGATAAAATTTGAAAATGAAATCATGAAATAAATTAATCTAGTATGTGTTTTTGATAGGAAAAAATAAGTAGAAAGATCACAGATATTCGGTATTTTAAAACTAACTACTTAATAACAATTCAGTAGTATAGTAAATAATGTAAAAAATAGTAGTAGCGGTTGTTATTTCAATCTGTTTTTTACTTTCCTCATTATATATATATACATATACAAATATTCAAAATGTTGGGGTATTCATGATTCAATAAATGATAGAAAGAAAATGAAAAATAAATAAATAAAGAGACAGAGACAGAGAGATCGAAAAAATATGTTTATAAAAGGTGAATTCAATTTCAATTTGTTGAAATTTGTCATTTGAGGAATCATTTGTAGAATAAGAAATTCATTTTCTTCTAAACAAGATTAAAAACATATTAAATATGTCTATATATATTTATAGAGTATTCATAGATATCTCTATGGTGAATTGCAAACAAGATATTTTATGTTTATTTAATTGTTCTTTGTGTCATATGATGTGTTTTCTTTTTCGTCTGTTCGTTCTGCTTTTCGTTTCAGAAATAATTACGATTGAACGAATCTGATTTAACGAGTGAATATAAAAAACAACAAAGAAACAAGATGGAATTGTTCTGTTTGAATGGATAAACAAGTTAGTTAGTTAGTTAGTTAAAATGTGAAGATCGGTGTTATACACGTGGATGCACATTCCTGATGAGTAGTCTCATACTATGATGTATGAGAATGAAACAGCCGCCTGTCAATGCTTTTCCCAGGTTTCTAATAGTGGGTCGTCTAACTATTGATCGATTCATGAATTTTTCATTTTTTTATCCTTTTAATAACTATGAACAACTAAATTTTCTTTTGTGAGACAGTCAGTCAGTAAACTCGAACGTGTAGACAGCTTCACTTTGAACGTGTAGACCGCTTCACTTATCTTGGGAGTCTCATCAGTGCTGATGGCCTGGTAACTGACGAAATCTCAGCACGGATACAGAAGGCTCGATTGACTTTTGCCAACCTGCGTTACTTATGGCGTAGGCGAGATATCCGTTCTCTAATCAAAGGACGAGTGTACTGTGCAGTAGTCCGCTCCATCTTACTTTATGGCTGAGAAACATGGCCAGTCAGAGTAGAAGATATTCGTCGGTTATTGGTTTTCGATCATAGGTGTCTTCGAAGCATTGCTCATATATCGTGGGACATCCGAGTGAGCAATGCTGTCGTTAGGAAACGAGTACTAGGTAAGGATAGCAGATCAATAGATGAAGTGGTGAAACTTCATCAGTTGAGGTGGTTGGGACATGTGTTGCGTATGCCTAACCACCGACTGCCTTGACGAACTTTGTTTTGTAGTGTAGGAATAGGTTGGAAGAAAGTTAGGGGCGGCCAAACCAAAACATGGCATAAATCCATGAAGTCACTGACAAGTGGACTGAGTCATGTTGGTAGATGTAAACTACCACGTTGGGGTCCTCGAGACGAAAGTCACCGATGGTTAGAGACCTTGAATGACATGGCTCAAAATCGTTCGCAATGGCGCCGGTGCATTTATGCTTTGTGTTCTCTCAAATCCTAATCTTCTGGATTCTTCAACAACTCTAGTTTTGACTTTCTAAACTTTTCTCACTGAATCATACTTCTTGAATAATATCTTCTAATCCTAACCTCTCCGATTACTTCTAATACGCTTACTACCTCTTCTACTATTGGATTTGAACTGACGATTACTTCTCTGCGCTGATGTGCTATGGCAACATGAACTGATGTACTTACGTACGAAGTTCTAGGTTGCATCTGACTGACTGACTGACTGACAGTCAGTAAACGATTCATAACATCAGTGTCACAGTAATTGATCAAACAATTGTTCAATAAAGCAGGAAAAGACCTCCTTCCTATACAATTTGAGATTAAATAAACAACTGCTAAAAATAAGGATAGGGAATGTTGAAATGATCGTCTAACGACATCTACTAGTCGGTGGTTTTTTTTTGATTGATTCCGAGTTCATGCTGAACGTAAATCTTGAAATTGAAATCATTTTTTTTCCATTGGAATAGTTTGGTAACTAATCGGGAAAACCTTACATTGCTTGTGCTTTCATAAAGAATTAAAACACACTGACTGATTCATCATTTCAAGAATAATAGCTCAACCATCTCCACAACCTCATAATGCATATTACATGTATGTGCTCACTAGTGACTAGCTTGATGAGGATTGAAGTTGATCGAAGTTAGACATTAACTCTGTTGGATTCCGGCTCAGTTTTTTCCAGAGCTTAGGCGTTGGCGCAGAGAACTGAAAGTCCTGGATTCGAACCCTGCGAGGTGCAAGAGTTGTCAATACTCACTGCGGACGAGTCTTATGCTATTGGGATTAGAGAGAGTCCCATATCTCTCTCTCTATCAAAATCAACTCATATGTCCATGCGTATATTACCCACTAATGAGAAAATTCTACTCACTAGCTTTTCGTGGCAACGGGATGTTTCTTTTTTTTACGAAACTGAAATAGTCCCGATGCTCAAACCAGGTTTGTGATTATGAAGGATTGATCTAGAGGAATTAGAAAATCTTCATCCCTAACTTATTATTAAACACATAGGCTTCAATATCCTGAGTGAAAAAAAAATGATATATGAACCTATTGTCGATCACTGGTTATCATGTGACTACAATTCTTAACGCCTGCTCCATGGCTTAGTGGATAATTACACCTGCAAATCAAAAGCTCGATGAGTGAACCCCCTAAGAAAACCATCTACTTTGATTTGAACATTTAGACAGTACCTTGGTTCACACAAAATCAATTATTTGTGTTTATTCCTAAATAATAATAATAATCATATCCAATAATATTCGTAATCGTAAAATACAACTTATTTAAATTTTACAAAATATAAAAAAACAACTTTTACCTGAAAACTTCATGCTGCTAACAGTAGGACGATATTTAAATTCATTTGCAAATGGTTGATAAGAAGAGGAGGATAAATATGGACAAAATCCATTATATTTATATTCGGATGATAAATTTCTATTCAGCGAAGCACTACGTGATTTTTCATAAGATGGATAAAATGATCTTGAATAATGATGATGTGAATTATTAGGAAGATGTTCAGTAGTGCATCGAAGTTTACCTCTCATTGGTAACATTGACGGTTTTGTATAATATGTGGTGGGTAAACATGTACACATGGAAGGATAATAGTCAAGATTACTTGGCGTGTAGAAGTGATTATCCTGTTAAAAAAGTTATTGAATTTAAAAGGTTAACTATGATTCTATGCAGAGATATGAAATTAAGAGTACTATTGATTTACCTTTTGCTCTAGACATTAAAAGTACGTGTGTGTGTGTGTGTGTGCTTTTTAGTTAAAGATAGAGTAAGCGATCTCATATTAACCATGAATCAAATATGGTCCTTGTTCCTGCAGTATAACTTTGCAGTAATTGTGTACCATTTCAATTGCCGTTTCATAAAGTTCACAATTACTTACTAATCAGTCGAACAGCGGACAAGTTTAGTTGTCCTTAGAAAGTTATTAATATCAATGTATGCCATGCTTATGAGACTAGTCGGTATTTAATACTCTCCGTTCTGAATTTGAAAATTTCACGTAGTGTGCGCTTATTTTGAGATTTTTAATTGCCAGAGGAAAAAAGACACTAATTAAGTGAACCTTTGTTAACAATTGTTTAGCTTATGAGATTAAATTCAAACATGAGATTAATTGTACAAAACCCAGGCGAAATGAAAGCTTACATTCACCCCCTCTTTTATTTTAGTCAGAGAATGAGGTTTAGATGAAGTTGCCTAACATCATCACTATTCCTCTTCAATATTGTCGTGTCAGTAGCATTTCGAAAAAGGTTCTGAAAGAAATATATAACTTATGTGTGAATGAAATTCAATGTTCGACCTCCAGTATGTGGACGATAGAGGCTATGCAATGTAAGCTTAGTCACTCGGCAGTAAGTGATCGACATATACTTTCTCTTGAAAATACAAACTGTTTCTTCAAGATTACCATGGACTTGTATCTAGATCCATACTTTGTAGTGAATATTTAAAAATGATTGAAATATTCACCTTTTTGTAAGCTGAGTAAAGTAAGTGTTAGTGGTGACCTGCCAGATGAAATCGACTTACAAACGATGAAAGTCAAAGTGCTTTACGACAATTTCGGTCAAAATATTAGTCTGGCTATAGTCAGGCTTTTCACATATCTCTGAAAGCAACCTTTCAAATGCTAGTCAGACTTTACGCTTCTGAGATGAGGACGTGTAGCCATTCTCTCTTTACCACTTAACCGCTGTTGTCTCCGAACGGTTGTTTACATCCACCGTGAACACCATGTTTGCAATGCCCATGTTCAGCAATGTGTTCGGGTCTTGTGATGATTATTCACAGTAAGTGTCACAATCTTAAAACATCAACACCATTGGTTTCGACATATTTTATGTATATCATTCCACACACTTCCAAATCGCATGTTATTTATTTATCAATGCTGGAACTAGTCGAAAATATCAGAAATGGGGCTAGTTTATATTTATGATATTGTTTTACGGTAAGAAAGATATTTACATAGGACTGACACCTATGGATAAACGAGTCAATAGTTATAAATTTCGTGACTGCCCAACTAAACAGCCACAAACGCTATACAACCTGAAACAAAATAGGAGCTAGTCGCAATCATGATATACTTTTCTTTCAAACTTATCATACAAGAAGTCTTCCATGATTGTATCTTTACCTTAGTTATATCTCTTATTCTCTAATATTCTTGGCCCCGACCGAAGCTGCTACCTTGACGTGGTGGTCAGGCTTGATTATCGTGATGACCCAACCGAGCTATATTGGCTGGAACACATGTTCCTGCAGGTCCTACCATGCCAGGCAGGTCGATTGGAGAACGATGAGACTAAAAGCAGCTACCCAAGGTCTGAGGGCGATGTCGTACTGCTGACTGACTGCAGAGGGGTGTGACAGCAGTAAGGTGTTTCCCTCGGACAACTAGCATCTGCAGCGATGCTGCCTTCTCACAAGGAAGCAAGGGTTAGAAAAGGTCGGCCCTAAAAATGTCACACCTCCCCTAACTCACGGATTTCCGTCTCCTTGGGTTAGGGTGCCCACTAAGGGCCTTTAAGAACGGAGCTGATCCTCGAAACACGTTTCATAAAAAGGCCGTGCGTGACCGGCCTCAAGCAGTTGTCCCTTGAACTCTGCGGTCACGCAACCAGGTCTCCGAGACCAACACTAATCTATCTTCCTTTTCAGGTCCGTCAAGAAACAACCTTCCACGGTGTGGGCAGCCGGGAAGTGACAACCGCCCTCATACCCGTAACAGCACGCGAGACCAAATTGGTCAAAATCAAAAATATTCTTGGCCACTTATTTGTTTATTGCACTGCCACTCTTTATTCCTCACTTATCTTATGTATTTATTGTGTTCACTCACCAGTTGTACCGGAATTTATATCTTTTAGTTGTGAAAAAAATAGGACCAAAAGAGACTACAAGAAACTCTGAAAATCGTTGAAAGCAGTAAATTATTATGGAAGCAATTATTTATTATTTAACAGCATAAAATTTGACATACTTGTCTTTTGTTAGCTACATGCAAAGCTGCTTCAGCAACAGTTTTAGGCGGGAACAAATCCAATGCCAATGCATCATTTAAAGTATCAGCTCTACAATTACTTAAATTAATATGGCTCATTATCTCTTGAATATCTTCGTCATTATGCGATTGACCTTGAAAATAAAATTTAAAAACAAATTTACGGATAGATGTTTAGAAATATTAGTAGCTTCCTGTTTTTTTTGTGTGTATAAAACTAGCTAGGGGCGGCCAAACCAAAACATGGCAGAAATCCATGAAGTCATTGACGAGTGGACTTAGCCATGTCGGTAATTGTCGACTACCTGGTTGGGGTACGCGAGATGATAATAATCGATGGTTAGAGACCTTGAATGACATGGCTCAAAATCGTTCGCAATGGCGCAGGAGCATTTATTCTTTGTGTTCTCTCAAATCCTAATCTTCTGGATTCTTCAACCCCTCTAGTTTTGACTTTCTAAACTTATCTCACTGAATCATACTTCTTGAATAATATCTTCTAATCTTAACCTCTCCGATTACTTCTAATTCCCTTACTACCTCTTCTACTATTGGATCTGAATTGACAATTACATCTCTGTGCTGATGTGGTATGGCAACATGAACTGATGTACTTATGTACAAAGTTCTACGTTGCATCTGACTGACTGACTGAGTTGACTGATGGATAAAGTTATAGATTAATGTAGAAAATTTATGATATTTAGCTTTCAACATGAATAACTAACTCTAGAACACTTAGCGAGTATATACCAAAGCTCTGGAACTATCATAAAAGACAGGAAGAAATTATTTAGTCCATCTCTTTAATCATCTAATCATTCACATATCACATTTTTATGCAACATTTATACTGAAATTATGAACCATAGTGTTGAAGAGTGAATGTATATACACGCTGAAAGCTTATAACTTCAGTTGCACTTATACATTAACTCTCGATAAGGGTTACTTGATTCAGTCCATAAACTATTCGAAATAGTTATTGAGGTGTTGCACTGTTCCATTTTGCAATACAATATACTGGACCGAAAAAAAACACTAGACAGTTCAACACCTTGAAAGAAGAATGATTAATTTTAAGAACAAAAAAAAAACTGTTTACCAGAAAAATTTAAAATCTAGCCTTCTTTATGACTTTAAACTAAAGCGCATACCTGAATTTGTAAGCTTAATTAAGATTTTTACAAGGTCATTATCTAAAGGAGTCTGACAATTTGAATTTTTAATTTGTTTTAATAGTTGAATATATTGTTGCATTGATAACTTTTGTTCATCAGCTTTATTTAACATATATTTTATGATACGATATGCTACAGATTCAGGCAATTTTTCACATTTTGTTTCATTCCTATTTTCTTGATTATCGCCAACATCTTCAGCATTTACTTCTTTAATACTGCTTTTTCTACGATTACTAAGTATGTCGCTAGTATTGTTCTTCTCTAGGACCTCGTCTTTGTAACTTTTCTTCCTTGAACTTCTCCTGGAAAGTGAGGCAACTTCTTCTGATGATTGTTTTTCAATTGGTATATTATCTGCATTGAGAATATCATTTAGTATAGAAGGTGAAAGATTATTGAAATCTTGTTCAGAGAAGCTAGTAAGCATTCTTTTAGCTATTTTTAAAATATCCACTCGGCATTTAGACTTTGCTCTATTTGAATCTGTCAATAATAATGCCTTAAAAAAATGAAAATGTTAATAAGTGATGTTAAATAACATAATATCATCTTAAAATCTGACATAAAAAAATAAGTTGGATGACGCCGGAACATCTAGGACTATAAAGACGCATTGTTATTAGGTCAAAAGTAACTGATAAAATAAATGATTTGAAAATGTAAGACGATAATTCGCCCAAAAACTGTAATCGATTATGAGCTGCAAAGAGACCAACCAAAGGCTAGGATTACTTTTCAAACTACAAACAAGAAATTAACATTCCACAACTGCTTAAAAGGTTATCAACGCATCATAGTTTCTAAAAAGGACTTAAAACCTACTAGGGACTTTAAATTTCGATTGAGTTCTTTTCAGAAAATATCTCATTCGAATGTTCTGAAAAAAATAACTCTTGATCTTGTTGATGTTACGTAAAACTTGTTCGTTTCAAGCAGCTTTTGAAGCAAATCATTCAATTTTAGTGACATGAACCCCAAGTTTTTTTACATAGCTATAAATGTATTCATATAAGTTTGCTGATAGTGGAAAAGAACTGCGTCAGTATTGCAAAACCTGGGTTTTCTACAAAAACAAATCTTTGGAATATAAAATTATCTTGAATCTCAATGTAGACTAGCTTAAAAGTGCAAATGTTACCAAATAAAAATTTTTAAAAAATTTTGGTTTACCTTAACAATCCATGTAGTATTAATAAAACCACAAATATCAACTGGTTTGTACAGAACTTCAAAAATTTTTTCAAACTGGTCTGCAGTATTTTTCAAATCCTCAAACAGGTTGATATTATCTTTATACAGTTTTTCCAACTTTATCTGATGATCTGGCTTTATTTTTACATTTAAACCACAAAATGGTTTGTCAAAAATAATCTTCTCAGCTACTTTGGAAATTTCTAGAAGTAATTAAGGTTATGCGAATGCAAATACCTTTGGGTGAAGCGTTTTTACCATCAGTATTATTCTGAACGTCCGGAGTTTTAGGCACCCCATTTTCAGAGACATCTGGGTCATAAAGATCAAGGATCCGACCCAAGTACCTTGCACAAGCATCTAAAATAATGTCTTCACACACATTTTTATCTCGTGCAACGCCAATAATCTTCAAAAATATTCCCAAAGGAAGATAAGCCAGGTAGTCAGATACTGACTCGTTATTAAACATTTCTCGTTCTGAAAGTGCACAGTTTAATGTGTGCGTTGAGAAATATCCTTTTAAACCATTCCATTCGTGAAGCCATAGTGAGGTTAAAAGTGATGTTGCATCTTCACAAATTTTTTTAACTACTTCCGATTTAAGTTCATAGGCAGAACATAAAACACTGATTAAATCTAGAATGTTGTTTTGTTCGAGAGCAGAACAAAATATTTCATCCAAAAATCTCCTGGAAATTTCGAATAAATTATCTTTGCCTTTCATTTTGAGGAGATCGGCTGCAGCATATAAATAAACCACGTTCTCAGAAGTAATATTTATTTCTTTGCCATAACAAAAATCAGCAACAATAGTGAAAGATTTCGGTCCACCAGGGAAGTCACCTATCTGACAAACAGGATTGCTACTTGCTACCTCCCTGAAGTAATCAGACTTTGTATAGAGCGGAAACTTGTGCAGTTTAAACCTCTCATTATCAATATAAACTGTAAAGTCTGAAAGTTCGGCAGTATCACGAAACTGTTTGAAATCCATCACTGCACAATAATGAAGCTAAATGAAGAATTATGTCTAGTCGAAATAAACTTTGTGTGCTAGGTGATGTGCAGAGCAGTATGTGTGAAGACAGCTGGAAAAATCAACAGAAAAAGCGAATCAAAAACTCCTTAAGCATATTGAATTAACTTACTATCTAAACTTAAAGAAGCCTATAATGATCATCAACGGCGTACAGAAACTGCAACAACAGAATTAACACATAATAATGAAATCTTAGCAGCTCACACCATTTAAATACTACGACTAGCACATCCAGCAACTAAGTAAATCATCTGATCAGTTTAAACAAGATTTCTTATTGATTAATGTTCACTAAATTGCTTTTTTACAATTTCTTAGGCTAATTCACAAAAAAATATATCTGCCGGATGTGAAATATAGTTTTTATTTTCACAATGATCGATGCTCGTTGTAATGTTAAGTCACTAATTTCGTTTTTATAGGCTAGTATAAACCTATATCAAATATCTTCTTCACAAACTAGTACAAACCAATTGATTTCTTTGCGCTCGGTTCTTTTACTTTCGGTACGGTTCCATGTGTTTGGTAGTGTCCAATGAACGGGGGTCTGGCCACGTTTGTTTCAGGGCAATAGGGTTTCTGGATACCAGCAGCTTTTACATTACCAGACCGAAGATCAGTTAGTTGTAAGGTAGTCAATAATAAGTATAAAGTTCTAATGCTAATATGAATAAAATTTCAGAATTAAGTAATACATAGACAATTCAGTTTATTAACTGGTAGTGAAGATTGTGAGAGAGGACCGAAGTGTATGCAGTAGAGAAGAAACAGAGATAATAGGCGAAATAGCATAATTGAGTGATCTGAGGAGATGGCGATGATAACAACTAGCAGGTCTCAAGATATGCATTATGCACAGCTTGTCCTAGGGGGAGATAATAATCCGTGTGTAAGTACGCGATTATCAAGTCTCATTTTAAAGCTGTCCACTGAATGGGTTGTGGTCACCAAGTTGTCTTCACATAAAGTGAAGAGTCGCATTTGATTGGGCTACGTCCCCCTAAGCTGGAACTAGGTTCGCGTGGTACACTGAACCTGTGTAGCTTGGTTTAACTGATCAATAAAGTTTGTGTTGAAGATCTCAGGGATCTCTAGGTTGGTGAGGTCTTCCCTATTCGGTACTTTGAGCGAACACAATCCGTGATCCGTAGGTTTTCTTTTCGTAGTGAACCTAAACAAATGCTTCGAGTTTGCCAGTATTTTGGCAGCTAGCTTTATCTGAAAGCATCTCCTGTCACTTCGAACTTTGGTATTGCATATGTTTCTCAATGCTAAGTAAGAACTACGTTCAGAATCCTTCGAGGAGGCCTTCCACTTGTGCCAGACTCTCCTCTTCGCCCAACCCGTGTTCTTCTATACCCTGAGGTGTGGTTTGACTGAGGTACATTGTCCATGACATCACTTTGGATGATTTCTCTCACTGTTTACCAGTGATCATCTACTGTCAGCCTCCACCACTCCTGTGGCAATGGGAAATGTAGGATGACCTCACTCATACGCGTATAATTTGCCTTAGTGTAGCAAAGATAGGGCTAACTTGTGCCCTGTGTGAGTGCTATGTTTATGACCATGTTAACAAGATTGCGTCACGGTCACTGCTTCCTGTTGGTGTATGTATTTGTACATCCTCGTGCATGAGCTGATCATTTGTTAACAAATAATCCAGGTTTGCGGACTTTCCTTCCTTAGTCCATCTAGTGTCAGTGTTGGGGTTTTTCAGTGGCTTCTGAATTCGGAAGAACAGTGGAATTAGTTCGATAGGCGCCTTTCTCAGTTAAAGACAACGAAACAGTAATTATCTGGGTAAGAAACGGTTCTAGGATTAATTAAATAATCTAAATAAATACCTAAACAATACTACACTATTCTTTAACATGATTCTGGAAGAATGTTCCTGTATAAGTCCAAAATTGCACCCGTCCAGTCCAGATTCAAAGTTCACCGCCCAGCGTATCAAATCCGATATGGCTGACTCCATAATTAAGTATCAGTTTAATCATCATAATACGGTTCAGTAGAAAACATAGCAACTCCAATAAAGGTACAGAAAATAGAAACTGTAACAAAATATACATACTAACACCACAAAATGGGATTAAACAGAGTACCAAGAATTTAAGGCAGGAAGAGTTAGTACGAGCATATTCCAAAAATGTAGGTAGAGGAATTTTCCAAAAACGAAGCCTTCAAATTGGATTCCACACTCAGTAAGCCCAGAGCTTCTAGTGGCTGCTCTAAGTCATCTTTGAAACCAGTGGTGTTGTTACAAGATTGCTGAGATTTAGAAATGCGGTATTGAAATCTCCAGCTAAAAGTATTTGATGAATCCCCAGGAGTAGCAGTTGCACTATTGCCTCAGTCAGTTTGTATTTCTGGGCTTTAGTACCTGAGGCAGGTCGGTAAATCCCTCTAATCAAGTATTTGGTACCATTTGTGTGGAAACAACACCAACATGATTCTGTCACCTCAGTTATTTAGGTGTCGTAAAGCCACTGCTGGGTTTACGAACAAGTTGTTCAAACGGAGTTTGCCAGATCTGTGAGAACTGGCTTTTGGAGGCTTTTTGCCTTTGCAGTGAGTTCAATAAGCGATGTTATGATCCTCGTGCCTTAAGCCAGGGTGTAAAGAAGGAGGACACAGGTGAGGACAACCAAATTGTATTTAACGAAAATTGCAGAGTTACTCAGTAAAATAGGAAAACCATATCGTAACCGTTCATTTGCAAATCTTCAATCCATCATCAATCCATTGTCTGACATTTCACTCACTATTCATGCGTTTCATACAAATTCCATTGTGTTCCCACTTTTCCTTTCTTGATCTTCCGTCATCTTCTGCTGCCAGACATTACGTTTTCACTCGCGTCATATACTACTTATAAGTAGCGCGCACCACAAGGGGACTGTGATCGAGGTCAACTGTCGAGTTTGTGCGTTTATTTTCACCTTCCTGCTGTTTTTCACGGCTCTAGGTCGGCTTTCGCAACACCTGATTTAGTTGGACAGGTCGTTCTTGGTTCTGTGCCAAGCCTGGAGTGCCTCAGTCAGGTCTTCCCGGTTCCTGAATGTCACAGCCATCAGACGTGTTGACGTGATATACGTGAGGTGTGACGAGCAGGGCAACATAGATATGCAAAGAGCCATCGTGGTGTGAAGGTCTTGGCTATGTGACAGCCATCGCCACATCGTGCAAGTCATGCTGAGTCTGAAGTTACCCTCATTGGAGGCGGTATTCCTTCGAGACATTCTGGCCTTTAAAAAGGCGATATATTTTAATTACGGTATTGCACATTCGGAGGATTGTGCAGTATTCGCCTCACTGTTCTTTATCAAAGGCAGCCCTACCTTCTAATGAGCTGCCTTCCGATACTGGGACATTAAATAGAATAAGTGAATTTATTCTGTCCTCCCTGTCTTTGCGTGGTAGCCGCTTATGAATAGCGGTGTTGCCATTCCCCTTCTTTACATTCACCCACTGTTCTGTACTGTTAACAGGTACTAAGGGATTAACAGCAACCGGTAGTTTTGTCGGTGTGTTATTTATGGTTTTGGCTACCTTGGTCACCTGTTTTACTGGTTTAGTGTCAGGCGATTTTTGTTTTCGTGTTGGGACTTTTGAGCTGATTTCGGGTGGGGCCTGTGGTTTTGAAAAATGCCTCAGATACCCTACAGAAATACCAACTGGTTTCTTCGCGCTTGATTCTTGTCCTTTCAGTAAGGTTCCAGGCATTCAGTAGTGTGCAAATAATGGGGAGTCTAGCCACTCGACTGCACTAATTTTAGTCAGTTGGCAGTTATTTGCGAGTTTTCTTGTCTCGCAGTTTGGATGTGTACATTTGATTAAGGACTCTAGGGTTTCTAGGTGCCAGAAGCCATCACGTTACTAGGCAGAATATCCGTTAATTTTAATGTGTAGAGTGATAAGGAAAAAATTCTGATGCTAATAAGAAGGAGATTTCAGAACTCAGTAAATAAAGCGATAAACAAGTTGATTAAATGGCAACGAAGATAGTGGAAGAGGAACGAATTGTTAGCTAGAGAAATTGAACAGATGTAATGAGACAGATTCAGTTATTGATCAGTTAGGTGCAATGAAGATAGTAATAATAATAGTGATAATTTTCGAGCATTACCTTGAAAGGTAAGATGCTCACACTGAGATGATTTGTCGTGCCTAATATGTTGTGCGGAATTATCAGATCACCTCTGTTACTCAGAGATAATAACCCCAAGTGCTGATGTCTATCTTCGTAAGGTTTGTTCTATTACTTATTTAGATGCTCTTCTCTGCACCGAAAGACATTTGTGTCCCTTTTAAGGAGAAGGGAGGCGATGACGTTGTGAACCTCTAGGTGTGCACGTGTGCATTAAGAATAATCCTGGAGTGATTACACCAAGTTGTCTTCGCATAAGGTGAACTAACCCATTTGCCTTGGCTGCGTTCCCTGTGTAGTATCTAGGATATCAATGGTTATTGGACCGAAAACGCGCTCTGCGTAGGCATTAGAGAGCGCCCTTCCGCCGATGGTGTGGGTTGTTTGCGTCATGTTGGACAGAATGCACATGACGTGACATTTCGGCTGGTTTAGTCAGAGACTATTTCTCACAGCGCGTTCCAGAAAATATGTAGCGTCTTTTTGCAGCCCATTCGAATACTCATCGCTTCTGATGGACCTCCAGATCTTTGCACCGTCTGTGTAGATCAGCGCTGCTAAGTTAACTTCGTCTGAATGATCATTAAGGAATATCATGAACACGAGTGGTCCTAAGATGTTCCCCTATTAAACTCGCGATTTCGATATTCGCCAAATGGTGTGCACTCTATATACCTAAGTTCCTAAGCTCTTTAGGGACGGTGGTCCAGTTGCAGCAGTTAAATTGACTGCGATTTAAGGTACAATTCGGGGACTTGGTATAATCCCCCCCGACTGACTTCGTTCCCTGATAGTCTCAGTTTATAGAAAAAGACAAATGTCGTCTTGTGGCAATCACAGAGGAATCAGTTTAACCAAAATAGTTTCTAAATTATAAACTAATATAATACTTACAGACCAAACTAGCGCTCATGAAGAGCAAGCTAGAGAAAATCAGTCTGGTTTCGAACCTGGACGTGACTGTATAGACCACATTTTCTAACTACAACAGATCCTGGAACACAGACACACAGTAAGGCTTCTGACAACAGTTGTCTTCCTTGACTATAAGCGGCATTTAACTCCGTCGATCGCGAAGTTCTGTAGCAGTGTCTATCATTAAAAGGTGTGACAAAGAAGCGCATTAACCGTGTACAAGCTCTCTACTCGAACACCACTGGTCAAGTGATCGTCAAGGCTGTGCACTCTCTCATTTCCTGTGTAACTTTGTCATAGACATGCTTTTGGACGTAACATCTTCGTCTGACTTTTAAAAAGTAGACCTTCTACCTGGAGACACGCCTGTTGACTTACAATACGCCGATGCCATTGTCCTACTTCGTGTAGACGCTTATAAAAAGAAGTCTTCTGACTACCCTATGCAGCGATGCAAGCATGTTGGAGATGCGATTCTACCAACCGAAATGCGAAATCTTGCTTCAGGATCTGGTTGACGTGCTTTTAGATACGACACTTTCATCATCTGACTTCTCAGGGGCGGACCTTCTACCAATGGACGCGCTTGTTGGCCTACAATAAACCGACGACATAGTCCTACTTGGTGAAGACACTGATAAAATGCAAAGTCTTCTGACCACCCTAAGCAACAATGCAAATATGTTAGGGAGGCAATTCTACCCACCAGAATGCGAAATGCTGCTTCAGGATTGACTTGCATCGGCACCAGAACTAGCGATAGAGAGAGTATTTATCAGTTGAGTGTGTCGACCACATCACCTATCTGTGGATTCTCGTCAGTGCTGAAGGCCTACCAGCTGACGAAATTTCAGCACAAACACAGAGAGCCCGACTGGCATTTGCCAACTTGCGTCACCGGATACTAGGTAAGGATGGTAGATCAACAGATGAAGTATTAAAACTTCATCAATTGAGGTAGGTGGGACATGTGTACCGCATGCCTAACCACCGACTGCCTCGACGAGCTATTTTAGGCCATGCAGGAATAGGGCGGCAAGACCAAAAATGGTGCAAACATACCTAGTCCCTGACGGCTGGACTGAGTCATGTTGGTAAATGTAGACTGCCTAGCTGGGGTCTCCGAGTTGATTGTAGTCGATGGTCAGAGGTTTTGAATGACAAGGCTCAAAATCATTTGCAATGGCGCTGGTGCATTGATTCTTTGTATTTTTTTCAAATCCTGATTTTCTGAATTCCTCATCACCTCTGTTTCCCTTTTAAAGTTATATCACTGAATTATAGTTCTTGAACAGTATCTTCAAACAGTGGTCTACTCCAATACTAATTCCTCTATACCACTATGGGATTTAAACTGACAGTTACTTCTCCGTGCTGAAGTGGTATGGCGACCTGAACTGATGTACTTACGTGCGAAATTCTAAGTTGTAACCAGTTGACTGACATCAGGTTAGTAAGATCTTCGACATTTCGACCAACGAGAGCACATATACCTCGATTCGTAGTCTTTCCTTGCTACATAAAGCTAAACAGACTCTTAGAGTTTCCGTATATTTGGACGGCTAGCTTTATCTCAAAGCGGCTCCCACCACTTCGAACTTCGTCATTGCATCTGTTTCTCGATTACGAACAAGAAAGATGGTCTGAATCCTTCCGAGAGACTTTCCACTTGTACCAGGCTCACCTCTTCGCTTGTACCGAGAATCGGGTGCCTCGCTTTACCTAAGTTCTCTTTCGAGGTGTCGTGCGCCTGAGGTACGTCGCAAAGCACGGCATTTCGAACAACGTCTTTCACTGTGATCATCTACTACTAGTTTCCACTACTCCTGTGACCGTGAGACATGTAGAAGATTCTGTCTCTTGTGCGTGCAATTCGCACTAGTGAAACGAAAGGAAGTTTCCGTCTATGACCATGTACGGACGTGAAAAACTTGGACCAGGGGCTGGTCGTTGGTTTATAAATAATGCACGTTCGGGAATTTTCCATCCTTAATTCATCTAGTGGCGCCGCATACATGCTCATACAGCTTCGAACCTCCAATGACTGCTCGAAGTTGTCTTTGGAACAAACTGGTGGGAGTTGTACACTGTTTGCTGAGATTTTGAGATGGAGTGTTTAAATCGCAGGTTAGGAGTAGTCGTCCAGACTCAAGGAGTGGCAGCCGTAGTCCAGCCTGTCAGTTTATTGTCCTTGGCCTTGGTACCTGAGGGATGCCGGTAAATCTTTCCAGTCAAATATTTATGAAATTTGTGTGGAAATCCCACCAACATGACCCTATCTCCCTTGTTAGCTGGGTGTTATGCAGTCTTTCGACTTTGAAATGGCTGTTAACAAATATAGCCACTTCACCCATTGTTTGGTGAACCCAATGACTTCGGGAATGTCCTTCCTTGTAAACTCACTTCGTTGTCTGCAATGTCCGGAGAGAACCATTTTTTTTTAGTTTTGAATATGATGTTCAAATCGATCTGAGAGCATATACTTCTGATTTCCAACAGTTTTTCCCCTAGTCCTCTTACGTAGCTATAGAGTGGCTTGTCTCATCAGTTGGCGCACCTCTGCATCGACAGCCTTTGTTGGATTATCAAGCACGTTGTTCAAACCGAGTTGGCCAATTCTATGGGGGCTGTTGTCTCATGGATTTTGTCTGTGTAATCCATCCAATGGTCGGGACCATTATCTTCGTGTCTTGTACAGTGAGTTGTTGATTGAGGTCGACCCTGATTAGGGCACTCAATTCAAACATAACAAATGCATCTGTTGTAATATCTCACTTCAATTCCTGTTTTTACTGAGATGTAGCTAGTTCCAATAATTATCCATAAAAAAAAATCTACTTCAGCTTTGATTTGGATTTTTTAAAGTGATTATTTCGAAATTTGTGATAAAATACCCACCGCTGAGTAAGCATTTTCCAGTTACAGGATACCTACTGAGTTCACTGGATGTTTGTATAAACTGAATGATTATTTTTCGCGCGCTGATTGCTCTATCACTATGGATTCAAGAGATCATTAGTTTAGCCGCAAGTCAATTTAGTAGTAGTTATTTGTGGTTTCGTACATGTGAGATTTACTTAAGAAAACTGGGGTTTGTGGAATAGGCAGCTATCGTGTCAATAGGACGTTTGGTTGGGTGAGATCGCAAAAAATCATAAAAATTCTCACAGAAAACGAATATTCAAAGTAAAAGAATCAGTTGAATAATTAGTGATTCAGATAATATGAACAGTCCGAAATTTAGAAATAAGAGGAAGACAGAAGCAAGATAACAATAAGCGAGTGACATGTTTAGTAGTAACAGTGGGTAGGTAGTGAAGCACGGGCTGGGCACATTTAGCCCAAGCGAGAGATGCCAATCCATGAATGAGATAGTATTCATGGAGTCTCTTCTGTATGCTAAAACTAAAAATAATTCCAGAGAGGCTACTCCTAAAGAGAGAAATTAGGAGGGTAACTTCACTTTGGTTGTTTGTTGTGGTAATTCTCAGGGGTTTTCTAGAGGAGTGCAGTGAGTTGGTTTAATCTGATTTTCATGTCTCGTGACTTGGCGAATGTAGTGTGTTTTCTGCTAAAATGATGTGAAGATTCACACTACTAAAGCGAAGAGCGAACAATCCCACGTGCTGAAGTTTAACTCCATGAAATATACATTTTTTAAATACATCACACAAAAGTTTTGATATTTGTTCACGATGAAAGAAAGCCCCATGAATCATGAGATTCACGGGAAAGAGGTCGCAACCAAGACGTCACAAACTACTCAACACGTGGATAGCCTTGCCCAAATAGCTCATTTTTCTCTCATTTCCATGCAAACGCAGCGAGCACAAAATATAAACATTGCGACTTCGTGTTTATTTCACGACAGACTGAGAATCTGGAGCAATACATAATAAAATTTTTCGATCCGTCTTTTTTTATACAAACACTGAATTTTGTTATTATCCATCTTAAAATTCATTTACACAACTGAAATTCCTGGAATGACGATTATTTAGATAAAGGTGTTATATACTGGCGGTTTTGAATCAGCCAAATAACATTTGCATTAACGATTGTCAAGGTCTAAGATCCTGTCGCTATTCGCTTCACTTTTCATTATCTAGGATACTGATAATTTTCGACTGATGCAAGCACCTGCCTGTTGTGCAAGTATGATAAAATGAGCAATGTTATGTGATAGGTCATACTATATGACAGAATAATGATTTGACATGTAGACCTATTTGTTATCACGTTTTTTTTTAATACAAAACAGAACATTTTAGTGCTGGTCTAATTTAAACAACCATATATGAACATCACATTTTCGATGTGAACTATTCATGAACACGTGTTATCAGAAAGCACACAACGCTCTAAAAGTATAATTTAGTTTGCTATGCATCTCATTATTCAGCCATTTAATTACAACAGCGATCTTTAACATTTTGTTGAGTAAATCAATGCCTTACATTCACGGCTTCAATTACAAATAGTAGACGCACTAAGTGTACTTTTGATGGATCTAATGTATATGAAAAAATGCCAATTAGGTGTTTTTTAAAGTAACTGGTACACAGGATCACAGAACAGTACTTGTTTTTTGGAATCTGGCCAACTGCATCTCATTACGCTTTCATGTGAGTTACATAAGAGATTGAAACAACTTTCAGATGTGCAAATGCACAAAAAAAATATCAAATAAAACCATCAACAGAAGTGAAATCAAGTACAGGAAACAACAAACGGATCATCCCGTCATACATACAAGACACATCGGAATATATACAGCACGACTACTGAGACCAGTTGGAATAGGTGTGGCACACAAACCAACAGAATCACTTCAAACAAACCTATGTATACCAAAGGACAAAAGAAGAAAAACCATATATCACCTACAAAATAAATTGCTCAGACTGCGTAAAATACTATACAGGCCCTATTCAGCTTCTTCGTCTGAGTGAACATCAGTTAGCAGTCAAACACCATGACACTTCTTCCTTTATACGGACATACTACATTCGATTGAAACAATATTGAAATACTGCTTACAAAAAGTACAAAGAACACTACTAAAGAATTTCTCAAGTCAAGAGGCAATCAACAAACACATCGATACTTATTCAATTTATCAACCAATCAGAAAAAGCCATTAACAAACATTAGATCAAGGTCAATAACAACCAATCAAAGTTGAGATGAACAGAACAAGCTACAACTCATAACATATGAAGAAATTCGAATAATTTTCACTTCTTCTTCTAACTGAAGCTTATGCTATTCACGATATTTTTGTTCAGAAGAACGTACAGAGAGAGAGAGAGAACAAAACTTCACCAAAAAATAATAATCCATGTGTCTGATAGAGACAAATTTCTTCTATCATCTGAAAAACTATACAAGTAAAAGGTGAAAGCACTGAAACAAAACATGACATACATATACATATATATATATCAATCAATATGGTTGCAGCACTAGAGTAGAGAGACACTACTTATTTCATTTGTTAAAAATGGTTCTCTGAAACAGAAAGAAAAAAAATATAATAAACAGAAACAATCTATATGATATGACAAGGATATTTTTTTAACGTGTTAGTTAGAACATAAAAAAAAGGCAACGCGCAACAAATTATTCATTCATCAGTTGGAAATGATAATAACTGACAAACACTACAATAACAACAACAACACAAGCACGCATACAATTGAGTAATAAACAAACAAACGAATACTGTAGTAATAGTAGTAGTACTTCGTATATAGTGCAAAAATTTCTTTTTTTCTTCAAATATAACACAAAATGAGATCAGTAAAATAAGGGAATTCTGGTTCAAATGTTACATATATATATATATTTAGAGAGAGAGTGTGGAAGAGACAGTGCAAAGAATCATATTCAATAGTAATTGATAATAAAGAGAATGAATACATGTGACAATTATACATACATTTAGATATATATATATAAATATCAATATGCACGTGATTAACGCATCACACACAAATTAAAGAAAACAAGACCAACTATATTGTATATTGTATAGTTTGGCATGAAATGATTGACTGGATAATTGATTGATTGACTGATTAATTGATAGATAGATAGATAGATAAATGTTTGAAAACAAACATTACGAAACACCAAAAAAGGCGTAAAATCAAAAAAAAACATTATATAATATTTAAGATTGTACAGCCAGTAAGACAGTCGTCAATTAATTATTATTATTATTATTATTATTATTATTATTATTATTAATGATGAAGGCGGTTATTATTTTATGCGAAAAATTAAAAGCCTATCGATCGGCGGAAGAAAGTATGTATTAAAGAGATAAAAAATTAAAAAAAAAAGGAAATCAAGGCGAAATAATAATTAATTTGAAAAAAAACAACACAGTAGCATTGCGTAATTTTACATAAATTAGGGTACTATAATATGGAGGTGGGGGGTATGATGTTGAGTATGAACAGTGTAGAGATAGAGAACCGGAAAGAAAAGGAAAACACATACACGACAAAAAGATAAAAGTTGAGACATTAATAAATCTTTAGGGGTTTATTTTTTTTTAATCTTTTGATAGGAATTTTAAAAAAAAACAGATCACCAGTCATCATCAAGACGGATAAAAAATAGAGAAGGAGACAAACAACAGATTGAAGAAGTGTCGAGTTTGAATATATGTATATATAAAGATAGATAGATATGCTAGAAGAATTGGAATTCATAAAACGCTATCATTAACATTATAAAGTAGCCTAAAAGTATACCAAAATTTTGCCATAAGAATAAAACACTCGGTTGATGACAACGTCGATTTCCTTTCAATTGATTGGCTGATAATTCTGGCATCTGAAAAAGATTTTTTTTTAAAAATAGAAGAATGGGGAATCAATCAAACCATTAAAATTGTTAACAAAGCCTCAAAAAAACTATTGAATATTGATTGAACACTGATCTATCTATTCATATGTAATGACGCTTAATATATAATTTCGAACGTCGGGGGTTGTAAGTGTTAAAGCCAATCAATGTATATTGACCACTAGCTGGATATAATAATAAGTGAGGATTAAAATTAGATAAGTAATTATTAAATACAGATTAGTTGGACAATTTAGATAAACACCATTAAGTAATAATGTGCTGTCCGTCAGGGATGTCCACTTTCTCCATTCTTGTTTCATTTTATCATAGACATGCTCCTAGATATAACCTTATTATCCTCGTCTCAATCTTCAGGAGTAGACCTTTTATCAGGTGGCTCGCTTATTGACTTAGAATATGCCGATGACATAGTCCTACTTGATGAAGACGCTGACAAAATGCAGGGTCTTCTGACTACCATAAGCAACAATGCAAGCATGTTCGGGATACGATTCTACCCAAACGAAATGAAAAATGTTGCTTCAAGACTGCGTTAGATCGGCACCTGAACTAGTGATAGGGAGTGAAGTGGTCGAACGTGCAGACCGCTTCACTTATCTCGGGAGTCTCATCGGTGCAGATGGCCTGGTGACGGACGAAATCTCAGCTCGGATACAGAAGGCTCGATTGGCTTTTGCCAACCTGCGTCACTTATGGCGTAGGTGAGATATACATTTGCTGACTAAAGGACGAGTGTACTGTGCAGTAGTTCTCTCCGTCTTACTTTATGGCTGTGAAACATGGCCAGTCACAGTAGAAGATATTCGTCGGTTACTAGTATTCGATCATAGATGTTTAAGAAGCATTGCTCGTATATCCTGGGACAACCGAGTGAGCAACGCTGTTATTAGGAAACGAGTTCTAGGTAAGAATGGCAGATCGATAGATGAAGTAATGAAACTTCATCAGTTGAGGTGGTTGGAACATGTGCCGCGTATGCCTAACCACCGACTACCTGGACGAGCTATGTTTTGTAGTGGGAATAGGTTGGAAGAAAGTCAGGGGCAGTCAGACCAAAACATGGTAAAAATCCATCAAGTCATTGACCAGTGGACTGAGTCATGTCAGTAGATGTCGACTACCTGACTAGCGTGCGCAAAATGACAGTAATCGATGGTTGGAGACGCTGAATGACATGGCTCAAAATGGTTTTCAATGGCGCCGGTGCATTCATTTTTTGTGTTCTCTCAAATTTTAATCCTCTGGATTCTTCAACACCTCTAGTTTTGTCTTTCTAAACTTATCTCACTGAATCATACTTCTTGAATAATATCTTCTAATCCTAACCTCTCCGATTACTCCTAATACCCTTACTACCTCTTCTACTTTTGGTTTTGAAGTGACAATTATATCTCTGTGCTGATGTGGTATGGCGACATGAACTGATGTACTTACGTACAAAGTTCTAAGTTGCATCTGACTGACCGACTGACTGACTGATGTAAAACCAAATAAGCAGAAACTAATCATTAGATTGGACGGAGTTAGACATTAACACCGCTGGATGCCGGCTCATGCACCAGACCGAAATTTCTGGTTTGTTGATGCGCAATGCTGAAGAGTCTCGCACTATAGAGCCAAACAGACGTCCAGTGAGTGACTCCAGATTTCTAATGGTTGTCTAACTAACGATCGATTACTGATTTCAAATGAACTGAACTGACAATGAAAATTGGGTAGGTAGCACGTACTAACCGATGGTATAAGATTATAATAGTGACACTTAAAACCTAACTGGCATTTTTACCATTTTCAATGAATGACCAGAAAACATATCGTTATTTTTTTTTGTAAACTAGAAAAACTGAGTTAGAACAACTGAAGATCGTACGATTCTTGCGACTAATGAACATACAGAATGACAAATTCACAAAAAAACCTAGGCAAATGTCAAATAAACTTCTGCATATTGACCTTACACACACACACACACACACACACACACACACACACACTATTACACATGATGAACATATCACACTGCAAACACATTTCCAGATAAAACTAAAACTATAGAAAGTTTGAATCGTTAAAGATATTATCACCTCTCTCTCTCTCTGAAAGTAAGAATTTCAGCCTTTCATAATCATACTATGAATATATATATATATATATATATATATATATATATATATATAACTCAAAACATTTATTTATACAGTGTTGATAGATTGACTGAAAGTTCATATACCTAAAAGTGACAGTCATCAAAACTGAACAATCTCTCTCAATGTATGATATATATATATAACACTAATTATCTCAAATTAGTCTTGTTGAGGATTGTGTAATATATATGCGAATCAGTAAAAACTAGCTATGAAAAACAATAGTTTGAGTCAAGAAATAACTGAATATTTTGTCGAATTTCACTGAAATCACTGAAATCGTGATCACAGCTGTTAGAAACATTGGAAGCATTGAGTGGCCATTCAATTCTAGCATGGGATATTTATTGGCAGTGAGTACCCACAACCCTACACACACACACACCAAAATCGAAATCAAGACCTTCGGTCTTACACGCACGAACACTTAACCTCTAGAGCATTAAGCCAACATCCCCCACAGAGTTAATCACAGTGTTAATTAACATGCCTTAGTTCAATTGTCGTTGATTTCATGAACTGCTACCATGTTTTGGCTTGACCGTACCTAGGTTTCTTCCAGCCGAATGTTTGTCAGACATTTACGATCAGGACTGATAAGACTCTCAACATAAATGAAGTGTGTTGACACGCTCAATTAGTTTACTCCTTAAATCTAATTCAGGCACGAATACAAACCAATCGGAAAGCAAGATTTTCCTCCCGAATATACTTGCACTGTTGGTGGTCACAACAATGAGTTTCATCAGTCTCCACTAAACAGAACTATACCATTTACATATATTAAGGGGAATCTTCAAGTAGAAAGTCAACCCTCGAAAATCCAGAAGTGTCGACTCTGATAGCCCATCAATGAAAGAGCTTGGACAAGGTTAATATACTACTTTGCTACACTTTTCAATGACAGACACTGTAACAGAACGTCACAATCGACAGAGTCAAAAGAATACCAAAGTGCGAATATTCGGTCTATACATCCAAGTTCAGGTCTGAAACGCCCTGGTTTTCTCAAGTCTGCTCTTAAAGAGCTCTTAGTTAGGGATCGAACTATTATTGAAGCTAATATTTCGGACATTATATTAGTTGAACTGACCCGTCTGTGATTGTTACAAGAGGACTTCTATCATTTCTTATAGACTGAGAAAATCAGTGACTGAGATCAGCCAGATAGGATTACGTCCCGTCCCCAGATTCTAGCTAAAATCTAAGTCAATCTAACTGCTAAAACTGGACAGCCATCCTTAAAAATCTTCGGCATTATCCCGTCAGGATCTGTAGCTATCCCTCAACTTAGATTACCTAAAGCCTTTGCAACGTCATTAAGAGTTGAAGGACATACATCAATTCACCATTCAGGTCAACTGGAGATCGTGGATAATCATAGTGTGCCTGAGTCAGTCAGTCAGTCAGTTGCAACGTAGAACTTCGTACGTATGTACATAAGTTCATGTTGCCATACCACATTAGCACAGAGACGCAAATGTCAAATCAAATCCCATGGTGATAAAGATGGTAGAGGTATTAATGTTATAATAAAGAAGACTAGGGTTTAAGATATTATTCAAAAAATATAATTCAGTGAGATAAGGTTAAAAAGACAAAGGTAGAGATGCTGACGAATCCAGAAGATTAGGATTTGAGAGAGCTCAAAGAGTGGATGCACCTGCGCCATTGCAAACGATTTTGAGCCATGTCGTTCAAGGTCTCTAACCATTGATGACTTTCGTCTCGCGGACCCCAACCAGGTAGTCTACATCTACCAACATGACTCAGTCCACTTGTCAGTGACTTCATGGATTTCTGCCATGTTTTGTTCTGGCCACCCCTAGCTTTCTTCCAACCTACTCCTACACCACAAAACATAGCTCGTCGAGGCAGTCGGTGGTTAGACATACGTAACACATGTTCCAACCACCTCAACTGATGAAGTTTCACCACTTCATCGATTGATTTGCCATCCTTACCTAGTACTCGTTTCCTAACGACAGAATTGCTTACTCGGCTGTCCCACGATATACGAGCAATGCTTCTTAAACATCTATGATCGAATACTAGTAACCTACGAACATCTTCTACTCTTAACGGCCATGTTTCACAGCCATATAAGAGAACGGAACGAACTGCTGCGCAGTACACCCGCCCTTTGGTTAGCGAACGGATATCACGCCTACGCCATAAGTGACGCAGGTTGGCAAAAGCCAATCGAGCCTTCTGTAACCGTGCTGCGATTCCGTCAGTCACCAGACCGTCAGCACTGATGAGACTCCCCAGATAAGTGAAGTGATCTACACGCTCGACTACTTCACTTCCTATCACTAGTTCAGGTGCCGAAGCAACCCAGTCTTGAAGCAACATTTTGCATTTCGAGGGGGAAAACCGCATCCCGAACATGCTCGCATTGTTGCTTATGGTAGTCAGAAGACTCTGCATTTTGTCAGCGTCTTCACCGAATAGAACTATGTCATCGGCATACTCTAGATCAGTAAGCGACTTTCCTGGTAGAAGGTCAACCCCTGAAAAATCTGACGAGCTTAATGTTAACTCTAAGAGGATGTCTACGACAAAGTTAAACAAGAATGGAGAGAGTGGGCAGCCCTGACGGACACCACTTGATGTAGAGAATTCAGATGACAGTTCGCCATATGCTCTCACCCGACCAGTGGTGTTCGAGTAGAGTGCTTGTATAAGGTTAATGTACTTCTTTGGTACACATTCCAATGACAGACACTGCCACAGAACCTCACGTTCCACTGAGTCGAATGCCGCCTTAAGGTCCAGGAACACGACTATTGTCGGACGTCTAAATGTGTGTCTGTGTTCCAGGACCTGTCGTAGTGTGAAGATGTGGTCTATACAACCACGTCCAGGTCGAAAACCAGCCTGGTTTTCTCGAGTCTGCTCTTCGCGAGCTCTAGTTAGACGTCTAAGTATAATCGAGGCTAACAATTTAGAAACTATATTAGTTAAACTTATTCCCCTGTGATTGTCACAAGAGGACTTCTGTCCTTTCTTGTAGATTGGGACAATTAGCGACTGAGACCAGTCAGATGGGATTACGTCCATTTCCCAGATTCTACCTAGGATCTCGGTCAGTTTAACCGTTAAAACTGAGTCCTCTATCGAACCCCTCCATCGGTGGCTGATGGCGATATGATCTAGTTGTTTACAACGTTGAGACGACTTCGGGGATCGCCAGGTCAAAAGGTGTTTTTCCTTATGCTTAAAATTAGTGTTTGCTAGAAATAGTTGGTTATCTGAGCACAGTTGCAACAGACGGTCGCCATTGTCTGTTCTTTGAGCCGCGAGACCGTAACATCCACCTAGGTGTCTTTCATTTTCACTTAGTCTACCTACTTGTGCATTGAAGTCACCAGCCATTATAACTATATCAGAGCGCTTAACTTTTTGGAGGAGGTTCGAAAGCTTTCTGTAAAACTCATCTTTTACATCATCTGGGCTGTAGTCAGTGGGGGCGTAGGCTGATATGACGAAGAGGCAACGGCGAGTGTCCCTATCTTTCCGAGTCCTTACTGTCCCGTTCAGTCGGACGGCGCACAAGCGACTATCTACAGGGATCCAGTCAAGGAGAGATTGTTCTGCCCTACGACTCAATGCTATACCTACACCGGCGAGGCCCCTAGAAGCAGCATCAGGGCTACCGGATACACGAAGGGTAAATCGAGCTGCTTCTTTATCTTGACATGGTGAGGTCAAATGAGTGATGCTACTCGGGTCCTGTATGCGCGTTTCCGAGACGCAGCACACATCGATGGAACGAGATTCTAAAGTCCTAGCTAATGACGCCTGTTGCCCTATTTGACACAATGTCCGTACATTGAATGCTCCAACATGTAGTTTGGAACGGGGTTTAAGGAGACCAGGAACGACGTTTCGCAAACTCGCATCGTTTGCATTAGCTGTGCACTGTAATAAATGAATGTGAGAAGAGTTAGTTGTGGAGAAAAGAGAGGTATTAGGGAATGTAGGAAGGATTTGATTTTGAACAATTTGGTCTCGTGTGCTGTTGCGGGTATGGGGGCGGTTATCACTTCCCGGCTGCCCACACCATGGAAGGTTGTTTCTTGACGAACCTGAAAAGGAAGATGGATTAGTGTTGGTGCGTGACCGCAGAGTCCAAGGGACAACTGCTTGAGGCCGGTCACGCACGGCCTTTTTATGAGAGGTATTTAGAGGATTAGCTCCGTTCTTAAAGGCCCTTAGTGGGCACCCTTACCCAAGGAGACGGAAATCCGTGAGGTAGGGGAGGTGTGACATTTTTAGGGCCGACCTTTTCTAACCCTTCCTTCCTTGTGAGAAGGCAGCATCGCTGCAGATGCTGGTTGTCCGAGGGAAACACCTTACTGCTGTCACACCCCTCTGTAGTCAGCAGTACGACTTCGCCCTCAGACCTTGGGTAGCTGCTTTTAGTCTCATCGTTCTCCAATCGACCTGCCTGGCATGGTAGAACCTGCAGGAACATGTGTTCCAGCCAGTATAGCTCGGTTGGGTCATCACGATAGGCAAGCCCGACCACCACGTCAAGGTAGCAGCTTCGGTCTCACCAACAGTCGGATTTCGAATATCGGTCTCATTGATAAGCCTGAATAATTATATGGTGTTATCTACTGCTGCTGCCATTTACGTCTTTTGTTTTAGCTACCCACCACTATTTGCGACCATTAGGAAGGCTTCTTATCAACCTGAGCTTGAGTTGACGCCGCTCCTCATCATGTTCAAAGCTAAACGGGTCGAGTTTCCGAGCATCTATCAGTTCAGTAGATGAAACTGAAATCGACTAATTGTTCTTAATTTTATGGTACAATCTACTTGTAGATGTCGCCATTGTTTACACAGCCTTTGGAATATCGTTCAAAGACGCTTCAGAGAGGATAACAATTTCCTGATTTCTCTACCTGTTCCTGAAATGAATTTTCAGCTATTCATCATTACCTCTTGGCCGAGCTGACACCGTAAGTGCCTTTCTGCTTCGTTTAATTTACCTACTTGGGCATTAAAATCATTAGCCACTTTTACTACATCAAAGCGCCTAGCTTTTTGGAGAAAACTGAAAACCTTTCAGTAAAATCCATTTTCATTTAATCTAAACAACTATCAGTGTTATGTTAGTGTTGGCATACACATCGAAAAGCAGCAGTTGTTCCTCCGTTTAGTCATTCAGCGCACAAGCACTTGTCTCCTGGAATCTAGAGTAAGAGATCCAACTCTATATTTGAACTTAGAGTGATCATAATTACACTGGAGATGTCACGGGAGGTAGCAGTAAGGTTTTCGGATACATTAAAAGTGAATGGAAGAAATTCTTTATTATAAAAGGTGAGGTCAAGTGAATGACTATACTTGGATCTCATATGCGCGTTCCAGAGCACCACCACCATACATCGATGGCGCGAGATTCTAGAGTCCGATTTGGCACAAAATTTGGACACATAAGCTCCAATAATCTAGTTTATAGCGTGGTTTAAGGACACCAGAAATAACAGTTTGCATACTTGAATCATAAGTATGAAGGATATTTTTTTCCAGATGGAACCGAAAAGGAAGCTTGGCTAGTGTTGCTTTTAGCGATCTGGTAATGTAACCATGGAGTCCAATCGAAAACTGCTTGAAAACAGTCACGCATGGCTTTTTAATGGGAAGTTTCTAAAACGTTAGTTTCGCAATTCAAAACAACTTGTCGACAGAGACGGAAATCTGTGGGGTAAGGTGGGGTGTGACATTTTCAGGGTACACTTATCTTAATCCTTTCCTTCTGTGTGAGAAGGCAGAATTATTGCACACGTTAGTCATCTAAAAGAAACACCCTAGTACAGTCAGTAGTACGACTTCGCCCTCAAACCTTAAGTTACTGCATTCAGTTTTACAATTCTCCAACCGACCTTTCTATGCATGATAGAACTTAAAGGACCATGTGTTCCACATAATATAGCTCAGTTAGGTCATCATGATAGGCTGACTCGACCACCCGACCGTAGCTGCTATCTTGACGTGGTGGTCAGGCTTGACTATCGTGATGACCCGACCGAGTTATATTGGCTGGAACTTATGTTTCTGGAGGTTCTAACATGCCGCGCAGGTCGACTGGGGAACGATGAGACTAAAAGCAGCTACCCAAGGTCTGAGAGCGAAGTCGTACTACTGACTGCAGAGGGGTGTGACAGCAGTAAGGTGTTTCCCTCAGACAACCAGCATCTGCAGCGATGCTGCCTTCTCACAAGGAAGGAAGGGTCAGAAAAGGTCGACCCTAAAAATGTCACACCTCACCCTACCTCACGGATTTCCGCCTCCTTGGGTAAGGGTGCCCACTAAGGGCCTTTAAGAGCGGAGCTAATACTCAAAAAACCTTTAAAAAAGGCCGTGCGTGACCGGCCTCAAGCAGTTGTCCCTTGGGCTCTGCGGCCACACACCCAGATCTCTAAGACCAACGCTAATCTAACTTCGTTTTCAGGTTCCTCTAGAAACACCCCTCCACGGTGTGGGCAGCCGTGAAGTGACAACCGCCCTCATACCCGTAACAGCACACCAGACCGAATAGGTCAAAATCACATCCTGTCTAACTCGACCACTATCGTTAACGTAGCAGATTCGGTCCAACACAGAGTAAACTTGATCAGCTACAATATTTTCAAACATGTGTATAGAGAACTAATGAACAAACATACTGCAAAATTCCAATTACACTTATAGCAATCAATGAATTGTAAAGATCTCTTGATATATATAAAAAAACTTACCATATCAACTAGTGCAATATAAATAAACATCCCAGCAGCTAACATAAATATCCATGTATCTAATGAATGCATACCACCGAGTAAAAAACCAATAAGCATTCCAGCAGCACATAATATACTAGAGAATAAATTATAAAACAGCGCTGATTTTACAGACATTCCAGCGTGTAGTAAAACAGCAAAATCACCTGTAAGTAAATTAGACAGAAAGAAAATATAACATTCAGTTACAAATAATTATTTGAGAAGAGTTGATCAGTTAGTTTTAGCATAAATAATCCTACATTTTTTTGATCGTTGTAGACGTACACTTCAACAGAGAGAGTCATACAAATGTTTAAGATTAACTCTTATTCAATGTGCGTATTTGTATCAGATGAGTTTAAGTCTGAAAAGAGTGGCTTTTGGAGTTAATCAGTCGGTCAGTCGGATGTAACGTAGAACTTCGTACGTAACTACATCAGTTCATGTTGCCATACCACATTATTAGCACAGAGATGTAATTGTCAATTCAAATCCAATAGTAGTAGAGGTAGTAAGGGAATTAGAAGTAATCGGAGAGGTTAGGGTTAGACGATACTATTCAAGAAGTATGATTCAGTGAGAAAAGTTTAGAGAGTCGAAACTAGAGGTGTTGAAGAATCCAGAAGATTAGGATTTGAGAGAACACAAAGAATAAATGCACCGGCGCCACTGCGAACGATTTTGAGCCATGTCATTCAAGGTCTCTAACCATCGATTATTATCATCTCGCGGACCCCAACCAGGTAGTCGACAATTACCGACATGACTCAGTCCACTCGTCAATGACTTCATGGATTTCTGCCATGTTTCAACTGATGAAGTTTCATTACTTCATCGATTGATCTGCCATTCTTACCTAGCACCCGTTTCCTAATAACAGCGTTGCTCACTGGGGTGTCCCAACACTACTTTACTTTATCTAGAGCTCTCTCTACTACAACTTTACCAAGAAAAGAAGGAAGGACAAGACTGTATGATTTGTTCACTGTCCTCAAGTCATTCCTATTGATGACATCATGGATATGTGTGCGGTGCAAAAGATTTTTAACTGTCATATATGTTGAATAATTGCACAATGTAGATTTGTTTGTTGATTTTTGTCAGTACTAGTAGAAGTGAGACAGATTAGCTCAACATGTTGCTACATCTTAACAATTATTATCAATTGAGCTTTCTGATTGACGTATGGTAAATTCTATTTTTGATAAACTGCGAGTTTTTTTTCTATTACGACACACAATAAATGCAAACTTGAATAAAGCAAATGTTCATCAAACAACAACGATTATATGCTGATAATTAATTACACACGCTTAATAGGGCAGACATTAAAACTGTATTTTCCACTGACAATTCAACTCTAGTTTTTAATTGGTTGATCACAGAAGTTTTAAAAAAAAATGACAAAATCCACAATAAACAGGTTCATTGTATTTTAAACAGTTTATTAATATTTTTTCAAAATATATAATTATCGTGCGAAAAAGGCACTTAAACATTAAACACAGTGGACCATGAGGTTGTGTGTGACAGTGTCTGTCATTGAAGTACATTAACCTGCTCTCTACTCGAACAATACAGGTCAAGTTACAGTCTATGACGAACTGTCATCGGAATTGGTTGCTTCAAGCGATGTCTGTCAAACATGCATACTTCATCCATTCCGATTTTACTTTGTCACTGACGTGCTTTTTAGATACGACACATTCATCATCTAACTTCTCAGGGGCAGACCTTTTACGAATGGATTCGCTTGCTGACGCCGATGACACAGTCCTAAATGGTGAAAACACTGATAAAATGAAAGCTCGATTGGCTTTTGCCAACTTGCATCACCACTTATGGCGTAGGAGAGATATCCGTTTGCTGACTAAAGGACGAGTGTACTGTGCAGTAGTTCGTTACGTCCTATTTTATGACTGCAAAACATGGCCGTTAAGAGTATTGGACATTCGAATCATCAGTGTCTCCGAAGCATTGCTCGTGTATCCTGGGGCAACTGCATAGTCAATGCTGTCGTTAGGAAACAGGTTCTAGGTAGGGATGGATGAAAGTTCATCAGTTGAGGTGGTTGGAACATGTGTTACGTATGCCTAACCACAGACTGCCTCGTCCAGCTGTGTTTTGTGACGTAGGAGTAGGTTGGAAGATGCAAGGGATGGCCAGACCAAAACATGGTAAAAATCCATAGAGTCACTGACAAGTGGAGTGAGCAGGTGTTGACTACCTGATTAGAGTCGGCAAAATGACAGTAATCGATGGTTAGAGACCCTAAATGACATATCTCAAAATCGTTTGCAATGCCGCAGGAGCATTCATTCTTTGTGTTCTCTCAAATCCCAAACTTTCTGATTCTTCGTCACTTTATCTTTTGCTTTTAAGTTTATTTCAATAGATTCTACTTCTTGAATAATATTTTCGAACCCTAGTGTCTCCGATGACTGCTAATACCTTTACTACCTTTACTTCTATGGGATTTGAATTGACAATTACATCTTTGTGCTAATGTGACATGGCAACTTGAACTGATCTCCTTGCCTACGTACAAAGTCCTACGTTGCTGTTGATCGATTGATTGATTGACTTAAATATTTATGTGCCCAGGATACTCTGTCTGGATGATCAAACCAATACAGATGACTTCTTTTTCGCATCGAACCTATGACCAACAGGTCTGATTAACGAAAAAATTCGGGAATGTTTCGGAGATTAAATCACACGGTACGCGAAGCCTATGTACAACGTTGGTTTATTTACCAGAGTTTTCCATATCTCCAAAGTGAGACACCTCTGTGCTCCAAACACTGGATTACGTGCCGGACATTCATTCCCCCCATCCCCTTATATCGGTAAAACAAAAAACAACCTTTTCATGACAATTCAGTGAATAGAACTTTTCTTATAGTGGATCTATAATACACAGAGTCATGTAAGGAGATTTTTTGGAGAGAAACAACTTAATCTCACTCACTATTTTTAGTAGTATAAGAGTGGACCCTCCTCGATATGAAAAAAACATTAACTAGATACGAATTTATACAGTAGTAAGTAAGTAAGTAATAAAGTGTAGTAGTAGTAGTAGTATTTCAATGCTATTTAAAATTAAGTCAAATGTTTGGCAACGGCTATTATTATTATTTTAAATTCCTCAAATATCAATAATATTTAACAACAATATATATATATATATATATATATATATATATATAATACAGTAAAGAGTAATGCGAGTATTATTTGTAAGCAATCGATCTATGGTATGATATCTACTCGATTTAAATTTTTTTTAAAAAAATCAAACAACACTAACTACGTAGTATGACTGACTACACACACACACACACACACAAATAATAATCACCTACCTAATTCATGTGGAAGTTCATGACAAAGTACAGCTATGGATGTGGATAGACCACCACGCATATCACTAGCAAATGCAGCACCAATTGCTATACCATCACAAAAATTATGCAGTCCATCACCAACAATGATAGTGTAGGCAATCGCCCGTACAGAACTTAAATCATGACTATGACCATGATGATGTCCATGTGGTTTATCACGATGTGGATGTGTTTGTAGCTGTTCAGTGCCAACAATATAATCTAAGGAGATATTCTTCTTGATCATTGTATTGGATGAATCCATTTTAGTAAGAGTATTATTATTATGATGATGATCATGATTGACAAGATCTAATATGGGATTCTAATGAAGAAAAATATTAGATAAATGCATAAATTAATATGGACAAGTATAAAATAAAATACTATTGAAAAAGTAAGGATACAATGATGATTAATGAACGCAACGAAGCAATGTTTACCTAGTGGTGAAACTCCCAACCTGAAGCCCTAGTTAGTCTACAATGACTGCCGGTTGGGCATGGGGGGTTAGCCCCTGCACATCCTGTCGAGAAAATCAACTTGCTAACCGGAAAAAATAATTCCAACCACTCACTGCATTGGGGAGTTGGAAAGTTTTCATTTTAAAAAAAAGATAGTTATTACACCTCATATAATTAAAGCCGAGTTCCTTCGGAAGTCAGTAAGGCTGATTACCCCCCTTCTAGACAACCACCAGAGTAATCATTAATATAAAAATATACATGAAATGTTTGTGCATTGTGAGAGAGAGACTGGAAGAAAAGAGGAAGAAGACCCAGGAACATATTACGCCATCTGCTTAGCAAAAGAAAGTCACTACTACTTCACCAATGATATGCATTCATTCGTCCATTAGGATATTTTCTGATATGGTGGAGAAAACTTGTAGCTCAGGTGAATGATTGTGGTGGTGTTTCGTTCTCTGAGCTTGTTGTTTTGGTTGTGGAGCTGTCTATCTGAAGTTTGTACTGATGATGTTCATTGTTCAGAAGAAGAACTATGAAAGCTCCACAACCAAAAACAACCAGCTCAGAGAACGAAACACCACCACAATATTTTCTGATGCATATACATATATATACAACGGTATACTCATTTGACTACTAAATCGCATTTTCTTTGTGAAAAATGTATCAACTCGTTTATACTTAAATAATATCTACCAATTCATATTAACTAACTAACAGAGAAAAAAAAGGGTAAACTATATTATATAATAATCAGTCAGTCAGTTGCAACGTAGAACTTCGTACGTATGTACATAAGTTCATGTTACCATACCACATTATTAGCACAGAGACGCAAATGTCAAATCAAATCCCATAGTGATTAAGATAGTAGAGGTATTAATGGTAATGAAGAAGACTAGGGTTTGAAGATACTATTCAAGAAGTATAATTAAGTGATATAAAGTTAGAAAGACAAAGGTATAGGTGCTGACGAATCCAAAAGACTAGGATTTGAGAGAGCACAATGAATGGATGCACTTGCGCCATTGCAAACGATTTTGAGCCATGTCGTTCAAGGTCTCTAACCATTGGTGACTTTCGTCTGGCGGACCCCAACCAGGTATTCTACATCTACCAACATGACTCAGTCCACTAGTCAGTGACTTCATGTATTTCTGCCATGTTTTGGTCTGGCCGCCCCTAACTTTCTTCCAACCTACTCCTACACCACAAAACATAGCTCGTCGAGGCAGTCGGTGGTTAGCAGTACGTAACACATGTCCCAACCACCCCAACTGATGAAGTTTCACTACTTCATCTATTGATCTGCCATCCTTACCTAGTACTCGTTTCCTAACGACACCATTGCTTACTCGGCTGTCCCACGATATACGAGCAATGCTTCTTATACATCTATGACCGAATACTAGTAACCTAAGAACATCTACTCTTAACGGCCATGTTTCACATCCATATACGAGAACGAAGCAAACTGCTGCACAGTACGCCCGTCCTTTTGTTAGCGAACGGATATCACGTCTACGCCATAAGTGACGCAGGTTGGCAAAAGTCAATCGAGCTTTCTGTATCCGAGCTGAGATTTCGTCAGTCACCAGGCCATCAGCACTGATGAGACTCCTCAGATAAGTGAAGTGTTCAACACGCTCGACTACTCCTACTCCCTATCACTAGTTCAGGTGCCGATGCAACCCCAGTCTTGAAGCAACATTTTGCATTTCAGTGGGGGGGAACCGCATCCCGAACATGCTTGCTTGCATTGTTGCTTATGGTAGTCAGAAGATTCTGCATTTTGTCAGCGTCTTCATCGAATAGAACTCTATGTCATCGGCATATTCTAGATCAGTAAGTAGTAAGCGACTTTCCTGGTAATAATATTAACACAATTAAACGAAAACTTTAAACCACAATAATAAAAAACACAAAGTATCAAATTAAACATTCCAACCCCGAATTTTTTTTATGGAATTTATTTTCAAAAAAAAACGATATTAGTATTACATAACATGTACAATGATGGATTAAATCAAAAATCTACTTAATCAACAAAATAATTCATTGTAAAGTTTTTTTGTCTAAAATAAATTTTTTTTTCTCTTTGTTCTAACTTAAAATTATTTGCATATCTATCTATCATCTGACATAAAATAAATCTTTTGCGGATTTATTTATTTATTTATTAGAGAGAATACGTGACATTAACACAACCTGATTTAAAACATTGAATTGTATGTAGTACGTAGTACATAATGAAACATAATGCAAAAAGCTTATGAATACATAAGTTCATCAATAGTAATAGTGTGGTGTGAGCTACTACTTATAAGTAGTATATGACGTGAGTGTCAACGTAATGTCTGGCAGCAAAAGATGGGGGGGAGATCAAGAAAGGAAGAGTTGGAAGAACACAATGGAATTTGTATGAAACGCATGAATAGTGAGTGACAATGGATTCATGTTTGGCAACAGGAACAGTCCAGTTCGATAGGATGGACTGATATTTTGCAAATGAACAATTTACGATATGGTTTTTCCGATTTTACTGAGTAACTCTGTAATTTTCGTTAAATACAATCAGGTTTCCCCACCTGTGTTCTCGTTCACTACAGTAGTAGTAGTTGAGATCATTGTTAAAATTTAATAACAACAAAAAAAACGCACAATCAACGGAAACACTTAAGAAAAACAACATGACCATGTTGCCAATACACGTAAACATGACATTTTGATTTGCTTGAACTATTACAAGTTTACCTTGGTCGGAAAACGAGAGAGCAAGGATCGAGGATCCGGTGACACGATATGCTACTCCAATCTGAGGGTCCCAAACCCCCAGTGAGTGAAAGAAAGAAGGCTTGATATAAAGTAGAATCTGTATTCTACAATCATTCAGAAAGTACGAGGTTCGAGTCCAGAAGAGAATCAGGATCCCCCGGACAAGGGATCCGGGTTCAGGTCATAAAACGTTACAGATAATGCGTATTTATACAGTTAGGTCGAATAAGAAACAGCATCGAAATCTGTGACATTGACAGTTAAGGCGACCAATAGGAAAAAAACATTTGAAGTGACATTGATAGCTAGGACTGTAGTGAAGGAGAACACGGGTGAGGACAACCGAATTGTATTTACCGAAAATTACAGAGTTACTCAGTAAAATCGGAAAAACCATATCGTAAACGGTTAATTTGCAAATCTTCAATCTATCATCAATCCATTGTCTGACATTTCACTCACTATTCATGCGTTTCATACAAATTCCATTGTGTTCTTCTAACTCTTCCTTTCTTGATCTTCCCCCATCTTCTGCTGCCAGACATTACGATTACACTCACGTCATATACTACTCTTAAGTAGCGCGTGCTTTTCGTGACTCATACACTTGATAATCTTGAAACCATCTCTGCAGTTGACTGGCATTTACGCGCTTCTGCTTGTCTTCTCTCCGGATCGTGTACACAGCGCCGCGTCTATCCGTGATAACGTACGGTCCTTCACACTTTGGGATCAGCAAAATCAATGGTAAGGCTTTCTCCCAATCTCCTCCTTTAGATGCTAACCATTCCTTTAACGTCCGGTTGTTTCTCTCTGTAAGCCCGTTTATCTGTGGATGATACGGTGTAGTTCGTATCCTCTTGATGCCAAACTGCTTTAGACGGGCTTTAAACTCGTCACTTTCAAAACAGGTACCCAGGTCAGTTAATATCACCTTCCGTATTCCGTGACACGCTACAATATGCCGGATTACCACTTCGGTCATTGTTCCTGCCCGCTGGTCTGGAATGAGTACAGCATCTATCCAACGTGTAGCGTTTACTAGTTCCCGCTGCTGGGACACGGTGGCAGGCACACTCTCGATTAATTGCGACGCAAACAACTGTGCCTCCGGCTCACCATCCATACTCGGCAGCGCACGGCGCAGCAACATCGTGAGCTCCACAGCCAGCACCAGTGGGTCACAACAGACAACCTCGCCAACCGGAACCTCTGCGGCGCCTCCCCCCTATCCACTGGACCGACGATCCCCGTCACTATTCGCTCCGTGACCGTCTCCCACGCCGTCTTCTCGGCGGCACCGTCTGAGCTGTCGTATACAGCCTTTGCCTCACCTCCCCGCAGCGTCCCCAGCACGGCCCCAAACTCCTCCAGGAAGCTCTGCCAATCTCCGCCCTAAAACTCCTTCGGCCACGGGAGCTCCTTCCTTCGTGCAGGCAGCGACACCAAATGTAGTGAAGGAGAACACAGGTGATGGCAACCGAATTGTATTTAACCAAAATTACAGAGTTACTCAGTAAAATAGGAAAACCATATCGTAACCGTTAATTTGCAAATCTTCAATCCATCATCAATCCATTGTCTGACATTTCACTCACTATTCATGTGTTTCATACAAATTCCATTGTGTTCCCACTCTTCCTTTCTTGATCATCCCCCATCTTCGGCTGCCAGACATTACATTGACACTCGCGTCATATACTACTTATAAGTAGCGCGCACCACGCAGGACAACCATAATATTGACCAATAGAATTTTTCACTTACAAAATGATTCTTCGTAGGATATTTAATGAATATCCTAACAGACCTAAATGTTGGATTTCCGAATTCGACAGTCTCTCTCTCTCTCTGACTTTCCTGACTCAGATTGTGAAACACAATTAAGTTTCATGTAAACTTTACAACTAACATAGTCAACTGTCATGTGCAATATATGACTTCATCTGAACTTTGTTGAAACTACTACACAATCAACTGTCGTCATGTGCAAAATGTGACATGTGATGTAAGCAATGAAAATCGAGGTGAACACATTTAACACATTTAACAGACAGAAATGAATACTTGTGTAAACCAGTTAGTTGTTCACAAGAAATAACTAACTCTATAACTATCAACGTAACAACAACACACATCAACCACTCACCTCTTTCGATGTTGTAGTATGTTTCGCATCAAGCATATCAACAACAGGTGTACCATTTTTTATGATAGCTGATTTTCTCTTCGTTTTAATACTATTTTTATGTACTGTTGTTGTTGTTGACTTTTTCACATCGGATATTTTGGAATTTTGTTGTTGTTGTTGTTGTGGTCCTTCATCAACCGAAACACTACTACCACTAACAACAGGTTGATGATGTTGATGAAGATGATGATGAAGGTCATGATGATGATCGTGATTTGTTTTATTAGCATCGGTAGTAGTAGTCTCTGATGATTGGACAATAGGATTATTGTTAAATGACCAATAGGGTTGTTGATTTGTACCAACACCATCTGAACCATCTGTTTTTGCCGGAGAGAAAAGAAAAAAAAACAACATAAAATCATATCTTCCTCCTGATAAAGTACTGGTTAGTTAACTTCACTACTGACATATTTATTGTTTGTAAACAGTACAAAAAAGCTGAAATCTATCACAACAGGAGATTATAAATATTAGTTACAAACCTATTCCCATTATTAGGTAGCTAGAAATCTGTATATTTAACTAAATATGTAGCTTACATAGGCTTACTTACTTACTTACTTACTTACGCCTGTTACCCCCAATGGAGCATAGGCCGCCCATCAGTTTTCTCCAACCAACTCTGCCTGTCCTGGGCTTCCCTCTCCAGTTCTGTCCAATGTTTGTTCATTCCTCTCATATATCTTTCTCTATTTTTCGGCGTAATGTTTTCCTTGGCCTTCCTCTTTTCCTTTTGTCTTGAGGATTCCATGTAAGGGCTTGTCTCGTGACGCAGTTAGGTGCTTTTCGTAGTGTGTGTGTTCTATCTTACATACGCTTAACAAAACAAAATCGTAGTTTCATCGATTATGTGAGAGGGGGACTGTAGATATGACAAGGAATTGCATACCGTACCGTCATAAAAAAAAACTTTATCTTGAAAGATGTGTGACATGAAAAGTAGACGAATCAATTCAACTTGTATGCAGACCCATCACAGATAACAAGCCTGATCACAATGTCCGACTAGAAACTATACATTATTCAAAACAGTGGTGGTTCCCTTTGATAAATTTGAACAGAGAAATGAGAAGACATATTTTTTTGTGAGATAGTAAGTACCATTTCGTGCTTTCTCGAAGCTATCTTGATTGGTCGGAAAAGTCCAACCAACTTTATGTGTTCAAAAAAACAATTGTATGTTGACCTTTGTTTACTTACCATGGTGGTTCTAGTGAGTGAATGTCATGATGCTAAATAAGAAAAATTTTGACCTTATCTTCAAAACTGCTGTATTTACACACAAATAACATGTTGCTTGTATATATGTGACTGACGAGAAAGCACGAAATGGTACCACTATCTCACAAAAAAATATGTCTTCTCATTTCTCTGTACACATTATTCGTTCAAAATTTTTTTAATAATGCTGGCCAAATTTGAAACCTTATTAAAGTCAAGACCAATACAAATATATATATACATTTATACAAAACATGTAAACAGAATTTGTAATACCAATAAGTTATTCAATGTGTGTGCTGTTAAATTTCCTGGTCTCTGAACAGACCCTCATATGCCCAAGCATATGGATCTTCAGATAATTTTCACCCTCTCCCGAAGTAAATTATAAACTCTCCACTTCAAATACAAAGAACCTATTACCGCTCCTTATGAAAACGAAAGAAAGCCAGGTGTTTTATAATTCCTTGATGTCATTGAATGGTAATGGTAATTCCAGTCATGTTGGTAGATGTAAACTAATCTGATCTGGGTCCATACGATAACGGTAACTAATAATCTGAGATATTGCGTAATCCGGCTCAATATCTCTCGCAATGGTGCAGGTGTATCCATTATCTTTCTTCATCTACATCACTAAACCACCTGTGGATTCATACAGATCGATTCATTTCTATTTGTCGAAATAATACTTCTAATGTCGAGTTAATTTCGTTATCATTCCTATGAGGTGATTTCTTCTCCTTCACTGCGCATCTTGTTTATTTTGACGAAATCTTAGCACGGATGATACAGAAGGCTCGATTGGCTTTTGCCAACCTGTGTCAATTATGGCGCTGGCGAGATATCCGTTTGCTGACTAAAGGACGAGTGTACTGTGCCGTAGTTGGCTCCCTTCTACTTTACCACTGTGAAGCATGGCCATTCCGAGTAGAATATATTCGTAGGTCACTGGTTTTTGAACATCGGTGCATCCGAAGCATTACTCGTGTATCCTGGGACAACCGGATAAGCAGTGCTATCGTTAGGAAATGAGTTCTAAGTAGGGATGGCAAATCAATAGATGAAGAAGTGAAACTTCATCAGTTGAGGTGGTTGGGACATGTGTTACGAATGCTCAAACACCGACTGCCTCGACGAGCTATAATTTGCACTGTAGGAATAGGTTGGAAGAAAGCTACGGTCAGCTAAACGGAAACATAGAACAAATCCATGTAGTCATGGGCCGGCCGACTGAGTCTTATTACTAGGTGCAGACTACTAGGTTGGGGTGCGCGAAACAATAGGAACCGACGGTAATAGATTTTGAATGACATGGCTCTACATCGTTTGCGATGGCGCAGATGCATTCACTTTTTGTGTTCTCTCTAATTCTAACCTTCTGAGAATTCCTCATCATCTCCATCTTTCTCCTTCTAAATTTATCTCACTGAATGATACTTCTGGAATCGTATCTTCGCCCCCTAAACTTCCCCAATACTGCTAATACTTCTACTATCGCTATCACTCTTGAATTGAACTGACATTTGCGTCTCTGTGATGATGCGGTATGGCAACCTTAACTGATGTACTCATGTACGAAGTTCTGCGTTGTATCTGTCTATCTGTTTGTCTGTCCTGTATCCTCTTTCTAAGCGAAGGCGTATCCTACTTGTTTCTTGTCACATTTTCGCATCGTCAATACAATCTCTAACTCAACTCATTGCTCATAACTTGGTATGTAGGAATTTCTCATCTCATTACATCAGATACCATAAACAAGCACATATTACAATTAATCGATATGAGAATTCTAGACAGACGAGGTCAAATATCTTTCACTCACGGCTTGCCAGAGTGATTGTGTAAAATACACACTCTCTCTCTCTCTTTTTTCATATTTTTTTAAATAACAAATTCATGACACTAGTAATTACTTCATCTACTTATTAAATAGATTGGTTATCAGTTAAACTATACACAATATACATGAAAACCACTACACAAACACACACAAATACACACCAAGTGATTTAGTGATGGTTCAATAAAACCATCAAAACCGGTCTCCTACATACAGAATAATAATGCACCGACACAAACTAGCAAGCAATGTTGACAGTTAAAATGCATATCATTCATTGAATAGTAAAACAATTACAGAACAGCAGAGAAATTTATGACCACAAACACATTAATGACACAATATCTAATAGAAAGGACAATGAAACAAACTATTAAAACGGTGATGTGTGGGTGCATAGTTTAAAAGTTATAACCTTTTGAACTATTTCACGTCATACTTTTTGTTGTATGATTATAGTTAGTAGTCGTTGTGGATTACTGTAATTTTATGTTCAGTTGTTTGTATGCATTTTGTCAATCAATCAATCAATCAACAGCAACGCAGAACTTCACACGTACGCAAGGAGATCATTTCAAGTTGCCATACCACATTAGCACACAGATGTAATCGCATAATAGTAGAGGTGGTAAAGGTATAAGCAATAATCAGAGCGATTAGGGTTTGATGATATTATTCGAGAAGTGGAATCTTGTGAAATTAACTTAAAAAGAAAAAGACAAAGTGATAAGGTGGTTAGCATTTGAGAGAACTCGAAGAATGAATGCACCGGCGCCATTGCAAACGGTTTCCAGGCATGTCATTCAGGGTCTCGAACCACGGATTACTGTCATTTTGCGGACTCCAATCAGGTAGTTGACACCTACTGACATGGCTCTGTCCACTTGTCATTGACTGCATGGATTTTCACCATATCTTGGTCTGGCTGCTCCTAGCTTTCTTCCAACCTACTCACACATCGCAGAACATGGCTTGACGAGGCAGTCGGTGGTTAGACGTACGTGTTACATGCCACAACCATCTCAACTGATGAAGTTTCACTACTTCATCTGTTGACCTGCTATCCTTAACTAGCCCCCGTATTCTAACAACCACATTTCTTACTCGCTTGTCCCATTTTGTGGATGTGCATTTTTCAACTTGTTATTAATTTACTACAGAACTGTTATTCAGTTCTTCTTCATTCAATTTCTGGCCATGTATACATTGTATTCGTATACACTTATATTGTTGTGCAGTCGAGCAATCAACCTAATATTATCACACACATTTTGAGTAAGGAACTGAACGGTAGGAATAGGAATTCATTTGCTCGCTGTACTCTCATTCTATTTTAGCATCGGGAAAGAGAGCGTGTTCGGCTGGATCCTGTGGTCTATAAGAGTTAAGTATCAATCTCTGTCGTCATCTTACTATCAATAGAGTTATGGGTCAGGAGAGCACTATATTGTGTCATTGTCTAACAGGAAGTCATCGATCCTTTACATGAAATCTAGACGAACTAATCAACAGTTTGATTGGTTATAATGCTTGTTGTCAGTATAACAGCACAACATTGTACAAATGTCTACTTTTTTCCGTCACGAGCTTAAAGTATGGAACATATCACTACGGGAAGTATGTTTGTGTAAGCATTTACGGTACAAGAACTTGCAACCAGTAAATATATACCTAGAAATTATAATTACAATCATTGTTCCACCGAAGATTCAATAAACCAATCAGCCAAATTTGTATGATTTCATAAAAATGAATAAAGTCACTTCGCGATTCCGCTCAACGTTTTGCTTATGCATTATGCGATTGCGTTAGCCCTTCAGCTTTCCTTAAAGTACCTCTAGTCTACTACGGACAATAGTGAGTATTGTGATACATACACATATGAAATCTATGAAACTTTTTATATCGGGTTTGAGAAATCTGGCGGCCTACATAGGAATGCTGATTATACTGAACAGAAAATAGCTGTATGTCACAAGCTCCGAATATGAAGACAAAAGCGTGGTGACTAACGAAATCTCAGCACGGATACAGAAGGTTCGATTGGCTTTTGCCAACCTGTGTCACTTATGGCGCAGGCGAGATATGCGCTTGCTAAACAAAGGACGAGTGTACCATGCAGTAGATTGCTCTGTCCTACTATACGGATGCGAGACTTGTCCGTTAAGAGTAGAGGACTTTCGTTGGTCACTAGGCTTCGATCATCGATGTCTCCGAAGCAATACTCGTGTATCATGGAACAACATAGTAAGCAATGGTGTTATTAGGAAACAAGTACTAGATAGGGATGGCAAATCAATAGATGAAGTAGTGAAACTTCATCAGTTGCGGCGGTTGGCACATGTGCTGCGTATGCCTAGCCAACGACTGCCGCAACGAGCTTTGTTTCGCAGTGTAGGAGTGGATTGTAAGAAAGCTGGGAGCGGCCAGACCAAAACATGGCAGAAATCCATGAGGCCAGTGACAAGTGGACTGAGTCATGTTGGCAGATGTAGGCTACCTGGTTGGGGTCCGCGAGACGACAGTCATCGATGGTTAGAGACCTTGAACGATGTGGCTCAGAATCGTCTGGAATGTCGCAGGTGCATCCACTCTTTGTGTTCTATGAAATTCTAAGCTTCTGCATTCCTCATAATCTCTACCTTTCTCCTTCTAAATTTATCTCACTAAATTATACTTCTCGAATCATATCTTCGCTCCTTAATCTTCTCCATAACTGCTAATACTTCTATTATTGCTATAACTCTTGGATTTGAACTGACAGTTGCTTCTCTGTGCTGATGCCGCATGGCAACCTGAACTGATGTACTTATGTACGAAGTTCTGCGTTGTATCTGGCTGGCTGACAAAGGCTGATTGGTGTAGACAACAAAAAACCATAACCAATTTTAAGCAAAATATTCATTTTTAGGTTGATTTTAGTCCACGTTGATGGTTAGTTAACTGCACAGCCTCTACTGTGTGGTACAATAAACGAAATTCATATGCAATTAATACAAAGAATATAATCCTGAATAAACGTTTTACACTGAGAATTTAACAAATATTACACTGAGTGATTATCAGACAACATAAGGAACGGAACTATAATATTAAATGGACTTCATTATTTCATCCTAACAGATGGACAAAACAGGCTAACGTGTTGAAAAAAGCAGCTACATGCGTCAGTTGCCGGAAGTTGATCTCACACATAAGTCTGGTGTCAAGGAAATGTGTACGGTCGACAACAAGAGAACTTTGATCTTTAAAATCATGAATCGATCAATGTTAGACTGCCGTTGGAAACCTGGAAGAACTGGGCGGCCGTTTTTTTCCTAGTATGGTAATCATTGGCAGCGTGCATCTACAATCGCAACTCTCAGGATTCGAACACAGGACCTTCGGTCTTGCGAGCGAACGCTTAACCTCTAGACCACTGATGATTCCAATACCAGGACGAAACGATCGTCCAGTGCTTCCAGATTTAACACTGATTGATGCATGATTTCAAAAAGTAACTCAACAGTTTCGACAACCTCATAATGCAAATAAGATAATTAATAAACATCCAAGGTGTCTTGAATGTTGAACAAAGCAGTGATATCAATATCATCATTAGCATATGTTAAATTACACTGTGCTCATTAGCCTGTAAACAGCGGAACCGTCTAAAGAAAAATAGATACATAAAAACCTTTAACTTATGTTCAGCAATGATTTCGAGTCCTGTGATGATCATTTAGTTAGTATCCTAGATTGTCCCAATTTATAAGAAAGGACAAAAGTCTTCTTGTGACAATCATAAGGGAATAAGTCTAACTAATATAGTTTACAAATTGTTAGCCTCCATTATAATTAGATGCCTTACTAGTGCTCGTGAAGAGCAGACTAGAGAAAACTAGGCTGGTTTCCTACCTGGACGCGGCTGTATAGACCACATCTTCATACTACGACAGGTGCATAACACAAACACACATTTAGGCGTCCTACAATAGTTGTTTTCCTAGACCTTAAGGCGGCATTTGACTCTGTGGATCGTGAGGTTCTGTGGCAGTGTTTGTCGTTGAAAGGTGTACCAAAGAAGTACATTAACCTCATACAACCTCTCTACTCGAACACCATTGGTCGAGTGAAAGCTCATGGCGAACTGTCACCGGGATTTTTCACTTCAAGTGGTGTCCGTCAGGGATGTCCACTCTCTCCATTCTTATTTAATTTTATCATAGACATGCTCTTAGAAATAACCCTATCCTCGTCTGAATTTTAAGGAGTAGACCTAATACCAGGTGGCTCGCTTATTGACTTAGAATATGCCGATGACATAGTTCTATTCGGTGAAGACGCTGACAAAATGCAGGGTCTTCTGACCACACTAAGCAACAATCCAAGCATGTTCGGGATGCGGTTTTCCCCCTCGAAATGCAAAATGTTGTTTCAAGACTGCGTTGCATCGGCACCTGAACTAGTGATAGGGAGTGAAGTAGTCGAACATGTAGACCGCTTTACTTATCTGGGGAGTCTCATCAGTGCTGATGGTCTGGTGACTGACTAAATCTCAGCACGGTTACAGAAGGCTCGATTGGCTTTCGCCAACCTGCTTCACTTATGGCGCAGGCGAGATATGCGCTTGCTAAACAAAGGACGAGTGTACCGTGCAGTAGTTCGCTCTGTCCCACTATACAAATGCGAGACTTGTCCGTTAAGAGTAGAGGAATTTCGTAGGTTACTAGTCTTCGATCATCGATATCTCCGAAGCATCGCTCGTGTATCCTGGGACAACCGTATAAGCATTGCTATCGTTAGGAAACGAGTTCTAAGAAGGGATGGCAATTCAATTGATGAAGTAGTGAATCTTCATCAGTTGAGGTGGTTGGAACATGTGTTGCGTATGCCTAACCACCAGCTAGAAGCAGCCAAACTCAAACATAGAACAAATCCATGCAGTCACGGGCAGGGGGGACTGAGTTTTATTACTACGTGTAGACTACTAGCTTCGGGTGCGCGAAACAATAGGAACCGATGGTAATAGACTTTGAATGACATGGCTCAACATCGTTTGCGATGGCGCAGATGCATTCATTTTTTGTGTTCTCTCTAATTCCAACCTTCTTCATTCCTCATCCTCTCCATCTTTCTTCTTCTAAATTTATCTCACTGAATTATACTTAACAAATCGTATCTTCGCCCCCTAATCTTCTCCACTACTCTCTTATACTTCTACTATCTCTATCGCTCTTGGATTTGAACTGACAATATGTGGTGTGGCAACCTGAACTGATGTACTTACGTATGAAGTTCTGCGTTGTATCTGTCTGTCTAGTATCACCCGCCATCTTTAAGGATCGAAACTTACTGATTTCGGCATGATTTAATTCCACACCAGTTCCACATTATGAGTTACTAATCAGTGCTGAAATGAAATCAATCAAAACGAAACTAGCTCTACGTGACTAGGTGTGATTTGCTTAACGAATGTATCCTTTTTCGCTTTACATACAACCTCAAGAGTATCTATCATCTTATTTAACTGTACAGCCAGCCAGCCAGCCGCCCCCCTTAGAAATTCAACATTTCCTGATTTAGCAGACCGATTAGACATTTGGATAAAATCAATTTTTTGCAATTATGGTACCATGTTTTGCTGAATCAATACGCATAATAACTTCAAGAATTCAATACACAGAAAAAAAACCAATGCATATTACGTGTGTAGTAGATATGAATGAATGAATTCTCTTCTACATTCTTTTCACACACACACACACACAAACACAAAAATAAAAAATGTACACTTGAATTTTAAAATTTATCTCACTTACTCATTTGTTTCTCATTAAGATAATCTACACAACGACTATTATCCATAGGTCGATCAGGAGAACAATTACACAATTGACTTTCATTTAATGTTAGATTCTAAGCAGAGAACAAAAGAAAGAAAAAAATATTAGATAGGTAGGCAATAATACAATGGAGATGATACACACTACACGAAAGAATATAGACTACATTATAATTGTACACTACCAAATTCTATTATAACATACCATGGTAATCAGGTTTGGTTAACTAGAAATTAATGATGATAAAATATAGAGGTAAGTAAGTAATGAGGTAGATATATTATTGTGTGTGTGACAAGAGAAGTAGTAGTATATTAATCACCAACTTATACCAAACTCTCTACTTGCCAAATTTATGGCGAACTGTCATCTGAATTCTCTACATCAAGTGACGTCCTTCAGGGCTGTCCACTCTCTCCATTCTTGTTTAACTTTATCGTAGACATCCTCTTAGAGTTAACATTAAGCTCGTCAGACTTCTCAGGGGTTCACATTCTACCAGGAAAATCGCTTACTAACCTAGAATATGCCGATGACATGGTTCTGTTCGGTGAAGACGCTGACAAAATGCAGTCCTCCGACCACCGTGAGCAACAATCCAAGCATGTTCGGCATGCGGTTCCCCCCCCCCCTGAAATGCAAAATGTTGCTTCAAGATTGGGTCGCATCGGCACCTGGACTAGTGATTGGGAGTGAAGTAGTCGAACATGTAGACCACTACACTTATTTTGGAAGTCTCATCAGTGTTGATGGTCTGGTGACTGACGAAATCTCAGCTCCGGATACAGAAGGCTCGATTGGCTTTTGCCAACCTGCGTCACTTATGGCGCAGGCGAGTTATCCGTTTGCTGACTAAAGGACGAGTGTACCATGCAGAAGTTCGCTCTATCCTACTTTACGACTGTGAAACATGGCCAGGCAGCAAACAAGGTTGCTGGTTGACGATCATAGATATCTCCGAAGCATTTCTCATGTATCTTTGGACAACCAAGTAAGCGATGCTGTTGATAAGAAACGGGTCCTAGGTAAGGATGGCAGGTCAATATAGATGAAGTAGTGAGACTTCATCAGTTGAGGTGGTTAGGACATGGGCAGTTGCACTCATTCTTTGTGTTCTCTCAAATCCTAACCTCTTCATTACCTTTATCTTTTTATTTTTAAGTTTATTTCACTAGATCCTAATTCTTGAATAACATCTTCAAACCCTAATCTCTCCCATTACTGATAATACTTCTACTATCTCTACTATCATGGGATTTGGATTGAAAATTATACCACTATGCTAATGTGGTATGGCAACTTGAACTGATGTCCGTGAGTATGTACGAAGTTCTTTGTTGGTGTTGATTGACTGATTGTGCGATAAACGAATAAAATTCAATGAGCAATCTATTGAATTAAAACAGATGGTCAGCGAAGAAAAAAAACAGTTGCTCTGATAACAAGAAAATATATCGACAGTCAGTCAGGTAGCTTAGCTACAACACAGAACTTCATGCATACGTACATTAGTTCAAGTTGTCATTCCATATTAGCACAGAGAGATTGAATTGTCAATGCAAGTTGCATAATGGTAAAGGTAGTAGAAATATTAGTAGTAATCAAAAAGATTGGTGATAGAAGACATTATTCGAGGAGTATATATACCACAGAAATCAATTGAAAAATAAGAGAGGAAAAACAGTCATGTGGAATTTGAGAAAAGATAACGAATGGATGCAGCTACGCCATTGCAAACGCTTTTGAACCATGTCATACAAAGTCTCTTACCATCGGTTACTAAAGTCTCGCGGACCCCAACTAGGTAGTCTACACTTATAAGCATGTCTCAGTCCAATTTTCAGTAACTTTATGGATTGAAGTCATATTATGGTCCGGCTGCCACCCCACAAGATTTCGTTTTGCCTACCAAAACGACAATTATTAACAAATTGATTTTCGATTTTTATGATGAGTAATACGATATTTCATAGGGTAAAAAGGATAGACAACAACTCTATCGTTGTAATTTGCATGAGCTTTGTTGAAATGTGATGCCATTGTAAAAAAAAATTAAAAGAGTGAACTAAAACTACTGAGTTTATTCCAAAAATAAAAAGAGAGAGAGAGAGAGAGAAACGAAACACGCAAACCATCGATTTTCTATTATTTCCGGTTATTAAGTTTCAATGAAATTGCAAACAAGTAACAATTTACAACTAAAACAGGCTCAAACAAATAGTTAGGTTAAAAAGAGAACATGTAATTAATTCGAAACAGCAAGCAAATGAATTCCTATTCCTACTGTTCACTATCTCACTCAAAACGTATGTGACTAGCGTACTTTAAGGATAACTGAAGGGCTAATGCAATCGCACAATGCATAAGCAGAACGTTGAGCAGAGCCGCAAAGTGACTTTATCCAATTTTATGAAATCATACAAATTTGACTGATTGGTTTCTAGAATCTGCGGTGGATCAATAATTGTAATTATAATTTCTAGGTATATATTCACTCGTTGCAAGTTCTTGTACCGTAAATGCTTACACAAACATACTTCCCGTAGTGTTATGTTCCATACTTTAAGCTCGTGACTCAGGTAGAATTGATGCTCAATGAAACGGAAAAAAATAGACATTTGTACAATGTTGTGCTGTTATTCTGACAACAAGCATTATAACCAAACAAACTATTGATTAGTTCGTCTAGATTTCATGCAAAGGATCGATGACTATCTGTTAGACAATGACACAATATAATGCTCCCCTAACCCATAACTCTATTGATAGTAAGATGACGACAGAGATTGATACTTAACTCTTATTGACCCCAGGATTCAGCCGAACACGCTCTCTTTCCCGATGCTAAAATAGAATGAGAATACAGCGAGCAAATGAATTCCTATTCCTACCGTTCAGTTCCTTACTCAAAATGTGTATGATAATATTAGGTTGATTGCTCGACTGCACAACAATATAAGTGTATACGAATACAATGTATACGTTGCCAGAAATTGAATGAAGAATAACTGAATAACAGTTCTGTAGTAAATTAATAACAAGTTGAAAAATGCACATCCACAAAATGGGACAAGCGAGTAAGAAATGCTGGTGTTAGGAAACGGGTACAAGGTGGGGATAGCAGGTCAACAGATGAAGTTTCAATACTTCATCAGTTGAGATGGTTGTGGCATGTAACATGTATGTCTAACCACCGACTGCCTCGTCAAGCCATGTTCTGCGATGTGTGAGTAGGTTGGAAGAAAGCTAGGAGCAGCCAGACCAAAATATGGTGAAAATCCATGGAGTCAGTGACAAGTGGACAGAGCCATGTCAGTAGGTGTAAACTACCTGATTGGGGTCCGCAACATGACAGTAATCCGTGGTTAGAGACCCTGAATGACGTGCCTGGAAACCGTTTGCAATGGCGCCGGTGCATTCATTCTTCGAGTTCTCTCAAATGCTAACCACCTTAAATCCCCATCACTTTATATTTTTAAGTTTAGTTCACTGGAATCTACATCTTGAACAATATCTTCAAACCGTAATCTCTCTGATTATTGCTTATAACTTTACCACCTCTACGTCGATGGGATTTGAATTGACAATTACATCTGTGCGCTAATGTGGTATGACAACTTGAACTGATCTCCATGCGTACGTGTGAAGTTCTGCGTCGCTGTTGATTGATTGATTGATTGATTGACAAAATGCATACAAACAACTGAACATAAAAATGCAGTAATCCACAACGACTACTAACTATAATCATACAATAAAATGTATGACGTGAAATAGTTCAAAAGGTTATAACTTTTAAACTATGCACCCACACATATCACCGTTTTAATAGTTTGTTTCATTGTCCTTTCTGTTAGATATTGTGTCATTAATGTGTTTGTGGTCACAAATTTCTCTGCTGTTCTGTAATTGTTTTTTTTGCTACTCAATGAATGATATGCATTTTAACTGTCAACATTGCTTGTTAGTTTGTGTCGGTGCATTATTATTCTGTATGTAGGAGACCGGTTTTGATGGTTTTATTGAACCATCACTAAATCACTTGGTGTGCATTTATGTGTGTGTGTGATTGTCTGTGTATGCAGTGGTTTTCATGTATATTGTGTATGGTATAACTGATAAGCAATCTATTTAATAAGTAGATGAAGTAATTACTAGTGTCATGAATTTGTTATTTAAAAAAATATGAAAAAAGAGAGAGAACGTATTTTACATAATCACTCTGGCAAGCCGTGAGTGAAAGATATTTGACCTCGTCTGTCTAGAATTCTCATATCGATTAATTGTAATATGTGCTTGTTTATGGTATCTGATGTAATGAGATGAGAAATTCCTACATACCAAGTTATGAGCAATGATTTGAGTTAGATTGTATTCACGATGCGAAAATGTGACAAGAAACAAGTAGGATACGCTTTCGCTTAGAAAGAGGATACAGGACAGACAGACAAATAGACGAATACAACTGAGAACTTCGTACATGAGTATATAAGTTTAGGTTGCCATACCGCATCATCACAGAGACGCAACTGTCAGTCCAAAACCAAGATTGATAGCGATAGTAGAAGTATTAGCAGTAATGGAGACGTTTAGGGGGCGAAGATACGATTCCAGAAGTATCATTTAATGAGATACATTTAGAAGGAGAAAGATGGAGATGATGAGGAATGAAGAAGGTTGTATTTAGAGAGAGAGAACACAAAAAATGAATGCATCTGTGCCATTGCAAACGATGTTGAGCCATGTCATTCAAAGTCTATTACCGTCGGTTCCTATTGTTTCGTGCACCCCAACCTAGTAGTCTACACCTAGTAATAAGACTCAGTCGGCCTTCCCGTGACTGCATGGATTTGTTCTATGTTTGAGTTTGGCTGACCCTAGCTTTCTTCCAACCTATTCCTACACCGCAAAATATAGCTCGTCGAGGCAGTCGGTGTTTGAGCATTCGTAACACATGTTCCAACCACCTCAACTGATGAAGTTTCACTACTTCATCTATTGATTTGCCATTCCTTATTAGAACTCGTTTCCTGACGATAGCAATGCTTATACAGCAATGCTTATACAGCAATGCTTCGAAGATATCGATGACGAAGACTAGTAACCAACGAAAGTCCTCTACTCTTAACGGACAAATCTAGCATCCGTATAGTAGGACAGAGCAATCTACTGAACGGTACACTCGTCCTTTGTTTAGCAAGCGCATATCTCGCCTGCGCCATAAGCGACGCAGGTTGGCAAAAGCCAATCGAGCCTTCTGTATCCAAGCTGAGATTTAGTCAGTCACCAGGCCATCAACACTGTTGAGACTCCCGAGGTAAGTGAAGCGGTCTACACGTTCGACTACTTCACTCCTTATCACTAGTTCAGGTGCCGATGCAACGCAGTCTTGAAGCAACATTTTGCATTTCGAGTGGGGAAACCGCATCACGAACATTCTTGCATTGTTGCTCAGGGTGGTCAGAAAACTCTGCATTTTGTCAGCGTCTTCACCGAATAAAATTCAGGCGAAGATAATGTTATATCTATGAGCATGTCTATGACAAATTTGAACAAGAATTGGGTTAGTAGACATCCCCGATGGACACCACTTGAAGTATAGAATTCCGAAGACAGTTCGCCATAAACCCGACCGAAGCTGCTACCTTGACGTGGTGGTCGGGCTTGATTATCGTGATGACCCAACCGAGCTATATTGGCTGGAACATATGTTTCCGAAGGTTCTAACATGCCAGGCAGGTCGATTGGAGAGCGATGAGAATAAAAGCAGCTACCCAAGGTCTGAGGGCGAAGTTGTACTGCTGACTGTGGAGGGGTGTGACAGCAGTAAGCTGTTTCCCTCAGACAACCATTATCTGCAGCGATGCTGCCTTCTCACAAGGAAGGAAGGGTTAGAATAGGTCGACCCTAAAAAATGTCACACCTCCCCTAACTCACGGATTTCCGTCTCCTTGGGTGAGGGTGCCCACTAAGGGCCTTTAAGAACGGAGCTAATCCTCAAAAAACCTTTCATAAAAAGGCCGTGCGCGACTGGCCTCAAGCATTTGTCCCTTGGGCTATGCGGTCACGCACCCAGGTCTCTAAGACCAACGCTAATATACCTTCCTCTTCAGGTTCCTCAAGAAACAACGTTCCACGGTGTGGGCAGCCGGGAAGTGACAACCGCCCTCATACTCGTAACAGCACACAAGACCAAATTGGTCGAAATCAAATCAAGCCCATAGACGTCTTCTACTCACAACTTTGTCATACAGAAAACTGACTACTTCATTCATTAAAAGATGGATATTTCTCTTACACCAAAAATGACACAAGTTTTCAAAATCCAACCAAACTTTCACTGGAAACCAACCCCAGTGGAGTTCACCAAAAATCACACAATAAGTGAACTGGTGAACGCATCAAACTACCTCACTACTACCTATGATCTATCTAAGTGATAACACAGACAAGTCCTGATGCAATTCAATACGGTTCTAATTCAGAAATTCATTAACAATGGAGCGTCAGTAGTCGACATGCTTCATGTCAAACATAATTCTAGACAGGTGAGAGGATTATATCCTGTGAAAGATTATTCAATCAACACCACCTCTCTAAAACATTTGCCGAGCATTCAATTCTCTCTCTATTAACTGAATTGGTTTCCACAAGTATCATTTCCATCTGTTTATCTCAGTTTTCTATACATTTGATTTTAAGATAAGTAAAACGTGTTTACCTAGATTTATTGCTCATATCACATGTCACATTTTGCATATGACAGACAGCTAATTGTGTAGTTTTTTTTTAAAGTTTACATGAAACTTAATCTCATGTTTCATAATCTGAGTCAGGAAAGTCAGAGAGAGAGAGACTATCGAATTCGGAAATCCAGCATTGAGGTCATATGGTTTTTTTTTAAGTGTTTCCGTTTTATCTCAACTACTACTACTACTACTACTACTACCTATTGGTGAACTTATTTATGTATTCATAAGCTTTTAGTGTGAATTAAGTTCAGTATGCATATATATATATGTATATATATATATATATATATATATATATATATATATATATATATACTCATTGGTTACGTAACATGTACAATTCAATGTTTTTAATCAGATTGTAGGTTTTTTTCTTTTTGTTAATAATGTCACGTATTCTCTCTAATAAATAAATAAATCCGTAAAAGATTTATTTATATCAGAGGATATAAAAATAACTTAAGTTGAACAAAGAAAATTACTTTAAACACACAAAACAGTTAACAATCAATCATTCTCTCTCGTGTAAGAATAATCAAATAAGAGGAATAATCTTCTCGAAAAAAATTGTGTGTGTGTGTGACAAGGTTCTATATAGGTAGGTTTATGTCTCGACTTAATACAATGCTCGATAATGGACACGGTATGAGTGTGAGGAACGCGGCTTGAATAGGAAAGTAGAACGTAGAATTTCGTATGTAAGTACATCAGTTCATGTCGCCATACCACGTCAGCACAGAGATATAATTGTCAATTCAAATCCAATAGTAGTAGAGGTAATAAAGGTATTAGAAGTAATCGGAGAGGTTAGGATGAGAAGATATTATTCATGAAGTATGATTCAATGAGAAAAGTTTAGAAAGTCAAAACTAGAGGTGTTGAAGAATCCAGAAGATTAGGATTTGAGAGAACACAAAGAATAAATGCACCGGCGCCATTGCAAACGGTTTTGAGCCATGTCATTCACGCTCTCTAACCATCGATTATTGTCATCTCGCGGACCCCAACCAGGTAGTCTACATCTACCAACTTGACTCAGTCCTCCTGTCAGTGACTTCATGGATTTTTACCATGTTTTGGTCTGGCCGCCCCTAACTTTCTTCCAACCTATTCCTACATCGCAAAACACAGATCGTCGAGGCAGTAGGTGATTAGGCATACGCAACACATGTCCCAATCACCTCAATTGATGAAGTTTCATTACTTCGTCGATTGATCTGCCATTCTTACCCAGCACCCGTTTCCTAATAACAGCGTTGCTCACTCGGTTGTCCCACGATATACGAGCAATGCTTCGAAGACACCTATGATCGTAAACCTATAACCTACGAATATCTTCTACTCTCACTGGCCATGTTTCACAGCCATCAAGTAAGACGGAGCGAACTACTGCGTAGTACACTCGTCCTTTAGTCAGCAAATGGATATCACGTCTACGCCATAAGTGACGCAGTTTGGCAAAAGGCAATCGAGCCTTCTGTATCCGAGCTGAGGAGCGTAAACCTGTTTTTCTCAAAAGCTTTACTCATCTCATAGCATTTTATTATGACTTTGGCAATAATCAATTAAACAGGGAAAACTAACTAATTAACAAAGCCCATAATGTTTTCATGTGTGTTTCTTGTTCAATACATACATACATACATATATAAATTCACCATAGATCGTTCAAATACATGAAAATTACTTGTGCTCAATGGTGACTAGCTTCGTGAGGAATCTTCTCCGAGTTCTAATGGGAAGACGTGACTTGTGAAGTTCAACCTGTTCGGGTGTAGGCAGTGTCTACCGAAGACTGTCTATGAGGTTGCGCAACTCCGTGAATTTGATCAAGTTAGACATTAACACTGTTAGATACCAGCTCAGTGGTCTAACGGTTAGGGCGTTCACGCACAATACCGAAGGTCCTGGGTTCGAATCCTGCGGGATGCAGGAATCGTGGATACGCACTGCCACTGATGAGCAGTCCCATACTAGGACGAAACGGCCGTCTTTCAGTGCTTCCAGGTTTCTAATGGTGTGGTCTAACCAATGATCGATTCATGATTTCAAAAATATGTAAAATACTATGTTGAAGATGTAATTCCTTGAACTCAACACAGTGCTGGCGTGTACTACTCACTCACTCACTCACACACACACACATACACACAAAGAAACCATAATGTTCATTAAACACACATAAAACAACATACACCACCTCTACATCTCTCTCTCTCTCACTCTAACTAGGTAGCTTTATTTGAAAAGAAAAACAAAAGAACACAATGTCTAATAAAACCTAAGCAATATTAAAAGAATTGTTGTTGTACAAAATTATAGATAAACAAAATTTTCTTTTTGTTATACTTACTCGTTGACGTTTCAACTTTCGTCTAGACATTTTATTTTGGCATATAATAGTAAGTCGTTCAGTTATGAAAAAAATATAAATTCCTATTAAAGCAATAAGTGCTTCCAAGATCATTTGTCGATGTAAAGTAAGTTCTGTTAATGATGATGATGATGATGGCATAGAATCATGATGATGTTCATCAAAATGATGATGATCATGATCATGACCAGTAGTAGTAGTAGAAGTCGAAGTAGAAGTTTCATGATCATGAATGTTATGATGAATATGTCCAGGTCCAGAAAAAGCCTAAAAATAGAGAACATGGAAAATGTGTATAGTTAGTTAGTTCGATAGGATAAACAATAAATAATCTAGTCGACACATTTAGGCGTCCTACAATAGTTGTTTTCCTAGACCTTAAGGCGGCATTTGACTCTGTGGATCGTGAGGTTCTCTGGCAGTGTCTGTCATTGAAAGGTGTACCAAATATAGTACATTAACCTCATACAAGCTCTCTACTCAAACACCACTGGTCGAGTGAGAGCTTATGGCGAATTGTCAACGGAATTCTTTACTTCAAGTGGTGTCCGTCAGGGATGTCCACTTTCTCCATTCTTGTTTAATTTTATCATACACATGCTCCTAGAAATAACCTTATCCTCGTATGAATTTTCAGGAGTAGACCTTCTACCAGGTGGCTCGCTTATTGACTTAGAATACGCAAATGACATAGTCCTACTTGGTGAAGACGCTGACAAAATGCAGTCTTCTGACTACCCTAAACAACAATGCAAGCATGTTCGGGATGCGGTTTTCCCCCTCGAAATGCAAAATGTTGCTTCAAGATTGGGTTGCATCGACACCTGAACTAGTGATAGGGAGTGAAGTAGTCGAACGTGTAGACCGCTTCACTTATCTTGGGAGTCTCATCAGTGCTGATGGCCTGGTGACTGACGAAATCTCGGCACGGATACAGAAAGCTCGATTGGCTTTTGCTAACCTGCGTCACTTATGGCGTAGGCGAGATATCCGTTTCTGACTAAAGGACGAGTGTACTGCGCAGTAGTTCGCTCCATCTTACTGTATGGCTGTGAAACATGGCCAATGAGAGTAGAAGATATTCGTCGGTTATTGGTTTTCGACCATAGGTGTCTTCGAAGCATTGCTCGTATATCGTGGGACAACCGAATGAGCAACGCTGTTATTAGGGAACGGGTACTAGGTAAGAATGGCAGATCAATAGATAAGGCAGTGAAACTTCATCAGTTGAAGTGGTTGGGACATGTGTTGCGTATGCCCAACCACCGACTGCCTCAACGAGCTTTCTTTTGTAGTGTAGGAATAGGTTGGAAGAAAGTTAGGGGCGGCCAGACCAAAACATGGCAGAAATCCATGAAGTCATTGACGAGTGGACTGAGTCATGTCGGTAACTGTCGACTGCCTGGTTGGGGTCCGCGAAATGATAATAATCGATGGTTAGAGACCTTGAATAACATGACTCAAAATCGTTCGCAATGGCGCCGGTGCATTTATTCTTTGTGTTCTCTCAAATACTAATCTTCTGGATTCTTTAACCCCTGGAGTTTTGACTTTCTAAACTTTTCTCAATGAATCATACTTCATGAATAATATCTTCTAATCCTAACCTCTCCGATTACTTCTAATACTTTAATTCCTTCTACTACTATTGGATTTGAATTGACAATTACATCTTTGTGCTGACGTGGTATGGCGACATGAACTGATGTACTTACGTACGAAGTTCTACGTTGCATCTGACTGACTGAATCAGTCTGCTTCAACATTAGACTTGTTACTTACGTACAGAAGTTCAAGTTGCCAAACCATATTAGCACACAGAAATCGAATTATCAATCCAAAGCCTACAGTGGTAGAGGCAGGTAATGCAAAAGATCTTCGAAAAAATTATTATTCAGGAAGTATAATCCAATGAAGTAAATTTATAAAACAGAAAAGAATAAGTTCAAAGCTCATTCATGTCAGAGTCAAGGTCTCTAACTATCGATTATTGTTGTTTCATGGACTCTCCTACCTGGTGGTAGTCAACACTTACTGACATGATTCAATTCATTTGTCAGTGATTTCATGGGTTTGTGCTATGATGTTTTGGTTTGGCCACCCCCTTAGATTTCTTCACAAGAGCGGTTTTATGCAGTTTTACTATGTGTAAACATTTTGGTCATTTCTAAATACACTTCAAACTAAACAATAAAACAAGAGACGCATTAATTAAAGCCCCAGTAGCCATGGTTTCAACAGCGTATTATTACGTAATGAATAGTTATTACAAACCTGTATGGAATCGAAAAAGCAGTGGCTAACGCTCTTTTAAGATTAATCATCTATCAATTAATAGAGTGCGCTATGTTGAGAGAGAGAAAGGTACCAAAATACTAGCGATCAGATTACTGAACATTTAATCATCCTATCGTATGATCAAAATTAATTCTACCATTTTTAGTTGAAGCATAAAAAATATATCACTCTAAGTAAAATCCATGAAACTGTATTCTCATAAAGATTATGGTCATTCATTTAAAATGATAACTGATATCTTAAGAAAATATGGACTCATAATAAATTAAGCTATGTATATAAGGCTAGAAAAAGCCAGTCAGTCAGTCAGATGCAACTTAGAACTTTGTACATAAGTACATCAGTTCATGTTGCCATACCACATCAGCACAGAGATGTAGTTGTCAATTCAAATCCAATAGTAGAAGAGGTAGTAAAGGTATTAGAAGTAATCGGAGAGGTTAGGATGAGAAGATATTATTCATGAAGTATGATTCATTGAGAAAAGTTTAAAAAGTCAAAACTAGAGTTGTTGAAGAACCCAGAAGATTAGGATTTGAGAGAACACAAAGAATAAATGCACCAGCGCCATTGAGAACGATTTTGAGCCATGTCATTCAAGGTCTCTAACCATCGATTAATATCATCTCGCAGACCCCAACCAGGTAGTCGACAATTACCGACATGGCTAAGTCCACTCGTCAATGACTTCATGGATTTCTGCCATGTTATAGTCTGGCCGCCCCTAACTTTCTTCCAACCTATTCCTACACTACAAAACAAAACTCGACGAGGCAGTCGGTGGTTGGGCATACGCAACACATGTCCCAACCACCTCAACTGATGAAGTGTCAGTACTGCGTCTATCGATCTGCCATTCTTACCTAGCACCCGTCTACTAATAACAGCGTTGTTCACTCGGGTGTCCCACGATATACGAGCAATGCTTCGAAGACACCTATGATCGAAAACCAATAACCGACGAATATCTTCTACTGTGACTAGCCATGTTTCACAGCCGTAAAGTAAGACGGAGCGAACTACTGCGCAGTACACTCATCCTTTTGTCAGCAAATGGATATCACGTCTACGCCATAAGTGACGAAGGTTAGCAAAAGCCAATCGAGCCTTCTGTATCCGAGCTGAGATTTCGTCAGTCACCAGGCAATCGGCACTGATGAGACTCCCAAGATAGGTGAAGCGGTCTACACGTTCAACTACTTCACTCCCTATCACTAGTTCAGGTGCCGAAAAAGCCAGAATGATTATTCAAACACTTGTTAATTCCTAGATTAAATGCGTAAAAAACCAACCCTCCACCCAGGGCTCAAGCATGGATAAATGAGGAGAGCTGGAAGTGCTAACCAGAAAAAAAGGCGTAAATATTATCGATGAGAACACTAAGAAGAGCATCCATCCATCGAAAGAGATTCTTTAAAAATTAAATTTTACATAAAAGTTTATGCAATACATAAGAAGATTGATTGACTTGTTGAGAATAAAAAAAAGTTAGATGGAAATGAGAAATTCTAATCTAAATAATGGAAAGAATATTTATTACTCAATGGATGAGGTCAACAAAACAATACCAAACTGATTGATAACTACTATGTGTTGACATGCATAAATAAATTTGGCTGAAAATTATTTCACAACAATAATACATTTAGCTTAACAAATTACTCAATAAGATAGTCAAATGTAAACTAATTCGCTTTCTATTACCTATAATGTCTGCCAGTTTTTAATGTACGTAGGAAAGCGTAAAAATCGGAAAAAAAAGAAATGAATAGTTACGGTTTACATCTCAGAGAGATTCCAACAAAAAAAGATGAGACTAAACAGACAATGGATCTTTAGGAGCAGTGCAATTGCTAATCACCTATTATTTGGTAGTGAACATGACGGCGGTGCTATCGAATCCATAGTCAATAAACAAGAGACTTGAAGATTACAATGCATTGCTGAAGACGTTGGTTGTGTTAAAATTGAAAATAAACAGTTATCAATATTAAATTTTGCTCTGCTGACCTCAATTCTTGTGATTTTTTTGGATAACAGTTTTTCCATAACCTAATTAATTATAGTTTCTTGTTTTCCATTGAGGCAGTACTCGATCATTTTCTTGTTTGATTATTACATGAACTATGACGTAAAACTTGATTTTTCAGTAAGTATCATGTTTGCATGTTTCTCTGTTTTTTTTCCATAAAGTTCATATATCAAAACTCATATATAGACAACTACGTAAAGAAATTCCTAAATCTTTCAAAGTTATTACCTCTCATTTGTTTACATCTATATGCTAAACTTTAATTAAAATATTTTTTGATATGAAACAGTAGCATACTTGTTTAGTTTTTAAAATAATTAATACTATTCTTGCTACTAGATCACAAACCAATGAAAGAAATGATGTGTTTGGTACTAACTAATACGACCGCTGTTCTTATTTTATTCAAAAACATTTTGTCGTTCGTTAAATCAATAGATTTAAACTAATCGATGAACGCAATGATATGATGTTACTAAATTATATATAAGGACGAGTCTACTGTGCAGTAGCTTGCTCCGTCCTTCTCTATGGATGCAAAACATGGCGCCAGTAAGGTGAGAAGACATTCGTAGGTTGCTGGTTTTAGATTACACATATCTCCAAAGGATTGCTCGTTTAATTAGGACTATCGAGTAAGTAATGTAGTTGTTAAGTAAGAATGGCAGATCAAGTAGTGAGTCTTCATCAGTTGAGGTGGTTGGGACATGTGGTAAAAATGCCCAACCACCGACTGCCTCGCCCAACTGTTTTGGGGTGACCAAACAAAACTTGGCACGAGTCACTGACAACTGGATTGAGTCACATTGGTAAGTGTCGAGTAATCGGTTGGGGTCCGCGAGATGATAGTGTATTCGATGGTTAGAGATTTTGAATGAAAATGCTCAAAATCGTTTGCAACTGCGCAGGTGCATCCACTCTTTGTGTTCTCTCAAATCCTAACCTTCTGAATTGCTCACCACTTTTATCTTCTCTTTTTAAGTTTATTTCACTGAATTATACTTCTTGAATAATATCTTCGAACCCTAATCTTCTCCGTTACTGCTAAATACTTCTACTATTTCTACCACTATGTGATTCTAACTGACAATTGAGTCTCTGTGTGCTAATGGAATGTGGTAACATGAACTTTGTGTATCTGAATAATACAGTTGATAAATAGTAAAATAATCCATGGTCAGTTAAGTAGTTACAACGTTGAACTTCGTATGTACTATAAACAAGTTCAGGTTGCCATACCACATTAATCCAAGGAGCTGGACGAGACAAACATCTTGTCATCTTAAATGAAAGCCAATCGATATATATATATATATATATATATATATATATATATATAAACTCACTTATCAAGGCACAGATACAACTTATCATATGTTTGTGGAAGCCCCACATTCGTATAAACATTTTATTAAACAAAGCTGTTGAAAATTTTTTTGTCATGGGCTTACATGAGGTATTAAATGAAGAAATGCATCTCCAGCAAGTGATCCAACTGCAAGGGCAATAAGAAATTGAGTCACGACATTGTAAAAACTTCGAGACATCAACGGTACCAAACACACAACAATAAGTCCTGAAAGGCTAACCAACAGTACAGCACCGACTGCAGCTAGAAAAGCTACAAAACAAAACGATTAAAAACGAAGTAAACGAGCTCTCACACATGCAAGATACAAAACATTTATGTGTACAATATGCAGAATAATAAATCAGTTAACGAGTTTTAAATGCTCACACACACACACACACTGAACTTGTCAACAATTAAAGTTACTATGCAAAAACGAATTCAATATAAACTTGACAGGCAGTGGGATAAAAACAAGAAATGGTTATATTTTTGTCCTAAAAGATTCAAAATACAGTGATCCAGAGGATTACAGGATTCAGTTTCTAATTACCATTGAAAAAGATGCATACATAATCGAATAAGCAGTAAACAACGAAAATCTATAATCTTCAGTGTTAAGTTACTTAAAACGAAGAATACACCAACTATTGACGCATATTCTAAACTAATAGTCAACGTACTATTATCGTTAAAATGTGCATTTGTCTTTACTGTGACATCTGACAATCAGAATGAGGGAATCATCGCAGTAATGTAGAAGGTAAATAATGTTAAAAATCTAAAGAGAAGTATAATAAAAATATAACCAGCGGCCCGAAAAATAATATAACTCAGGATTAAGAGAATGAAAGTAAATGTATCAATAAAATCAGCTTTATGTTCTATCTGTTCTATCTCAACATTACTCAAGACATGGCTCTACACCGCAATTAATGTATGGAAGAAACGTATGATACAATTTTCAGTCTATGAATCGATTCTAATCATATAATCGACCTTAAGATTACAAAGTATCACGCAGTGTACTTCTTCATAGCATCACCGTCACCATCAGTACATGGACAAGATAGATGGTAAAAAAATGGACGTCTTAACTTCATGTTATAATACCGAAATAAGTTGTAATCTGTATAAATCTCAGTTTGCAAATACTAGTTCTATCACTGAAGAGATATGAACTAGCGAGAAACATGTCGTTATGAAACAATGGTTATATTTTTGTCCTAAAAGGTTCAAAATACAGTGATCCAGAGGATTACAGGATTCAGTTTCTAATTACCATTGAAAAAGATGCATACATAATCGAATAAGCAGTAAACAACGAAAATCTATAATCTTCCGTGTTAAGTTACTTAAATACACCAACTATTGACGCATATTCTAAACTATTAGCCAACGTACTATTATCGTTAAAATGTGCATTTGTCTTCACTGTGACATCTGACAATCAGAATGAGGGAATCAACGTAGTAATGTAGAAGGTAAATAATGTTAAAGGATTTGAAGTAATGGGTACGTTTTCGAAATAAAGGTCAACTTACCTTTCCAATCGAAATCGTGTGTTGTAATAACTACTTCCCGTTCATGTTTGTGCTTACAAACTCCAGTTTTTAACTCATAAATGATAGTCGGCAACAGAGCATGAAAATCTGATTGGTTTAAGCGTGGGAGATTAGGAGAAAGCAGATCGAACATTTCACTTGCCGTGAAACACTAAACAGTGTAGATGTAAAGATCAGGTTTTACTGAAAGTATATAAAAACTACATAACGAATTGTAAACTTGAAAAAAACCGAGGTATATCATAATCTCGCTGAAAATTTAGTTTACAGAAGTAAACAGTTTGTCGTTCAGTAAATTTATGAGATCACATCTAGCTATATAGAAATATTTAAACCGTCTTTAAGAAAATCGTATGTTGCACTTTCGGGAATTTCCACCGATGTATCCATCAAGTTACTACATTTCCTTATATCAGCAAAGTCAATTTTTGTTGAGAATTATAACTTTAAATGGGTCGATAAGACTCATCAATTAAATGCAAGCTTGTGTAAAAGGTTAGGACTACAAATACTAATCACTTACCACGGACGACGATCAATGATCTAGGCCGTGTTTAAGCTATTATGGCTAGAAAGATTTGATAAATTTAAATGCTAACTATTGCTATCATTTCCAATAGTATTAAAAGTCATTTATTAATCAAAAGATAAGCACAACTCCAATAGCTGCGTTTTATATTTCAAGCCATAAACCACTAGTGTCTGGAATCTTCAGAATATTAATGGTTACTGGAAAACCGAAATAGAAACTGGTTTCATAAATACAACTCTTCTTTAATAAATAATCCGAATTGGGATCATATACCACATAGTCGGCGTTGAGCAACCAGCCGTGTTGGTCATATACAAAACTCTGAAATCCAAACAAATTGCAGGTTCCTAGAAATACATTTCAGCAATCCGAAAAACATTTAGCCTAGCCATAGAGTTAATAGTTTGACAAATTGTGAAGTAGATAGTGGCTCTGTTAGCGTTAGCCCTGACTGGGATGAAACCTATTAAACTGAACTCACTATACATCATAAACAGAAAAGCGTTACGAGTCGACTGAGTGATGCTTGTCAGAAATTAGTAGTCACCCAAGAAATGTATACGACACAAAGGAAAATGAAATTTTCTGAACATAAGAGCACTATGTTGTTTACTTTGTCAAATACTTATATCACAATAGTGCTGTAGACGAGCGAACCACACACAGAATCGGAACACAAGTGCATTCAGATGAAGTAGTACGACAAAGAGCGCAAGAAACAAGTAAACGAAGGTTAGGGAAACGAAAACAGATAGTAGAAGAGTGGAATGAACAAGACTTACAGGACAAAAATACAACATAATCTGAAGTGAAGCTATGGTTAGAAAATTAATGGATGCATAGGAACACCGTAACATGTAACATCGTCATACAACCATTATGAATGCAAAAAAAGAACTTGGCGTCAAGCATTTACATAATTTCACGATGCATAACTTTAAACGATAGATACTCTTCCCAACTGAAAAAAAACAGTATTTCGCAGTTATCATAGTGATAGCTGACTGTCTCTGAGTAGGCTATTTCTTAAAATAGTATTTCAAAATATATATTTCAAAAATTCGAACTACGGTATTAATGGGTTCGGTCGTGTGATACTAGGATGTGAAAATATACGGAATATTAGGTGGGAGAAGTCACCCATGACTAACCTTGTTCTCTTCTGAATCATTCTTAGTAGGAGACTCTTCAAACAGATGTAAAAGCTTCAGAAAATCAGAAAGGGTTTCTCTATCCATATATTCGCTACCATTTGTAAGAGATCGGAACAACACACCTAAGTGGTTGTCCAGGCGAACATCACTTGCATGAGAGTGGACCCGGGATACACGAGAATCAAACAGAATGTATAAAGCTAAGCATAAGCATATATTTTGGTGAATCAGGCGGCAAAATCCCACACCACACATCAATACTAAACACGAATTAAAAACAGACTGTAGCCTGTAATTTTGCAACTACGACCTTGATCGTTAATTTAGACAAGTGACACGGAAACAGTACAATCTATGCGCCAAAGCTGGTTCATCTATTCGATTGTACTGCTTGAACACTAGGTACATTAAACAAAAGCAAGACTAACAATATACAATATACAATACTAGGAACGTCCAATATCTTGATGATGTTTTAGTGAACACTGATTAATTATTCATACTCACTACTTATTTTCATCAAGCTTTCAGTGAGGTATGATTTTAGGCATAAATTGTTCCAATGGTTGGGAACGGATTCGGAAGAGCTTTCGCTTGTCTATCTTTTGCTTCTAGTAACAGTAGATCACTGACGAATTCAAGTACGGGTCTAGCTATATGTAGCGTAGAAAAGTGAAATACTAGTTAATTATGTTGTGATACTGTTTCATGTTTCAAATCAACAGGTCCGCGCTCTTCCAATTTGACGTGTCCTTGCTGACTCTCGTCCATTTACGGGAAACAATCCACTTTCGGGATACTTTATCACCTCCGAAGCTATAAAAATTTGTCTCCATTCATTGGTTGACAATCTGAAAACATTTTTGGGCATACGGAACCATTCCAAGTCAGAACCATTGTGCGGAAGGTCTAGCTACCACATTCAACTGCTCTTTTTCTAGTTGCTTCGGCAGCATACATACATCCACTCACTCACAAACACGGGACTTGTAGAAAAGTTACTGGATACACGCAAAGTTACTTACTCATACGGTCAAAGGTAAAGATGCAATTTTGGAGTACTTTCAGGCTCTATTCCTTGTAGTTTTATCATATACTACTAAATTTCTTCTTTTCTAAACCCCTTTTGTGTATCTTTTAATTTAATTATCTCGGTCTTCACCTCCTAACTTCCCTGGCATCATGTTAAGTAATAAGGTCGCTAGTACGCATTACACTATAACAGTCAGGAAAACTTGTAGAGGCATAAACCCCGGGATTGTTAGTGCGTCGAAAATCCCAATATCGTGCAAACGGGTTGTTAAAAAACCCAAACAGTCAGTCGAAAGTACGCCTCTCATTTTCCATACTTTAGATCACTCAATGCAAACACTACAGAGGAAGCAAGACACCACTCCTACTCCTAAAAGACCAGTAAGCTAATTAAGAATAGGAGAAAAAGACGCTCCAAGGCTTAGTCGACACAGGATGATTGTTTTGCTTGCTCATTACTAGTCAAAATCAGCGACCGTGCTTTCGAATGCAACTTCTGTAGTACATAGGTACATTGTCACTGCGACACTACAGTACCTAAAGAGTACTACGGATTCATTGAGTCACCTCTGCCCATGGTTCTGGTACATTTGCCCTTGGTGTAGAGTTTCTGAGGCACTGACAAAGCCACAGGTCCCACCTAAAATCAGCCCTGAAGTCCAAACGACCAAACCAAAATCGCCTGGCACTAAAACAGTAAAACAAGTGACCAAGGCTACCACAACCCTGCCTAACACACCGACAAAACTGCAGGTTGTTGTTAACCCCGCAGTATCTGCTAGCAATACAAGCAGTTAGTGAACGTGAAGAAGGGAAATAGCAACACCCCAACTCACTAGCGGCTACCACCCAAGAACAGGGACGACAGATCAAACTCACTTATTTTATTTAATGTCCCAGTATCGGAAGAAAGCATGCCTGAAGGTAAGGCTGCCTCCGACAAAGAGCAGTAGGATAAACACTGCACAACCCTCGGAATGTGCGACGTCCCAGCCAAAATATGCCGCCTCTTCAAAGGCCAAAATGTCTCGTAAGGAAAACCCCTTCCAATGAGAGTAACTCTTGACTCGGCGCGACTTGCTGAAGACATTATCCTTTCATCCCAATGACCGTCGGTCAAATTGTCCTCGTCGATTCGCATCAGACATGACAAGCCGTGGTCGGTACGTGCAGCAGCCAGAGTTGCGCCAGGCACCCAAGAACAGACCACCATGATAGTTCACGGTCACACCTTACGTCTATCAAGTCACCACGCCTGATGGCTGTGACATTTAGGAACCGGGAAGACCTGACTGAAACACTACAAGCTTGGTACAGTTCGAGGAACGATCTGCCTAGCCACATCAGATGTTGCGAAAGCCGACCTAGATCTGTGAGACAACAGCAGGGAGGCCAAAATGAACGCACGAAACTGATAGTTATTCTCGGTCAACTACCGCTGGCACAAGACGTGACTGAACCAACCACGCAAACAAAAAACTCGCAGAGGCCAGTTCCCACAGAACTGGCTGATTCGGTTTGAGTAACTTGTCTGAAAATCCCGCAACGGCTGCTGCTGCAGAAATGCACCATGTGCTGAGACAAACCACCAAATGCCTCTATAGCAACGTAAGAGGACTGATTATGGCGTACACTATTTTAAACACGCCAAACCACCCCAATGCGAGCATCTTACCGATGAATCGCCACCACTCCCCACGAGGCAATCCTCGAAAGATTCCACACCAACGAGCCAATACTCAGGTTCGTGCACACTTTTCTCATTGCTAGTCGTCGCAACTTGGAATGCTCTCCCAGCCGAGGTGGCCACAGCCCCTTCAGTGGACTGCTTTAAGAAGAGACTTGATAATCACGTACTCACATACGGACTATCATCTCCCCACTGGACAAGCTGTTCATGATGCATATCTTGAGACCTGCTAGTTGTTACCGTCGCCATCTCCTCAGATCACTTACTTAACCTATCTCGCCTATTATGATTATTTCTTCTCTCTTGCTTACACTACGGTCCTCTCTCACAATCTTCACTACCAATTAACAAACTAAATTCATCTATATATTACTCAGTTATGAAATTTTATTCATATTAGCATTAGAATTTTTTACTTATTATCCTTAGTACTCTCCACATTGCAACTAACTGATCTCCGGTCTGGTATTATGACGGCTCCTAGTATTCAGAAACCCTACAGCCCTGAAACAAACGTTTTCATTCAAATCCCGAGACATACAAACTGAAAACCAACTGCCGACTGACCTCCATCCATTGGACATTACCGAACACATGGAACCGTACCGAAAGAACAAGAATCGAGCACAAAGAAATCAAATTGGTTTAAACTAGCTAGTGAAAAAAATATTGGATATTGAATGCTCCTAAGTATATTCAAGCTACATTTATAGGACTCCTGGAAGTCGTTCTCACCGACCCAGCTAGGGACGACTCTCTCATAAGGTACGTATGTTTGTATTCTATTCTGATATGTCGTACCTCTAATTTCTAGGTATTGTAGAATCCTTTTTGAATGCTTTGTGTTTTGGAAAATCCCTCCATGTTTACATATTTTTGCTATGACATGACGGACTTTTTCTGTTGACATTTTTGGTACTTTATTTGATTCCAATTTGAGATTTTATCATTGTATATTGTTATTCTTCCTATATTTTGTACTTATATTGAAGTTTTAATGTTTGCTTTTGAACTGTACATATGTTGTTTAAATTTGATATAATATGGCTACCGCCACATTTTTGGACTGATGCAGTGGCCGCTGGACTTAGCGTCACTTATTTGTTACTGTGTCTGATACTCTGCGGAGTAACTGAACCCTGGAAGAAGCACTATTTCCAGGTAATGCTTTGTATTTCCATTTTTTAATTAATACAGACGCTTTCTCCTAGAATTTTGTCCTTTTTGAATTGGTTGGGACCCGGAACTGGGAAAAGTGTACAGGAGTGCCTCTATTGGAACCCGTTGGGACGGCAACTGTAGAAATATAAATCACAGTCTGGAAATATTTCTATCAACGATTATATCCTGGAATTATCTATTACGATCACAGTTGGATTATTAAGAATTATAAAGAAACACTTGGAACTTTAATCGTTTATCACACTAGACTTTCTTGGAGGAAGAAGTTTGGATTATTTATCATATTCCGAAACTGAACTGTGGAATTACTATATTTTGTATTTGTTACCTTCCTTATTGAACTTTATTTATAATGTCAAGCAGAAAAAAATCACACATGAGGAGGGTGGAAGAGCTCGACGGATCACAGAGCTCTAGGCAAGTCGTTAATGATGAATTTTTTATGGGTAACCCACATGTTATGTCTGATATTTATTATTGTAAGTCACCTTTGGCAGGCATTAAGGAACCAGGATTAAGTGAGAGTTCTAAAGCACCAGAGACCGATCAGATACGTAAGACATCGATAGAAGGTTTAGAACTACCTAAGGTCGAACTTTCATATTTTGATGGAAAGTCTCGCGACTATTTTAGGTTCATGCGACAAATCGAAACGTTTATAGAACCCAGAATAAAAGACGACCAAGTTAGTTTATTGTATTTAATTCATTATTGTAAGGGAAAAGCAAAAAATGCGATTGAAGGCTGTATTATTATGGATCCACAAGCAGGATATAAGAGAGCTAAGGCCATTTTAAAACAGCTCTTTGGACAGTCGCATGTAATAGCGCGAGAAACCTTAGAGGATTTATTTAGAACTGGAAATGTAGATTTTAATGATCCTGAATTATTGACGAACTTGGCTATTAAAATGCAGAATGCTGCTTTAACCTTAGAACAGCTAAATTGCACAGCGGAACTTAATTCCATGGTTACTTCAGAACGAATAGTCAGGCTCTTACCTCGTCGAATGCAAGCCCAGTGGGCAGAGCTAGGAATCAAGTGGGACGAAGAGGAGAGAGAGCCTAATTTTAACGAATTGACGGAATTTATTATGTCTCGTGCTAAGATAGCTAGTAGTAGGTTTGGAAGATTAGCTTATCGGGCTAAAACAGAACATAATACGGAAGCTACTAGTGGTCTGCGTGCGAGACATGAGGATTTTTCGTTTCTACCTAAAGCACGCTCGGAAGATAAGAGAGTTGTCAATTATATCACGAAAGCATACGCTGATGAAGGACGAGTATGTGACCGTAACGATGTAAAACCTCTTGATGCGTGTCCTAGCAAGAAGCCGGTTGGTGTAACAGATAAGATGGCTTTTCTAAGTATGGAAAAGAAGAAAAAGGTGAAAAGTGTAGGCATCAAGATGGATCCGAAGTGTGTGATGATAAAAGCCTCTTAGCTGCTCGAAAAGCCTGGAATGGTTATTTGGATTCGAGTAATCAGAGGTT